CAGGGGTTGGACAGGGGTTGGCCCCCCCTACCCCCCCCCCTAGGACCCCCCCTTCTCCCCCCGATAATCCCTCGAAAAACCTCTCCGAAATCTTTTGACCATTATTACTCTTTTAATTTATACACTCACATTGACATGATCCCTGAGCACTCCTGCGCAAAAATACGAAACCATTTATGAAAATTTAAGCAACCTTAATGTGGTCGTGGTGTTCATCCAGGTGGCGCTCCCAACGGTGCCGCATCACCGGTCGACGCTGCAGCTGCTGCGGAGGACTATTTTGCTGCAGCAGCTGCGGCGCACAACGACGACGCCCCAGTGGATCCGTTCTTCGAACCTGGAGGCGAGGCAGTTGATCTCGAAGCGGAGCTTGAGGCTGACGCTGAACCAGATTATGGGGGAGCGTTCGATGTGAATGGCCTGGGTGGCACACAGGGAACACAAGGTGGAAGCGCTGCCTTCGCTGGCACGATGCGAGGCGGGGGAGCACCCACCTAAGGCGTCGATATGCGTGATCCCGTCGCGCCTGCTCGGGTCAACCGCATGCAGCAACCTGCAGAGCAGCTACGACTCGAGCTCGCAGCGTCTGAAAAGGAGTACCACGATCAAGTGAACACGCACCTGGCAAAAGTATCCGGCGAAAATGGAAAAGCAGCTGGCGATGATTTAACCAACATCTACCAAGTTGTACAAAAATGGCAGGACGACATCGAGCCGGTTCTTGCAGAGGACGCGAAGGGGAATGACTTCGATTTCGGACAGTATGGCCAAAACATGGTCAGCAAATTATCCGCCTTCGGTAAGGGCAGCCTTGTCGACTTCCAGCAGGTAAGCTTTTTTTCAACGTTACTATCGAGCCGGTTCTTGCAGAGGACGCGAAGCGGAATGACTTCGATTTTGGACAGTATGGCCAAAACATGGTCAGCAAATTATCCGCCTTCGGTAAGGGCAGCCTTGTCGACTTCAAGCAGGTAAGCTTTTTTTCAACGTTACTTAATCTTGTAGATACTTGTTCAACACGTCGTGTTGAGAGTGAGTGTCACGCCCTCAATTTTTTCAATCTGTAATTAATATCTGCGTGCATCCTTGTTGACAACCAGCATAATCAAATAAGGCTGTTCCGCCTTCCCTCCTTGTTTTTGAAGAAGTCGCCTTCCTCTTGCGGGTGTGTGCACAGGTTTATTGTGCGAGAATCATTGTACTGACTTGTCCTTCTACGCCAGGTATCTGAGCCATCGCGTCCGCGCTATGAAGCATGCCAGGAATTTTTGACGTCGCTGATCCTCGCAAACAAAGAAAATGTGGAAATAGTAGAGGATCCGCAGAACAAAGTAGGTTTTTCGCTGAAGCTTCTGAAGCCTGAACTAGGTGTCGTCGAATTATACAAGGCAGGAACGGCAATACCTCCCCCAGAAGATCCAGCAGGCAAAAATAAGGCTGCTGCGGAAGTAGAAATAGAAGCACCTGGGGCAGTGGGAGAGGAATACAACGGCCAGCTAGAAGTAGACGAGGGTGTGCATGAGGACGCTCCTCTACCTTCACCACGGGTCAAGTCTAACGACGTGACTTCGTCAAAATCAAAACCAGCTCCCGCAGGGGTAAGTGCTAGCGCAGCAGCCAAAGCAGGCCCTTCTACCAATTCTTCGTCGAGCAGTACGAAGCGCGCAGCGCCGGGCCCAAGAAATAAGAAGAAGAACAAGGATAAGCTGCAGCTTACCGACTACCTGGATGACGTCTTTGCTGTTCAAGAAGACGGCCTCCTAGCTGACGATGATCAAGATACGTCCGCGAAGCGCAAAAAGACTGCGCCAGGCAAGAAGCGACCACGGAAGTAGCAATTGCAGGGGCAAGGAAATCATGATGTCAGAAAGCGATATGGTGAACGCCCCTCGTCGGCCAACAACTAGGCATCACGATCGATTGAGGAACAGGAGGAGTCTTCACGAAGGGGAATTTCACCATCAGCGAAAATCCCGTCGACGCATCTATAGCAACTCCTTATGCATAGTCCTTTTTACCTCCAATGCCCCCGAGGGGTCACTATTGTTAATAATTAACAAAGAATAAATCACCCAATCAATCAAATGAAGTAAATGCCATTTGAAATGGAACTTATTCCTTTTTTTTAGCAGCTAAATGCTAATACTTCTTTGTCGAACTACTTCTTTCTGTCTATACTGTCAGTTGTAATATGCTTTGGAAATTAAAACTTTCTTATGTACTGTTACTTAACACAATGACTTCGACCTAGTTGAAACTTTCTCATGTGCTGTTAACTCAATGACTTCGAACTAAGATTTATCGAATTTTCTTCGTTTGAGATGATTATGGAGAACAAGAGGGGCCTCCCATCGATGGTTGTCGTAAACAAAAGCAGGAGCCGTGTCTCCGAAATAGGGGGAGCCACTCGCATTATATTTGAGTTCGCGAATACAAATCATAGTATTGAGTCATGCATTGAAGAGATTGAGGCAACTCGAACTCCGCTTGTGCGAAGTCCTTTTTTTGTTGTTGCTCCAATTGCGGTTGGTTCATTTCTGATTCATTGAATCTCTATTAGTTTTTTCTTGGCGCTTCCTTGGTCCTCACGTGCCGATCCCCTTCCGACCTGACCTCCATGCACAAGAGAATTGTGATAATGAATATTTGAATTTTGGCGATGTAGGATTTCAAGAACACTTCTCCGCTACACGATCTGTTCTACAGGTCCTCCTCGTAGGTAGACTGCCTCACGCAGCTTCTGGGCAAGGAGGCGCACGGTGGCTTCTCTATTTCTCTATCATCTTCTTAAAGAAGTCTGACGTGAGTCTTTCGAACTCATCGTCATCGCGATCCTGGATCCGATTATAAGAGGACAAACACAAAATCATAATATTTCTCTAATATAAGGTTTTTATACACTTTCTCGGCCAGGCTCTGACCGTCGCAGGAAATGTTTCATCTTGCCGGTGGTTCGGTTTCGGTATGACCACTTGAGATGTAATGATGATGAAGTTTGTACTCGGCAAACCAATATTGCTTCTAGATCGGTTCACTTTGAATCTGTCAATCATCGGCATCGAATGACTTAGATCTGTCATGCGCATAAGGTCGTAGTTAACTCCTCGCTTCAAGCAGAAGTGGCTAAAATCGGTCACTCTCGATCAGTGCCAGCCACTTCGGCTCTGTTACGAATCTGTTTAAAGTCGGCACATGAGCCTCATGATCATGAACTCCTCTTGCTCTCCTGCATCGAAGTAAAAACCTTTGATGCACGCCCGCTCAAACACTGACGTCACCGATCGCCCTCGGGACCCCGTATCAACATGTAACAACGTTTCAGTCGCAATGTTTATGTTGTAACAAAGTTGGGGCGGCCACTAAGTATCTACGATGTGTAGCTATACCTATAGTACCATCAATACGTGTTTGATCATTTAACCCTAAGCCAAAGCCTAACCCTATATCATTTATTAACTTACCTCGTTCTACAACTAGAACTACATGCATTCTGGTTGCCTTCATCGTCTATTCATCTAAAACTTCAACTAAATTGGGTGGCCGCCCGACCCGGACAACTGGTTCTTATTTACTTAGTAGTGCTTCCCGAAGGAGTTCTTAGATCGGATCATCTCTTTATGCGTACAGTGATCGGAAGTAGTTCTAGTTCGTAGTACCGTAAAACAAGAACAATGCATAAGCAAGCATTTTGTCAAATCATTCTTATAGTTATTTAATGTTGCTGAGAGTCGTTTGTTTCATGCTGTGTTTGTTAATATTGTTTGATGTAGCATTTTCACGTTAACTAAGTCGCAGGATAATATAGGCGTGATCACAGAAGCGTTCTTCCTCGTCGTGCTTCACTCCGTGATCCTACCTGAAGCCCTTGCTTAAGGGGACGAAAGAACAAAATGCAGGAGCAAGACGGGTCGACGTGCTCTCCTAAATCAACAAGGATGTTGGCGTCTCCGATATTACTGGAAAGATCCTCACGGGCATGGGCAAGCAGCCGTTCTCGGCGAGCGACGAACTGTTGCATTGCTGGTGTACTAGCGCGCAGCATAATAATGATGCAACTAGTTGCCGGACGTCAACAAGGGAGCAGGCACTCTGATTTTAGTTCTTCATCAACAGAACTCAGTCCCGATTCATCGTTGTCCCCTTTCGATGGAACTTCATCAAACAACAATGGCACCGCGTCTGCGATGGAGGCTGCATCCTCCAGTCCTTCCACTTTTGTGACTACACGACTTATTGAGTTGGTGCTACAGGAGGATCAGCGTGCTGAACAAACACTGACGCTTGCAACCGGCAGGGTCAGGGAGGGGTCATCCGTCGCGAATAACGATACACATCAAGAAGATGTCGGCACCGCGTTTGGTCAAGAATCATGGTTTGGATCTACACTTTCGGCTCCGCTCTCCAAATTCCTTCAGTTCAAACCGAACTTGGGTTCGCGCGGTGCGCGAGCTTCTAAAAAAACATTATGCCATCAAAAAACATTTGTTTTCCTTAACCTTATCCACGAGCAAGTGCTGTACCTCTGGGATGCACCATGCATAAAAATAACGCCACTATGCATAGATTGATTACTGTTGGAGCACCCGAACACGTCGCGGCGCACCTCGTAGCTCTTGCTGAGAGGCAAGGGCGCCGATACCGATGCAATGGAACAGAAAGACGACCCACCAGGACGGACGTGCCGGATGGTCTTCGACTGCTTAAGGCCCTGAATTGGTACCAACATGGGCCCAGTCTCATGGGATACCATGAGGGGCCACGGGGTAGCTATTGACCTGGAAGGATCGCGCTGGTCATTCATGTGCGCGCGCAGTGGTATAGTCATTAGCTGCGCCGTTGGCTGCGCCATATCGTCTACGTCTTCACGATGTGGCTGCGAGTGTGACTGATGGAGCAGCAACGGCAAACGTCTAGGATCATGACTGAAGTAGGTGTAGTCTTTCGAAAAGTCATCGAGTTCCAGGAACCACCATACGCGGAACCAGTGAAAGAGCAAGACAAGGAACGACTTTGATCATGATCATGGTGACGAGAGCCCAGCTGTTGGCATTCAAATGAATTCGGCCCATCCATAAGGTCTGGGCCCGGAGTAGGTCTAGACCATTGGCCAACAATTCCCCGCGCCAACTATACAACTGATCCACTAAGGTGGTAGAACTGGAAGTAGCGCGTGGGAGCCACTGCTTCGCTGCTTGCCAAGAAATGCTTCTTCATGATGAATTTTCAATCGGCGCTCATGCTTAACCTTCTCAAGAATGCCAGCATATTGATCAGTCCGCTTGAAGCGTATCCGTAACCGTATCGATCATACTTGGGAATTATTATTTTGCAAACGTAGAAATAGCACATGCATTGTGGTAGTACTGCTTCTGCTACATGACAAAGAATAAGAATTAGAATATCATCTATTTTCTCTTGCTCTAAAAACTGCAGCAGAGGGTTGGCCCAAGGAGTTGGTGATTACTGGGATCGTCATATTGGTAATCGTGGTGCTCGGGATTGCGGCTTGCTGCGTGGCGTGCTTGAATGGGGGTGGCCAGGACAACAGAAAGGGCAGCCGAGGCAATTACGTTGATCTGGAGTACGGCAGCGCAACGTCGCCACTCGATTTCGATTCGGATAGGGCTGATGCGCTTTTGGACTATGCAGCTACACAGGGAGAGGTAACGACACGCACTTTGAATTTTATGTCTAGTAAGACATAACTAAGAATTTCCTGTAAAAGATATAGCGGCCGCGGGGCCATCTTCTTCTTCATCAATCATATTTTTAAATATAAAAGTCTCATTGTTATGATAGGATTTTTCTGATCATGATCATCAAAAGTGGGCGATAATTACAGAGCGGATGCGTAAATCAGCATTTTCAAAGTCGCACTTATGAAGGTAGATTATTGCTGTCAATGTCTATGCTGCCAATCAATGGCAATGTCTTCGCGACAGTTAAAGATTTTTTTGAAAAGAACTTCTTTGTCTTTCAACTATGACGATACAGGCTCCCGAGACGAATCAACGTGGAAGTGGAGGAAGTATTGACGAAGTTGATGAAGAAGGTTTTCTAGTTTTTCCACAAATGGACACGAGCGCCATCATGGGTGACGATCCTGGAGCAAGTGTAAAAGCTGCAAGTTCAAGTCGAAGGATCACTGCGAAAGAAATTTTACGGACAATAATCGCGCTCACTATCATTATCATTTGCTTTGCGACTTGTGTTTGGTTTACCTACTTGATCTAACAAATATCTTCTTCAGCATTCACATTTTGGCACCTTCGTGTAAACAGAAAGCTCCAAATGCGTTTGTCATTATCTTGCTTAGCTGTGGAGTTCTGATGCAAACGAAAATGATCAGTAGGTACAACACTCAGTCCTCTACCTCTTTTGCGAAGATGTTTCTAAGTTAGGACGTGCTCCTGGGAGGACTTCCGCTTGATGAAGGTGACGACAGCCCCCTGGTGGATACCGCATTTGAAGACGCGTCCGACCCTGAGCCGCCAGAAATGCCACCTTTCGAGATCGAGCGAAGACCCCGAGAGGCAGATGAGTACAAGTTAATGATCATGATCAATATCATGGACGTCCCTCTTCTTCGTCTCTCCACCTACTTCGCACTTGCACTACTACTAGTTCAAGGAGAATTAATATGTTGTAGCTACCTCTTTAAACACAAACTATAACTATTTTTTCAGGTCGTCCAGCGAAAATAGTTGGCCACGGCCTGGTGTTGAGGAGACGACTATGTTTTCCGAAAAAGAGGACGGCATCGAAAATGAAGAGTAAGTAGGTATCGACAAGTTAAAACAACAAGAGGAGAAATATTTATTGTATTACTTATTTGTACAGTCTTCACTCAAGAACATCTTCAACTTCTTCTTCTACACACTTACTGTATTATTTGAAATTGAATTTGTACATAATATATCAACTAAAAAAAATGTATCTTAGGCAGATTGCCGAGTAGGTTCAACACATCATCGCATCAGCTAGAAAAATGTATCTTACAAGAAAGCGACCGCGGTGATCATCATCGCTTACGATGAACTATCACTATGGTATGCTGCAGAGAAATAGATAAGGATTAATTATATTAACAGGCTATCATGATATAATTGTACATCGTAGCTCATCTGAATTGGTCTACATGCATGTATCAAATTTTTCTTCTGAATCAATGCAAGAATCGTGAATATCTTGATGAATTTCCTCCTCTTGACTTTGATGCCGAAAAATGCGTCTTCGTGCTTCTAGTTCTAGCATATTTGCTTCGACATACTATGAGCCCCTTGATAACCACCGACGTCACCGGACGCAGCAACCTTCTCAACGTACTAGAAGTAGAACCACTCGTTCGCTTCTGCTAGAAACTAGTTTTCAGCGTGCAATATTCTCTGTCCATGAGGAGTAACGTCAACATTCACAGCCTTGATGATTCCAGTCTCCATATCAAAAATTTGACGTTAATTTTTGCAAGTTTATGATCTCATCACCATATTTACTGCGAGTTCCCGTTCGGACTCGGAGAACAGTCCGTCGCGTTCGTCACCAGTATTAATCGTTACGAAGTGAAGTCCTTACCTATAGTACAGCAACAAACTATACACACTCACACGACCTATTCGTTCCTCAATATGATACGAAGTCAGCATATCATCATCATGCACAGACGTTCTTAGAATTCTGACCCTTACTATGCATACTTGCAGCTCAATGCATTCACCTTCTTTCTTCACACCATAGCCCGTCTTACATGAAGACGGTAGAACAGCCACACCATAGCTCGTCTTGCATGAAGACGGTGGCACAATCAAACATCTACATCAGACAGAATCAGAAGGGAGAATGCACCACATGACAATGACTGTCACTGTTCTTTTTATTTGATTTGTCCGCTTGTAGCTGAACGCAAAAATTGAATGCACGCATGACGCCACGACGGATTGCCTTTACTTGAAGTCTTGGCTGACTCAGATTGTTCGTCGTTTCCACTCAAGACGCAAGGAGAGTAAGCCTCCCATTTGACTAAGGATGGAAACGAAAAGATGAAACCAAATTATCAGAAGTGGAAGATTAAGTACTACTACTAGTACGTGGCTGGCGGGGACTGTGGCGACCAGACATACCATAGTCGATCGCAATGGCGACCATAGCACAACACACACAGAGCACAAAGAAATCCGGCGGGATCGTGCACGTCGTCCGGAGCGCATCAAAACAAACAAACAAACAAACAAACAAACAAGTACTAGCACGCGGCAAATGATGAATTAACGTCCACCATGCATCATGTGGGAATGATCCATGAAGATCCAGGAAGAAGATGCTCATAGCCATTTGCTTACAGTGATGTCCTCCCGGCGTTAAATCGTCCGGATGAGGATGCGAGTCTCCATCGGTCGAGTACCGACATGCTGGAAAAGCATCCAAGATCCTCAGGAAGACAGCAAGCACGTCATGAACGAATGTGGGGGGTGGACATTTCTTGATGTTGATCAAGCACACTCCAGGTTAGCACGGAGAACATTCCGATCAACATCAAGACGTCTGAATTTTAACCAACACGCTTGGCCGTGCCGTTTTCTTTGTCTTGTTTCTTGAAACGATAGGAACAGGACGGCAGCAACTCAATGATTAATGAATAGTCAACGCGGATAAAAAGCAAGATGTACAACCACTAGCGACATCCTCCACATTCACGCTCATCTGGCCAATCCAGCTCCAGTAAAAAACACACGTTAACAGGACAAGAGGGATTGTACTAGCGCAAGCAAAAACATGTATATCATTCACACGGAAAAACCGCAAGAAAGCGTAATTCATTGATTGTCTTTGACCTTGTCGTGCTGGTCGTCAATTGTCATCATGTCAGCTCGTGTCGAAATGCATGCCTGTTTTACGACAGGACAAGCCGATCGTGAACTTCGCAGGAAAGTCGACGAACAAGCTCAGATGATTGAAGATCTTAATCGAACGCTGGGCGAAACGTGCGATCGCAGAAGATAGGATCGAACATATGGAGAACCAGGGCTACCAAGACCAGCAGATGCATGAGGGCCAGGACACGTACGTCACGGTAAGGATCGTCGATTTCGATGATCATGCATACGGTGACCAAGGGACTGAGGCTCGAATCAAGGCATCAGGACAGGACTTGTGCAGACGAGTTGTGGAGGAACTTATGCCAGATTTCGCGTGCATTATGTTGGGCCCTGAGGCTCCGTATCGAAATGGTGACGTCATGGTCATCATCGTTGATAATCTGTGAATGAGTTTGTTGGGACGTATTTTCTTGTTCTTGAACAACATAGATTTTTTGATTGAAAATGATCATCCATTGACTTCGTAATGCTTCAATAGGATCCTCTTCATGACCATGTTGTAGTTTCCCCATGTTAACCATGTGTTTGCGTCCGTAAGATGAACGAGATTTTTTGCACACACGCGCACTCACTGTAAGTATGATAATGATTAGGATACTTAATAAAAAGCAGAGACTAGAAGTTGTTGTTGTAAATGTAATGGAGACTGACTTATTATTCCCCCCAGTAAATCCATGGTGTTATGCTCGTTTTCAATTCCATCCCTATCGATTTCGCTGTAAATTTGTATTTACTATTCCTTGCTATGCTATAGCATCACGACAATCTCGCAACTAATTGCGATAAGGTCGATAAAACCGAATGATTCTCGTTCTCCTCACTTCCACGTCTAGCTAGACAAAAAATTCAACGCATCACGCGGCCTGCCCCCGACTCCAGCACCATCACGCGACTGTCGCGTTACTGTGTAATCGACCGTGTTCATCATCATGGTCCCTCCTACCAAGTATCGAGGCATCTTTCCACTAAAACCAAAGATTAGGACAGTCCGATTGCTTCCAAATTGTCAGGATGATCGGCTTTGGTCTCCAGATGATTGAAGGTAATGAGGGCTTAAACGTAGTACAGTTGTGGATGATACGTTGTACTCGTAGCACTAGCGGTAGCGAGGACGGTTAACTCGGTCATTTTGTCGATTATCGTCCTGCTCCTGCTGCAATGATAAATATCATGTATGATTCGATTTAATTATGCAAAAGCTTGTCGAGTCATGTACTCGTCAGCAGATCTTCCACGTTCGTCTCATTTTATTTTTTACAACATTCATTTTTGACCCGTCTTAAGACTGAAATTGAATTGCATGAAGATTCTTGGTAATAAAGAACTTGTCTGCTTCTAGTACTTTGATTAGTTATAAGTACATATTAGTTTTTTGAGAACCACAAGCGAGCAAGAATGCAGGTAACTCCTGTCGGTGAAAATCGTAATGAGGCGCAAGAGCGTGCTCTGCGAAACACGTTTGAGAAAATGGAAGGCGCCATTCGTGAGAACAGCTGCCTCATGTTCAGCACCGCGGTCTGTCCTTACTGCACATACGCTAAGGACTTCATCGAGAAGTTTGGAAAGAAGTGTAACGTGATAGACCTGAGCAAGGGTGAAAACAAGCAGCTTGGTGCAGTGGTCACTGCGGTTACGAATCAGCGGACAGTACCAAACATATTTTTACATCAGATGCATGTGGGCGGATACGACGAGCTCGTAGCAGTGGAGAAACAGTGTCAAAACACAGACTCAGTTCTCTTCAAGGACAAGCAATTTATGACGTTCTTGTAAAAGTACTTAAGAAGTAGACGGAAAAGCAAAAGCCAGAATGTAAGGGGCTCTTCGAGGGCGAGGTAATGTCAACATTTTGCACCATGTAGAACAATTGCCTTCGAAACATATTCATATGCAGGGTTGCAGATGAATGTCAAAGGTAGGATGTTGCAGCTCGAAAATGCATTGATCATAGCAACTTAAACTTTCAAAGATGGTGAAGAAAACCTGCTCTAAGATGTACGCGGAGGTGTGTGGGTTTTTCGGACATCAGACCGGCGGTGAAGGGCAGTAGAGGCGGAACCATTCGACCCCTATCGGCAGCAAGAACAGTGCCAACAACATCCAGTTGACCATTGCGCTATTTCTACATGTCATAGACATAGATATCCTGTCATGCGGGATGTAGCAGACGTGAAGATTTTAGACAGCCAATTTCTTACTACATCTGTTGTTGCCTCGGTTTAGGCATCTTATAAAAACACGCGCGGAAATTCGCTTGACGGACGTCGTCCTCCAGCACTTTGAGGAATTTGACGTGTGTGTTCATCTTCCGCGGCCATGCCGCCCAGAGGAAGAACTTACCGATTAAGTAGTTGAGGCATATCGTACCATATTACACAGTCAGGCGGAGATCCTACCTTGCTCACCGATCGTTTTTGTATGGTCATATTCAGGCTGCATTATCGCTCCAAAACTCAAAATGTCTGGAAGAAGTAACGCAGTGATAATTTGGATGTCGCAACTCGTGATCAAGCCAAAGGTCACGTAAAGTTCCTGCACCATGATTTTTAGTCCCGTTCCCATCCGTGATGGTCCTTCCGAAGCTCATATTTTGGACAGGAGTGCTCTTATACCTCGAGCTTGACGACTATTAGAGTTATTCGCTGCAGGCGAGCCACGCATTCCATTTCTACGGATTTCGTCTCATCATCTCCGCTTTCAGGATGATGCGGAGTGGGTCAGCAACAGGATCATGTCAGCGGCTGCTGCCGGTGAATCATCGCGAGCTCATTAGCTTACGAAATGTTAGTGGGCGGACGCGGAGCGCAGCACTGTTACTTGGTTCGTCCACTAGCAGTAGCAGTAGCTCAAAGATCAACAAGCGCAACTACATCTCGTCTACAACTAGCGCAAGACTCTATCCGCACAACAATCAATCCGTCTACTCTTCCCCGTCTAGTCGAGCACGGAGTTCCGTGTCATTGAAAATGGCCCATTCACGGCTGGCTTCCTCGGTGCGGCTTCGAGCTTTCGCTTCTGGCGCTGCTACAAGTATCCGTTCTGCGGCTCCTGGTCTTAACGACCAAGAAGATGATCTCGAGGCGGTGGAGCAGGATGATGATTAAGACTATTGCGGTGTTTATGATGCTACATGCAATATTTTTGGAGACTGATCGTACACATTCGGGACATTTCTTTGTCTCTGTAGAAGAAAACTGACAACAGGCAAGAACGACAGCATATTCAAGAGCCTCCGGTAAGCAATTTCGCAACTGCCTCCTGTTAGTGTGGGAAAGCAAGAAATCTCAAAGATGCACTCAGAGTTGTGATTTCAACATGACCCTCTAAGGAGAGTGCATCCCAAATCCCAGTCTAAGTACAAGCTATGGACGCGGAGGAAGTTGATGATGGGGACACTTACGGAATTTCTGGACCCAAGTCGGTCCTAAAGCAGTGGCCGTTCCTAGTGCGCAAGACTCTTAGACGCGACTTGCTCAGCGTTACGGAGCCAACATTTGTCTTTGGTGCTCGAGGCTCGGGAGCACGCTCAGCGATCCGCAACGCCATCAATCGGGATCTCGATTTCGATTTCGGTCTCTATGAAGCCAGCAACTTGCAGGAAATCGTAGAATGTACGATTGAGGAGCTTACCCATACTGTGCTTTTGGACGACGTCGCGTCACTGGAGGAGCACGACAGAAACGCTATAGCGCAATCGATATCTTCCGCTTCTTCGTCTGGCACTTATCATGAGGGTGTTGAAGCATCTTTTTCAACGTCATCAGGTCCAGAAATACTAGGATTAGTAGAAGACGCATTCTTGTCGAACCTGTACAGCGCGCTGACGCGGACTGCGCAGACAAGACCTGGAGTGCCTAGTGGTTCGGGAACTGCAGCCTTGGAGAAGAGTATACTTATGCTTGCAGCAAAGGTGGCAGTGGGGGAAAACGCAAACCTACGGCCGATCCGGAAACTTCGATCATTTCTAGGAGAGCAAGCATGGGCAGAAAAGACACAGAAACTGCAAGACGCGCTTCAGCCAGGACAGAACGTATGGGTTAACTAAGTACTTAACTTAACAACAACAACAAGGTGATGAAGATGATTCCCTTTGTGATCTAGTACGAGATGACGTTTTCTAATTGTACCTTTTTCAGTGACGGGGCGGACAGGGAGAAACTGGACGCGGAGTGTGCACTTGAAAAATGTTCTAATGAAAAGGAAAAAAGTCGTACCCTACCAATCGAATAGAGTTATATCTTTCTGCTCCCGGTTTCCTATCAACAGGTCACGCCGAGTGCTGAGCAGTGTTTCGCGATTCTTCTGAAGGGTCTCAGATACAATACTGCGAAGCTTGCCAGCGATCCTAGCGCACACAAGCAACTACGTAAAGCAGATGCTATCGAGGCCACAGCAGAATTCCTCGCACATCTTCCGGATATGCTTGGCGAGGGAAGCAGTGCGGATACCAATGAGCGACATCTAGCGAGTCTCGAGTATTTTCTCGTGTACCTCGAATCCGAGCTGCAACAGAGCACAAAGAGTCCACACGAGGTGTTATCGATGTCGAGTGCGAAGAGAAGCGACTATGGCGAAGATCACGATGCACAGAGTAATGGCACGCCGGAAGATGCACGACCAAGTAAACGGTTTGTTGCGCTCGGTCGCTGCGAAACTTTATTTCGGAGTGAGCATGTTCCACGAAATTTTGGCCAGCGAGTCCTGGGCTTGTTCAAGGCTGTTTTCCGCGACTGGCCGCTTTTGATGCATGTGGGAAATGGCGACGGGATGGTGTTGCTTCAAAACAACCCTCGACACGTTATTCCAGTCGCGCCGCTGCGCGAAGACATGGCCAGAGCGCTGTGTGAACAGGTGGTTGGTAGACAACTAAAGTTGTCGACGAAGACCTCGCCAATCTTTGCCGTAGGTTTGCAACATCTGGCAGCTCCGCAGGAGAAACGAAAACTCCCGCTGTCTTTAAGGCTCGCCTCTCTGACAGATGTTGCGAATGCAGCTGCCTGTCAATAGAGATAACAGGATGGGCTTGTTCTTCTGCTTACCGTAACTGGACCTGGAGAAAGTTGTTTTATATTTCGTGAGATGAAGAAGACGTACTTACTGTGTGCGTTAAAAGTGGACAGCTGCTCCATCGTTATTGACGAACGAGCTTTATTTCATTTCAATTTCTAATCTCTGGCGCTGATGAATTTGGAGCTGCTAATGCAGCAATCAATCCACTAGCGCAACGGGTTGCCGCTAAAAAAGCTGCTCAGGAGGACGTCGACGAAAACCTTCTACTCGAGTACTGGGATTGGGAAAAGATCTATGCGTTCTTTGGAGGCCATGCGTCGCATTTTTATGATAAACCCTCTACTTCTTGATTAAGTTTAGGCTATAGCAGTAGCAAATAAGAACAATCGGAGTCAGGGAATTGTTCTTGTATTATCGGGCCTGTTGCTTATAAATATATAAAAGTTATATTATTTTCTGTGTTGAGTCTGATTCTGAACGGGAAACGATCTCGTCCTCTAATGGTCGAAGCTTTTTGTACAAGAACTGAATCAGTGTGCGAAAAGTCCACTGAATCAGGAATTGGCTGAGGCGACGGATCCAGAAGTGCAATACAAGTATCGACAGGAGCTTCAAACACCGAAAAATCTGACACACGAGGTGATTCGGAATGCCCGCCACACGGTGCTACCTCGCGAAACGGTGCGTTTTGAGTGGCAAGTCGATTACCTCAAGTCCTCTCCGTTGTTGGAATCAGTATCGAAAATGGAGCTGATAGAAACCATACGGGCTATTATAGCACAGGTAAAATGCTGAGTACAGAAGTACCTTACCTATACGTTTACGTACTTAGTGATTCTGATTTTAAAATAAATAATTATCTAATTTTGTGTTGTAGTCGTGGTTGAACTTGAGGATAGTAAACACTTTCTTTTGATTTTGGAGGTCGCGATGCTTTCTTGTTACGTTCCTAAGACTCGTTACCCAAACACCATCAGGGAAGCATTTCGATGCCAGAGAACTTCAATATTGAGAACCGAATATTAATCGCTCTACTCGATGCTCGTCTCCTGATACCGCAGTGGGAACCCGCGCGTCTACAATTTCCAACCAAATACACACGGCATCTGCTGCAAATTTGGATGGACATGGAGTACAACGAGATGTCCTTGAAGGATCGGGTGGAGTATAACATGAGTTTCTGGAAACACAGAGACCGTATTTGCCAAAGTGTCAAGCGAGTGGCACACTAAACAAGACCTCCAAAGCATTTCAATTTCATCTCGTCGTTCTTCTTGTGCATAAATGTTCATCAAGAGCAGACCGTTCTACTTTGTCTCATGAATTGTCAGGACCGACACGTGTCAAATCGAAAACTACATGATTACGTAGGATGATGATGATCGCAATCGCTACCACGTTCGAGAGGACGACAAGAAGAAAGAGGCACGCACGCAAAGCGCGAGGATCTCTTTGGTACTGACCTGTCGAATCTCGCGCTGTCGTATCGAGACAAACACACAGTCAGCTTTGCCCAATCAACGGCGTTGCCCTTCTTCAAAGAATCTTCGAGCCAAAACCATTCCAATATGAAACCTTTTTGGTGTGTCGAATTGAGTCTTCCAACAGTTTCAAAAAAACTGAGTCTTTTTTTGTTGATGTGGTGCTTCATGAATAAAGGCCTCCTCTTGATTCGCGTCAATCTTCTTGCGTATTGCAATTCTCCTGCGAATAGTTTTCGGGGCCCAGGCACCGGTAAAGATAGGCCTCTGAAGGGTGCCTCTGCGTAGGAAATCTGAACGTATGTTATGGTCGAGACTCATTATAGGCAAAAGCACTGACCAGGTCTCTGCCGGTGGTGAGGTTGTACACAATAGTGTTGTAATCAATCTCCGTTCACTTATCTATGTTGATGTAGCCATAGCAATTTGTGGCAGGTGGACAAGAAAAACAAAAAAGGCATCTGAAGATGGAAAATTCCCTGTGAACTACCTTCAACTCCTTCTACTTGAAGTATTTAGATTATATTCATTGTTAATGTTATCGGAGAAGACTCAGTAAAACTAAAGTGAACGTGGCACGACAGGCTAAAACCGCGGAGAAAAACAAAGGACACATTTCGCGTAGATTGTCATGCGCCTCGAAGATTCTGATTTTGTCGTACGTGATGTTGTTGCTGAAGGTGAACTCCTCTCAAGAATGATTTTAATTTTTTGTAACATCTTCATGTTCATTACAACTAGAAAAATAAAAGCTCTTTAGCTATTGCTCCACCACCCTAGAAAGAATCAATGGCTACGGTCGAGGTCGTCACTAATTACTTAAATCCATTTGAGTATATATAATGTAGCTAGAGTTTCATGTTCTTAGTCGTACTTTTGTGGTAGACCACAACAAGCATAATATTCAAGAAAAATGTCCGTACATATTCCGAAGCTGCAAGTGTTGAAGAAGGCGGCTTCGGACTTTGTAAAGACTTACAACGTTGAAGAGCCGGAAAATGCGGCTGGTGACCGAGTTTTGCGCAAGCTCCTCACCACACTTGGTGACGTGAAGCAGCTGTCATGGAAACACGGCGTGACCATTCTGCGACCCGGCCAAGAGCTGCCTGACCACCTCCTCGCAAAGGAAAAAGGAGAAGACGATGCTGAAAACGACACGAAAAAACGAGGCAGGTCTTCGAGCATAGCGTCCGCGAAGGGAAGTACGACAGGGAGCAAATCATCAAAAAACAGGAAGGAACGGTTACTACCAGACGAGGATGAAGAGACGGAATCGAACAGACCGGGTAAGAAGAGAAAGCTGTCGGCGGCCGGCCCTTCCACGAAACAAGAGGAAGCAGCAGGTGGCAAGAAGAAAATGGCGAAAGCAAAAGCAGGCGGAAAGCAGATCAAAAATGAGCCTATTGCGCCTCCTGACGACGTTTCAGATGCTGCGAAAGCCGAGGACGAGAAGGAAACCGACCCTGAGGCAGTCCAGCTAGCAGCATTCATGAAAGCAGCTATTGTCGAGGATAGAGAAGCCTACGAGACCAAGCTTCTTCGAGAAGTATGCGGCATGTTGCTTCCGACCCTTCACAAGCTCATCAGGCTAGGGACGTCCAAGAAAACCGAGTCAGCATCCCAGGCGAAGACCATGGAACTCAATACGGTTGAGTGCTTTGGGTACCGGCAATATTATTTCCTACCTGATACGCATTGCGAAATTCAGCAACTGTGTTATCATCATGCATGTACTTACATGTAGCCTGCTTCAAATCGATTACCGTACTACCTCATTTTCAACGTTGTTAGCGGCAGCCCTGCTGGAAGTGCAGGTGTACTATATTAGTACTCCTACTCACTGTAGGAAAGATGTTGTTGACCCTCTTTTTCTCCATTCAATGCAGGATCCTTCCGCTGCAGGCAACGAAGTGCTACTTGGAGCTGCTCACGATTAAGTATATTCCAATGACGCTGCCCGTAGAAGACATTCACGTAGATATGGTGCAGAGCGTCAAGCAAATATTTAAGCAGCTCCTTCAGTGCTGTTACGACTACAAGGAGACAAACGCGAACCGGTGGGGCCTTGAATTTGACGCCTACATGAAAGAAGAACTGGAGAAAGCTTCCGCGGATGTGCTCGGTAAGATCTATCTCAAATTTGCATCTTGATGTGATCGTCTTTTTCAATCATTTCTATGTTGTTTTTGTAGAACGAGAAGAAAATATCGATTTCGTTTGTCTGGTGATTCATTGTTTCACATTTACACTTCACCATCTGATAAGCGACTCCTATTCATCCACATAATCACTCAACAGTGCTCCTGCACGAGTACGTGGAACGACGTATGCGCGCGATGCCTTCTGCCCTTGTTGAACAGCTGATCGTGTTGACTGTTGGCGTTTTCTATTACTGTGCCACCACGATTCGACTGTGCGATGCGGCTGAAAAGTTAGTCTGCTCTTTCTTCTCGCGCGTCCCGGATCTGCGGCAGTCAGTTTTTCAGGAAGTGCTTGGCGGAGTCTCGAAGATACCACACAAAAAAACTATGCGAAAAGAGTTCGTGGCGCCATCAACAGGTCTCACAGTCTGGACGCGATTATGGCTGCGGCTGTTTCAGTGTGCCTGCAACCCGTTTGACGTTGCCGCAAGCTTCGACTCAACGGCCGTAACTCGAGACCAACTCGCAGCACAGTGGCAGGAGTTGCAGAGAATGGCGACAGGATTCGTTCACAAATTCCTTAAAAATCTGTTCAGACCGAGTACAAGCAAATCAAGAGCACTCTCCGACGAACACAAGGAGCTACTCGAGCACACGATACATGAGATTATCGACGCAGCGCATCGCCTCCCAGACCTTCCGGTCGCCTGCTTCGTGCTCGAAACCTTCGAGAAACTGCTTAGGTATCTAATACACGTAAATTCTAAATGTAAAATGCGGTGCCAAAACATGATAGGCTCAGACCACTCATGGAAGACAAAAAAGAAAATTGCAAGATAACTTTTTAACGGATTGCTCATTTTCTCTTCGCAGTTTCAAATCGTAGTCAGCCTAAACTTCATCGTTCTAGGTTTTTCTCGACGAACAAGGATTATGACGCGTCTGTGCGAGACTTGTCCTGCAAGATGCTTGCTTTGACAATCGCGAGCTGGCATCGAGAGGTTCGCAGCGGAGGCGAGGAATGGGAAGATCCGTATACGAAGAAGATGAAGACGTACTCGAAACAACTACAACAAGCAGCAGAGGAGAACAAGAATGATGATCTTGATGAGTTCATGAAGGAAGACGGAAATGAGGCGGAGCAGGCGCGGGGAGCTGACGGCGACGGGGATAATCTCGGAAATGCAGATGCGATGGACGTCGATCAGCAGAACAATCTAGACGGCGAAGGCCTAGATCTAGACGGGGTCGACGGAGCTGCTCCCGCGAAAGATGAAGCTAAAGAGGAGCAGCAGGAACAAGGCCAGACCGGCACCTCGGGCGAAGGTGCCGCAGCAGAAGGTGGAGCTGAAGGAGGCCTGGTGAAGGACGCAGAGCTTGCGGAAATCAAGTTTGACCCGGCACTCATCGGCGTGAAACGACCAGAAGCAGGCTCCCACTTCGACCTCGATTCGGCTCCCGGCCGACCTGGGAGCCCAAAAGCGGGGCGTTCCATGAAAATGAAGCAAAAGGACGACAAAGACCCGGCTCCGATGCCCACAGAATACGAGCACATTCATCACTGCTGCTGGAGAATGTACGATGCCATGCTAGAAGAGAAACCAGCGTTGTACGAAGACGTCCTGACAGAGGAGATGATGGAAGGGAATATCTTGTGGCAGCATCAACTCCTCATCTTGCGGCATTTGGCAACGTGTTGCGGTCAGGGCGGGCGCTGCTACATCCCACCGAAGGACCTCATCGAAAAAGTAGAAGAGGAGGAAGAGAAGAGCAAAACCAAAGATGAGAAGCAAGCGGATGACAAAATGAAGCGAAACAGCGCTGCTGCAGCCGACGACGGGGGAGATAATGAAGATGACATTTTAGCAGAGGACCAAGAAGAAACAGGGGGCAGCAAAATGAAAAAAGGTGGACCAATGAAAAAGGCAGCAGCAAAGCCGAAAGCCAAGAATGGCGCGAAAGCCAGCAAGGCTGCCGTGAAGAAGGAGGAGCCGACGGACAGCGCTGAGCAAGCTGACAACGCAAATGCAGCAGCTGCAGAGTCACCGTCAACTGCGAAGGAAGCTGAAGGAGGCTCGTCTTCATCCACTACGAAAAATCCAGCATCGCAGGTCGTCGCGAAAAATCACCTAAAGGTCGGATTTCGGGACTGTGTCATTCCTCCTGATCACGAAGTTTTTGCACGCTCCTTCCTGATCTGTTACTGGCTTCACAAGAACACGGAGGAGACGCAGAGCTTCAACGACGCCTTGCTTCGCATATTTGCGGATGGCCTAGACCAGCCTGGTAGCGTCGCAAATGTGACTGAGCGACGAACGATCGAGCATATAGGTTTGATCTCGGATACAGTCTCCACACTTTTTAAGAAAGCAGTGGTACTCTTCAACCGAACAGAGAAAGCAGATGCGGACTTCCGATCCCTGATGCAGTGTGGGAGCTCTCCATTAGCGTCACTGCGTCGAACAGCTATCAATGGAATGAACGCCGTTTTCAAGTTATGCTGACGTTGATGTTATTCTTGTTTCTAATGCAAGTAGAAGTAGAAGAAAAGAGTACTAAAGGATGACTGAAGAAAAACTAGCATATTCCTGACCTTGACTCTCCATCCAAGGCTGTAGTTGTGCATGAGTTGGTTGTGGTTTTTGATCGTGGCAAGAAGCATCGCTGTTCAGTTCTTCTAACGCTTGAGAATTTAGAAATGATCACCGACAGCCGCGTAGTGCGATTACTTGACGTGAGACTGACTGATGAAAGCAGCTGGGTACGCACGGCTGCCTTAGACCTTATCGGAAATTTTATCGAGCTAGAGGACGAAGACATGCGAAGTCGGGAGGAGTATGCGAATATGCTTGCGACGTATTACAAGGCCATTCGGGAACGCATAAACGACACCAGCACGTCAGTGAGACGGAAGAGCTGCCAGATTTTAGCAGAATTCATAGTGACGAACCGTGAACACCCAGACGTAGCCGCTGTTGCGGTCGAATTGTTGCGACGGTCGCGCGACAACCTGTTTATCAAGGGCAAAGTTATTGAGGCCTTCGTCAGTCTCTGGTTTCCGTCCGACGAGCAGTGGATAGGGGGTGCCGGTGCCGTATTCGAGATCACGACGCAGATGTGCAAGCAGTTTAGCTACGTCGTCTACGAGTCAGTTCAGAGCGGAATTGATAAGGAATTCTTTCAACAACTCATCAACTCCTCAACGATGCAAGTTCACGGCGACACAAAGAAAAGTATGATTTCGAGCTGGGCAACGAAAGTCTTCGAATGTTTTTGCAACAAAGACAACACCTGGGAAGAAACATGCGCGTATTTGGTACAACTATCTCTATGAACATGCACAGATTAGATAAATTGAACTTCCCAGGTCCGGAAACTGAGTTCCCGCTCTTAGTTCATGGGTTTTTTTAATACTCTTCTAACTCTTCTTGTTCCAGCACCAGGACCAGCCTTTCCATTCGCTTGGCTTGCTCGTCTTCTTGAAGCTGCTAGAAGATACTTAATAAAATAGATATTGATAATGATATACCCTAGATAATATAATGCTTCAACTCCTTTACAAGCATGAATTTTTCAGGTAACAATGCAGTCGTTTTCAGCAATTCAACCAGACGCCTACGCGCAACAGCTGAAGGGCTTGACGCTCTATGTTCGGTTAGACAAAAACTCGACTGATGAGAACGTTTATGTAGCAACTCAAGTGTGCTACCTGATGGCCAACGTCTTCGAAAGCAACCAGTCGGGCAGAAGGTACTTAAGTTGTAACGAAACCTGCATAGCCATAGTCACGAGCTTAGGTCTGATAGTGAATATCTCAGAGCAGTTTATAGCACGCATGGTGCATGGAGTGGCATGGAGTGCATGGAGCACTTGCGCCACTCCCACGCATGGAGTGCATGGGGTGGCCGCGTGTCACGCATGGAGTGCATGGAGCACGAGGTGGCGCGCTAGCCTCTGCCATCAGCCGCTCCCCTCCTGTCGATCGATGGAGCAGCGGCGCAACGCAAAATCGGCCCAGGACTGAGAGGCCGTCCCCCCTCGCCTGTCCGCTTTCTATGGTTGCCGACCCAGTAGGGGGCGTCACTGTGAGCCTCGGGCCGTTCCCGCTTGAGATTCCGGCCTTCGACGAGCCCCCCCGGCCTCCGGTTCTGCGGGGTACATGCAGGAAAGGCGCCCCTTCAGCCCGGCAGACCCCGCCAAAAGGGGTCCCGCCGGGGCTGAGAGGTTCCCCCCTCGCGTTCCTAGGTCGGGGATGGGTATTGCGCCCTGGTTGAGCCCGGGGACACACATACACAGCCCCCCTCTTCAACTTTTTGCATGGGTCAGCCCCGTGTGGTTGCCTAGAGCGGTGCAGCAGTAGCAAGGCTTGCTCCGGAAGAGGAGTGAACCTCCCGAGGATGCGACTTGCTGGGCCCTTTGCCGAAATTTTCGGGCACCGAAGTACCTGGCAACGACCACCAGGGGCAGCAATGTGTGCCAGGGCGCCTAAACCTATGTAGCAGCAAGCCCGGACTGCCGGCCAGTGTGGGCGTGGTGCTTCGTCCTCGAGTCGACCGCCCCATCGTCTCATCGTTGCAGTACAGGGCTGAAGCGGACGAGTCTCGGGCAAAGGGGTGCCCGAAGGGCATCCCGCAAAATTTTCACGCATGGGGTGCATGGAGTAGAAGTGGGGGCTGGCAAGATTCTTGCCACTCCATGCTACTCCATGTGATCCATGCACTCCATGCCACGCACGCCACGAAAGCTTATAAATTATTCTGATATCTGATAGAAAATTACTAGTGTAAGCAATTTTGCTACTATTTTTATTAAGGAGTCTCCTTAAGGAAGCCTTCTTAAGGAAATGGCATTGTTCAAGAGATTTCTATTATACGGCTCTATAATCTTAATCACAAATGATCCATTATAGGCCTCTCTTAAGGGAAAAAAATGGCCCTTAAGGGAGCTCCTTAAGCTTAACCTTCGGGGAGCACTTGTAATATTAAAGTTAGGCTAATATTAGCCCCTTCTTTAAGGGCTGCCTCAACCCCTTACGAGGTCCTCCCTGAGAATTTAGAAGAGCACAATAGGCCAAGCTGTGCGCTTTGCTAGCTGAGCTTGCCATAACGATAGCCAGCTTGCCAGCTTAGCCATAGCCAGCTTTCTAGCTTAGCCATAGCCAGCTTGCTAGATTCGCCATAGCTAGCCTGCTAGCTTAATAGCCATGGCCAGCTTCCTAGCTTTGGTTAGCCGTTGCCGGCTTGCTAGCTGAGCCATAGCCACCTTGCTAGCTTACCCATAGCCAGCTGGCTGGCTTGCTAGCTTAGCCATGGCCAGCATCTACGCGTGCTACTTTATTCGAAGCCAGCCTCGCCTAGCTTAGTCGTGGCCAGCTTGATTCATTCTAGCAAGCTCCAAGAAAGCTCTCCTCTTTTGCTAGATTCTCGTGGAGGTCCCGCGGATTCTCGTGAATTTATTTGCGCGACCCCACACATTCTCGGAAAAAGCACGCGAGTGCCAGACAGTAGCTGCGCAATGATGCGGGCGCACGATGTCCGTCTAGACAAATCCGCGCGCGTAGCTAGCTTGGTGACTCCGCGACTTTCTTCGTTTGGCATGTCATCTGCTTAGTAGTTGCTAACCTATGCCCAGTGCAGCGGGCCCTTGATGGGCCCGCTTTCTGGGCATGTATTTCTATACATAGCGGCACACTCTAGCTGGGCTGCAAAAAACGCAGATTATCGCTGGGCACTTACAATCTCAATCACACACAGTTGCTACAGCGCCCTGAATGTCCCGGAGCTGTGTCAATTTCTGAGGCAAATGATTCTTCTACAGCCGATGGAGTCTGTTGTAGCAGCTACAACCTGTTTGTGTGCGGTTGTGAAGGTTCTCGGCGGTGACTGGGACGGTCTTATCTGGACGTGGGTTGAGATGGGAATGAAGGCGTTGTGGACCATCTATGTGTCTGTGAAAAACAAGAAGATGCCAGAAACTCAGCAATGTCTCGTAACCGCACGTTTAATGGTTTTATTGTCAACCATTGCGCAGAACATCAAAGTGGACGAAGCGGACGGGAGTATTCTATTAAGGCGCAATGAATAAGATTCAATGATTTCGACAAGTCAGCTCTCACCGTTCCCTTCTTATCAATAGGTTTAGAAGAAATGCAAACCGGAAATGCAGATCGTTTTCCGCTCTAATTCTATCCGCGAGTAGGCGGAAGACAATGCACGCCAGCGGCTGCTTCGGTCGCAAGAAGCCACGTACTGTAAAACAAGGCAGCGATGAGGTGCCAGCGTTCGCCAAAACGCTCAAAGAACTGCTTTTAGCCCTGTACGAGCATGACGACGAGCGCTATTCACCAGTGGTTTTGCCTTGCCTAGGTAGGTTTCTCATGACGCACCGCCAGTTTGCAAGAGAAAAACTAGTGCAAGACGCATGGAGACATGCACTACAGCATGACACTGAACACGTTCTCGCACGCCAGAATGCCAAAAACTTCGTACACGATGGCGAAGAGCAGGAAGACGCCGAAATGATCGACGTAGCATCTGAAAAAGACGACGAAGACGATGTTTTCCACGATGCGATGGACGATGAGGAAGCACTACATTAAGTCAGAGATACTTAATCTATAGTCTTATTGTACTTCATCAAGAATACAATCTCACATGAAGCTCCAGCATATGTAACTTGAGCTCAGTTCTAGACGACCTCGACTTCATATCAAGAACAGCTAACTGAACTCAAACTCATTTCTACACGATCTCGTAGTACGCATGAATTCACTAGAAGTTGCGTAAACTAATTGAGTAGAAGGGAGGCCGAGGAGAGGCTTTACTAAGTTTGTCTTCTTGCTTGATCTGCTGTGAGTCGTGAGGAATGAGTTTTTGATTATTCGAATTCTAGATAGAGGGAGCACACAGCGCGCCGATCGAGGCAGAGCACGCGCGACGGCCAAAGATACCGAGACTAACAGGAGACGCAAAAGAAACTGTTGACGCCGCTAAGAATCCCAAGGCTGGCTCATCATCAGACGCATCGAAAGACTCAACGTCTCCTCCACCAGCGAATGGCGCTGAGGCTCCTGCAGAGCGGAAACCCAGTGGTGGCCTCGAGAAAGTCGCCACACCTAGACCAGGGAGTGCCCAGCGCGGCTCCGTCAGTGGAGATGCTAGTCGTGGCGATGATCCGACCCTCATTAACTTGCTGGGTCTCGAGCGAACGGACGAAGTGGGCTTTGACTCTGCCACCGGCTTTCGGCCCGACGCTTGGGTTCGACGCGGGATCAAATCGTTGTTGGACCTCCTTGTCTACTTCGGCGATGCTGCTAACAAGGAGTCAGATATTAAGTTCACTGATGCCGACAAGAGCGACCGCAAGGGGCAATGCTCCGCTGCAGAAAGCTCCAGTCCACTGCAAACGCACTTGGACAACGCCTTGACCTTGCTGTTCGAGCATCCGGACAATGATCGCAGACGAGACGCGACTGGCATTATCCGCGAGCTCCACAATCAGGGTCTTTTGAACCCCATGAACGTGTTTCCGAGACTGGTTGGTCTCTGCTTCGAGATCGGGGAGGTGCCGAAGGGCGCGACAGATTTAGCAACGCAGATGCTGCAAAGCCGGCCTCAGATGTTGCTGTCGCGGGTTGCGGACTGTCTCAGCAATGCGTTTCTCACCCTCTTACGAAGTGAAGCCGTCTACGGAGGACAGGACGACATCCTCCCAACGCATTTCGTCGCAATGTCGCAAATGTATCAAGACTTTCAGAAAAAAAAGGGAATCAGAGAACCCTTCTTTTACGGCGAAATTGTGTCAACGTGTGGGATAAGGAATTATTTCCAACGAACTTTTGCAGTGGTCTTCTACTAGCATCTTTCCTTCTTCCACGAGCTGCCACTAGAAGAAAAATACGACTGAACCATGTTTAGAATCGCATTGGTAAAGAACGACAAGACCGCCATCCACGTGCACATTCTCGTCCACCCCCTTTCATTTAGCGAAGGCATTGATGGATCAAGTTGCGAGTATAGGCCACAAAGAGAGCTGGGACAACCGGTTTCCGCAGTTCAAAAGCCTTGAAGCTGTCGTCATCGGAAAACTCACTGAGAGGGTGCCCGAATGGCAAGACCTTCCGAGAGCCTACCTCTATCGAGCACTGTATTGATGTTTTTTTCCTTGCTTAATTACTGTAGTTGTACTAGTGATTTTATTGTCTCATTTATGGTACTAGTACTAGTACTTGGAAGACGAGCTCAATCATGATGTTGATGATCCTTACCCCGCCGGTTGATACATTGGTGTACGCGACAAAGAGGGTACAGGTTCGTGCAGTTCGTCTGCTGCGTCATAGGAGCCTTACCCTTCCAGCACGAGGCGGAGCCTCTTTTCCTGGTTTACCATATTACGCGATGGACGACACTCCATGCCGACAGCAAAGTATCGCAGTACGAGCAAGCGGAGGGAAAAGCAGTCGATAAGTTAGACCTCTTTTCAGTGACCGTCTCGAGCGCGGCTCTGACACTTTTGAAGAAAGCTCTGAAAGAGGAGTACAATCTTACCGACGACCGCTGCCGAGAATACGAGCCCAACGAAAATAAAGTCGATAAAGGAGGCCGCACATTGGGTGGCGTCGGTGACAAAGGCGACGAAACGCAGGGCGCGTCAGGCGGCCTCAAAATCAAGTTTCCGCTGCCGATGTGGAAGTCTATCGCAGAAGAGTTTAGCGTCGATGCGGTATTTCTTAACATGTTTTTTTATTTAGTAAGAGTAAATCCGAATCAAATCTGACAGATATCGATATGAATGTCTCAAAATGCGGCTGTACTAGCATTTGCTGTTGATTTGTTATCACTTCTGGCGTGCGTGTGAGTGTGACCAAGCGTTTTCATCATCTTATGCATCGAAGCCATGCCCATGACTGTGCGTGTCCTTTGATTTGCCCTTGTTTGGGTCCTGAACGAAAAGTACGATCTAACGATGTCTTCTTACAGGAAAAGAATGTGTCAGTCCTGCGGCAGATGGCCGAGCGCGAGGGAGCACATGACGTGAACGTGAATCGTATTACTGTGCTCCTCAACAATATGGGTGAAGGCGGAAAGCGGACCGGAAAAGGAAGAGGTCGAAAAAAGGCAAATCAACCAGCAGCTGAGGTGGGTGAGGCACCCGCATCGGGAAATGCGGAACCCCAGGAGCAGGCTAGCACGGGAAATAAAAGACCTGCGAATAAAAAGGCATCGATGTCAGGCAGCCCACAGGACTTTGACATGGAGGAGGAAGTGGTAAATAACAAGAAGAGCAAGAAGGCGGCCAAAGCTGGAAACAACAAAAAGGGCAAGAAGTAAAACTGAGAACACAACCTCCACTTCAACTGTTTTTTATTTTTGGCGAGGATTTGAAATATTTCATTGTCGCTAGTACACCGGGAGATGTTGCTACTGCCAACATTTTTACATCTACTGTCCAATTCTAAATAAGATCCTTTTATTCTATAAAATATACTGAAACTAATCATTTTTTCAGCCCCAACCATATAGGTAAGTACTTGAATGAGGACAAGCGGTCACTACATCTCCTGGACTACTTCTATTGAGAACAAAAAGCTTCGGAAACAAATATTTGAGAATTGCCATGCGCATGGAACACACTTGTAACCGTATTCAAATCGAATAAGAATAACCTACAACAACACGATGAACTGATGAACTAATTACCAATCATCTAGTATCAACAACAAGGAGGAACTTTCACAACTATTTTTGACATCTTCAGCAACAAAGCTATGCTGGAGAAGAGTTTTCGCATTAATCATAATCTGTTCTCAATCCCGGGCAATGTCAAAAAAGGCAAAGCCGCCTTTCTGAATCAGATGATCTGCGTTCGAAAAGCAGATCATCTCCCTCGCATCCGCTGCGGGTATGATGCAGATCATCTCGCTCGCATCCACTGCGGGTATGATGCGCGTGATTCTCTGTTCAAAGCAGAGGACGATATTTGGTGATACCTGTCGTGTTCACACAGACAAAATCAACTTCAACATGATAGGTACTTAGTCCTAATCACGGAATCGCATTCATGCGGAAATCTGCGGAGATGAAGACAATAGACGAAGATGAACAATATCAGACGCTCGGAGATAGAGCTGGAGAGAAAGAACAAGAAGTGTCCCTAAATCTTGTGAGTGAGCAAGTGAACGAAGCGTACCATTTTTTTCATGATCCAACTCAAGAAGCTGAGAGTAGACAGGCTAAAGCTCAGAAGACGTTGTTGCATTTTGGACGAGCCACCAAGCTTAAATCCTTCGCTTTTAATAAACAATCAACCTCTTCATTTTCATCTTGAGTTCTTATTGACGAGGGTACAAATAAAACCTGACCCACTTCTGCGAACGCGACATCATAAAGATAGGATGCTCGCGTGGCTTTTCACACCGTGCTTGCCTGCGAAGAGAGTAGAGGCATGGTGCGGACCGATCGAAGGCTCCAGACAGCGTGGAGGCTTTCTTGTCAATGGTATTTCATAAACGCACATTGATGATGTGAAATAAATGGAATACCAAGTTGCACTCGACACGTCGAGAAGTCATTTCTTCACTTTCGAAAAGTACAACTTCTAGATGATGGAGTTGGTTAAATCATTAAAGCTAAACGAAAATCCCCGACGACCATCCAGGTGCAGATGATGAAGCTGAGCTCGTTGTCGGCGATGACCGCGATGACATAGAAAAGCTCTCGAGGTTTTCGCCATCGCTAGTACAGCTGCACATCGACAAAATAACTGGCCACGCAGAAGAAGAAGAAGATGATGAAGCTGATGTTGTGCCTGTTGACTCCGTAAAACGGAAAAAAGAAGGCTTAAAAGAATGCCCAAGCAGCGGTTGTAGCACTGCCGCCTCTGGCGCCAGCTCGTTGGATGCGACAAAGCAAAAAGTAGATGCACCTTTTCGATTAGCGGGTGGTGTCGCGTCATCAACAACACAGAAGGAGAATGGCACAACCGCTTGTACAACCACGAGCAAAAGCACCGCTAGCGCAGACGGTACGAAGGCGAAGAGCGCGTCTTCTGGTGGCACACCTACTGTATCGCCAGAACAAAGCTTGAAGGACCAACTGACTGGAGAGTGGCTCAACGTTTCCCAGGAAGGATTTGAAGATGTCATGAGGGCGTCAGGCGCGCCATATATCGCAAGAAAAGTACTACAAATATTTAATAAAAATGGTCTCGAAATGTGACTCTTTGAAATACTCGTAGTTGCAACGAAATTTTATCAAATCTGATGAAAAATGCTGTTGGCGTTGGTAGCAATTGTCTGGCTCACCCTATCATCTTTTCATTGTTGAAGCGGATCAAATAAGGAATGCAGAAGAGTCAACATTTGTTTTGGATGATGGTTGTGATCAAAATATCTTTGCTTGCGACGCTAAACAGGTAGCAAAAGTAATGGGTTTCGGAGTCGGGAAATCCCGGCATCGCTTTTCCTTCAACGACGAATCGAACAGTATGAAAGTAGGCCACGTCGGCGGCGTAGCAGGCTCCATGGAATTCAACCTCCCACTAGACGGCATAGAGCGCGACATGAAGGGCCCAATGGGCCAGGCAATGACTCGAAGTTACTTCGAGGGAGATGCTGTCTGCGTACAGCTGAAACACAGACCGGGGCAGGTCGACGTGATCAAAAGGTACTTGTTCTTGCGTATCTATTACAGCTTACTAGCCGTAGTTCGCTAGAGTTAATGTTGTTCGTGGAGATGGACGTGACACTGACAGCAAAGTGCTTTTTTATCGGGGCTGCGGCTCCGTTCGAATTTCATTTTTTACCAGCCGTTCCTCACCTGACTCTGGCATGATCGTGCCGCCGCATCCTCACTTAGACCACTTCCCATCCTGACTTCCCATCCTTCTATCAAGTAAATTAGAAATCCGAATCATGAAGATCTACATCTCAAACATGAACAGACGGATCTTGGACGCTGAAACAATGGAGATGAAGTGGATAGTGCAAAAAGAAGGCGAGCCTGACGTTATTTGTATTCGTATTTGGAAAAAGCAATCGGATCCATCGGATTGATGTTCGCGTTTTTGATCCTGCTGATGAAGATGAGCATTCGGGTTCGGTCGCTTAGTAGTTCAAGGGCTATTCCCTCTACGTCTACACACATACTACGATCACGAATTTCACGCAGCGAGCGTCTCTTCATCTTGTTCATACCAGCGCACCATATTCATGATCGACAACCCTAAGCCCGTTGTTGATCTCTTGCAAGGCCCCCGCGGGTGTACTACGTTGTACGCCCTTCTTACAAGCACACATAATGAGCTAAACGTTCGACGCGCTTCCCATCCCAGGCCCAGCCGTTGTGGCGCGGCTGCGATTGGGCAGGTTTGATGAACTCTGCGGAGAATTCTAGCGAAGCTGTCACAAGCTCCTGCCAAGGCATTTCCCCTTATCCTCACGCTCAGATGCAGTGTCACGAACTGGATGTCACGTGTACGAAAATATTAAAATGAGTAAATGGTTAGCGAACTCCGCTGTCATTTTCATAGACGCAAGAACTTGAACTTTAACTTTATCAACAACTTTTTTGTTGTTGTTGTTGAACATGGTGATGGAGGTGGTAGAGAAGTCATTCATTGTTGACACGACGCTACGCATAATGTTATCATGTTAAAAGTTGTTTCAGAAACGAGAGCGTTTGGAGCCGATGCTCGTGGGAAGACGAATTTATTGAACGGTCGTGACCGTGAGCTAATCGCTTGTCCTCCAATATAGACGTAGAAGGAAAGATCGTTATCAGACTCCATGTGTTCATTTCCAGAGTCGCAGCATTCATTGAGTTGGCTAACTTTGTGAATAGAAAAGATGTCTCTGTCATATTTATTTGGACGACTCAGAGGGCTTACGTTGAGAAGGTGAAAAAGAGAAATAAAGCGTAAATCTAAAGGAAAGCCGCGTCAGCTACACCTTATATATTCGCGCGCGATTGGGAATTCTAAGTATTTTCGCGTGTGACATGGAATCATGTAGATGATCTACATGTGATCGCGTCCTAAATAATCTGTGTCTGCAATCATGCATGTTGTCTATGTTGGTTAGTCTTTCCCCTACGAAGGCAGGAAGGAGCTGTGTCGAGGCAGATATAAAAAGCCAAGTAGAAGGACGGCTAGGACAAAGATTCTGGTGGAGACGAGGACACAAAGAAGAAGCATGGCACGTTGATATACCTGTGTGTTAATCGGCTAAATCATGACCATGACGCTATGTATCGCAACCAGTTGTTTATGGCTTGTTTGTCTATAATGAAAATACTTCTCGCACATTTACTCATACTCATCGTCTCTTTCTCCAATTAACTTATCATGAGACGTTGTTCCCCTATATGGTGCTTGCCCAGCGGATCAAACATGACTCTGATCATTTTTGAATTATGTCTGATCTCCTTGCCAATCAAAACGAGCAAGATGAGGGTGAGGTGGTAAGTGGAGCAATGTGATGATAAATTATGACGTGTTGTGACCGACAGTCGTGCCTGCTGCTGCCAGCGGGACCAGGACGCCCCAAACTGATGAGGTGACAAGACACTGCTCCACTAACGACTAGCAAGAGCTGCTCGGCTCTGCTTTTCAGGATTATCTGGATAAGCCGCAGTGTTTGTGGTACCATCAGCCTGTTTAACTGCACTCAGGTCACGAATCAATACGAAAGCGCAGTGCGGGTGAAGTTGCGCAGCGACTATTTCCTTTACGTGCCGATCTTAACCGTCGCGCCAGTATTGCACATAAACTCCGTTACGCATATTCTCAAATGAGACGTTAACTGTGGTGTTGAGCGCCGCTCGCTGTACCGTGATTCGAAGCAACGACGACGAGTCATCTGGAGAGGGCCGATTTTTTCCTTCTGAACTCACCAGTAAAATTCGTGACGAAGACGTGCTACAAGGCTAAGGCACCAGGTTAGCCTCTTCCGGCTTTCGACTCCAGACCCTTGACGCACAGCGCCGTGAGCCGGACCTCCAAACGGTGGATACGAACACTGTCAACGTCTCAAGAGCAAGACGACTGGAAAGAATACATTTCACATCTGCAGGCATCGGCAGCATAGTTCGCATTTTCAAAAAATTGAACACGTGTAAGAAAGAACCGCCTACACCTCCTGAGAGCCTGCTTTGATTTTATGCTCGTCCCTAATAAATCAAGTGGTATTTGTTCTTGAACGAGAATCCTTCTGACCACGCCTCCTGTATGCCGTCGATAAACACAATGGTTGATCCTGCGCAGCCCACGGGCTCCTCAGGAGACGACGCCTACGCGGCAGGAACTCTCATCTGGATCAGGTCTGAGGAGGAGGTTTGGCAGGCTGCAGAAGTGCTGTCATCGAGTAAAACCGAACTTATCGTCAAACTCGAAACAACAAACGATCAAATCGTCGTGAACCCTGCAAAAGACCAGGTCTACTTGCGAAGTCGCGATCTCTACACGGCTGAGGGTGAAATTTTTTATATATGAAATTTGTTGTTTTTTTTCACTGTCGCACCAGAAGCAGAACCAGTACTTCTACATGCTTGCTATCTGGATCCAATGGATTGACGGGCATGTTAATCGAAAAATGTCCCTGTGTTGTATCATGTCTATCGCTTTCATCATTTTCAATGGATACTCCCACAGGCCTCGTCGCGCTCGACGATCTGACTCAGCTGACGCACTTGCACGAGCCCGCAGTGCTGCATTCGCTTCAAATGCGTTTCGACATTGACAAAATTTACACGTTTACGGGACCGATTCTCATAGCTGTGAACCCGTTTAAAACGATTTCAGACCTGTATTCGCTGAAAACACTAAAGTCCTACATTGCGGGCGGCGACAACCTCGCGAAACCGCACGTCTATGCCACCGCGGCTGCAAGTTTCAAGGGGCTCTGCGAGGGAGACAGCAGCCAAACGATATTGATTAGTGGTGAGAGTGGTGCGGGTAAGACGGAAACGACGAAGTTCGTGATGAAATTCCTCGCCCTAGCCGGAGCAGGCGAATCAGGGGTCTCAGATGTCGAGCGACAGGTGCTGGAGAGTAACCCTCTTCTCGAGGCATTCGGTAATGCGAGGACACTCAGGTAGTGACGAGCCGATATACCACCCTATTACGTAATCATGAAAACTTCTAGATCGAGTCCTAGTTGTTAGAAGTAGATGACATGAGTCTTCCTCTTTGTGATCGGTTTATTCGCCTCGTCCAAATAGAAGAAGCTGTTTCAGACTTTCTCATCTGTGTGTGACCTGTGTTTGCTTCAGCTGCACATTTCCGTTTTGTAACCCCACCTTCAGGAACGATAACTCCTCTCGTTTCGGAAAATTTATCGAATTGCAATTCAAGCCTAGTGGAAGCGGCACCACTGGTTACCGACTTTGCGGAGCCAGAATCCACACTTACCTCCTAGAAAAGGTCCGCGTTACTGAGCAGCAGGAAGGCGAGCGAAATTTCCACCTTTTTTATCAAGCGTGCGCAGCGGCTTCTGCAGTTGCGGGTGACACGCCGCCAAGTCTTGGCGACAAGCTCACATATCAGGTACTTTCTTATGAATTTCGAAACAAAAGCTCTCTTTCTATTTTTGACTCAAGAACTTCTGCTTCAACATCATGACATCTTCCAACATCAACACTCATGTAACTATGTTTGTACACGCAATTAGAACCTCATGTTGAATTCCAAATCAGTTCCCGCAACTTCGGACTGATGCACGCGCAGCGACATTTGATTTGAGTGGGTTCGGAGCGTACTCAAATTTTCGATACTTGACGCGCTCCTCGTGCTGGCAATTGAAGAATGTGTCAGATCAAGCACAATTTGAGGACACGTTAAACGCGATGCTCACCATCGGCATCTCAGAGTCGCAAATCAACGCGATATTAGCTTGTGTTTGTGCGGCACTGCATCTCGGATCGGTCACGTTCGAGAAAGCGCCACAAGATTCGGAGGCATCAGTCGTTTCGGCCGATACGGCGGAACGCATGGCGCAGGCAGCCAAATGTCTAGGGGTGACGGCGGAGCAGCTCGCGCACGCGTGCAGCCACAAAACAATCAAGACAGCAACTGAAGGCAGTGTTGTCGCGGATCTTCGAACAGAGCAGGCAGAGGCGTGCAGGGACGCAGCGGCGCGTTACCTGTACGGCCGCGTTTTCATAGACGTGGTGCAAAAAACAAACGAGAGTATCGGATATCGAACAGACGTGGACCTTTTCTGCGGCGTTCTCGATATCTTCGGTTTCGAATGCTTCAAGATAAACTCTTTCGAACAAATCTGTATCAACTACACAAACGAACGATTGCAGCAATTCTTCAACGAGTTTGTCTTCAAACTCGAGGAGTCACTCTATAATCGGGAAGGTACACATCGACTTCTAGCACGGCAATTGACTACATGTTCTCTCTTTTCACGAGCTGTGTGGTCGATCAAATGTGAGGGAGTAGTTGTAAGGTGCAACTAAGTAGGTACATTGATTCTATATGATACAGACGCACAACTATGCTTCCTAACCTAATGCGTTGCCGTTGCGAGTGCACGACCAAGAAAAGCAAAAGAATTATGTAACTGCTGATAGTCCTCTAGCGTAACTTACTGGTTGGACACCAGCATGATCGGCTTTTTGATTAACAAAAACTGGACTAGGACTTGGTCTTGGACACAACATAATCGCATTCTAGGTATCCCCTGGGACCCCTTGGACTTTCCGGACAACCAGGCCTCAGTGGATCTTTTGGAGCAAAAGCCAACGGGTATTTTCGCGATGCTCGACGAAGAGTGTATGGTACCGAATGGGAGTGATCAAGGCTTCGTGAACAAGCTAGTGAAGCAGCACTCTGGGCACATCCGTTTCGACGTGATCCGGACTAGACAGAGCTGGTTCGTCGTGAAGCATTTCGCAGGGCCCGTGGGCTACGAAAGTGCAAATTTCATGGACAAGAACAAAGATCAACTGTCGATGGACGTCGTCGAGCTCATGAAAAGCTCAACGAACGAATACATCGCGCACTTGTTCAAAACGGATAAGAAATTTCTACAGGTAAAAACTGAATGTCAAGCATGTAAGCCTGTGTATTAAAGCTTAGGGAGGTCAATTACATCAACATCCAAAGATTGATTGGTGTATTTTTATTCATATTCCACCCTTGCAGTTATATTAGTTCCATTATATTCATTGTCTTTTTCTCGTCTCGCTTTTACTTCTCCCTATCTTCCCAACAGAGCGAGGGTCCAGAAGCGCGCAGAATGTCGCGGAAGAAAATAGTGACGATAAGCTCAGAGTTTCGTGATCAGCTACAACACCTTATGACCACTGTGAAGAACACAGAGCCGCATTTCATTCGCTGTATCAAGCCGAATCCTCAGAATTTGTGCGACGTGTACGACAGGCCTGGCGTAACGGAGCAGCTACGGTTTCATTTTGTCTGAGTCTTTCGTTTTGGATCTGCATCTGAGGAATTGGGATGACTCACGAATTTATAACGAAAAGCAAAGAACGCTGAATGTTGTAAGTACTTTGTTATCTCTTCTGCTAAGCAACAGTAGCGTTACTTCTTGAAGATGCGAAGAGCCACTAGCTACATTACACCAACTACAATAACAATTACCCCAGATACGGTGGTGTGCTGCAAGTTGTGCAGGTTTCCCGTGCCGGTTATCCGGTCCGCGTTAAACCGATAGACGCTTGGTTAGACTACAGGATACTTCTGCCGGCGCATCTCAGACAAGATTTTATGGGACAAGATAGCAGTGCAACTAGTTGATCTTCATGTACAATTTCAAGTCAAAAATTGAACTGCTACAATGCTGCCGTGTACTTAAAAGAGCGACTGACATCACGATAATTACCGAAACTACTACGAATGACTCAACACTGCGGTCTCCCGTCTCCGTCTCTCTTCTATGTACTACCCCATTCTCCTATGTGTCTGTGTCCCAAGATTGTTGTGCCCGTCCTTCATTATCCACGAGGAAAAGGAGAAAGTGGAGGAAAAAGTGAAGTTGATGCTGACGTACCTTGTTCGGGAGTTGAACATCGTGATTTCGCATTCCGTCGGACCTGTGTGGGCTGTGGGTAAGACCTTGGTGTTTTTCAAACAGCACACGTATGAGAAAATCTCGCAACGACGGCTCATTATCCGTGGTGCGGCTGCGGTAAAGATACAAGCAAAGTACAAAGCAGTGAAAGCTGCGAAGAATTTCGAACTCTTGCAATTCTGTGTCAGTCACATGCAGGCTTTGTTCCGAGCAAAGCAAGCACGAGATTTGCTGGACGAGAAGAGACAACACTATGCAGCAGTGCAGTTGCAGAAAAAGGCAAGAGCGCTCGCAGCTACAAAAGAGTATTTGATTGTCTCAGTAGGATCTGCAACTGCAAATGCAATGATCATCAACCCTTGTATTTATTTTGCATGACTGCTACAAAAATATGATTGGTTCTTTCAACACCTCGTGATTGAACGAAAGTAAACGTCTCCTGTTCCATTATCAACATTTTCGATATTCGCAAAAAAATACGCTCTACTTCGAGTTCGATTTCAGCAAAATATCAAAGGTACCGCCGTGTCCGTGTGGCGATAATAGCAATCCAAGCAACGTGGCGAGGTCGGCAGGGACGTACTTACGCGAAGGAGTACAGGAGGTACAGGGCGAGCGTGCGCATCCAGTCAAAATGGAGAGGCGTTTTGGAGAGGCGCGTTTTTGCCGCTCTCGTCAAAGGTATCAACCAAATGCAGACGCGGTGGCGCATGAAACAGGCGAAGGTACAACTCAAAAAGCTGAAAGCAGAAGCAAAAGAGGTGGGGAACTTGTTGGCCAAGCACCAGAAGCAGCAAGAGCTTATGAAAGACCAAACCCGCAAGCTGCAAGACGCGGAGAGCTCAAGCTTACAGCTCAAAGCCGAGAACAAAGAGCTGCTCAGCACAGTACACAAACTCGAAGCGGACCTGAAAAAGCAGGAAAATCGCATGGCAGAGATTGCAGCGGAGGAAGAAGCGCGAAAAGCGAAAGAAGCCGAGGAAGGCGACCTCGCGAAGATCAAGTCCCATGAGCTCGACGCGCTGCAAACGGAGGCAGCAACGCTGCGAGAAGAAAACGCGCGACTGAAGGAAGATATCATTACGATGCTCCCTAGTTCTTCTTCATATTTTTGTTTCACTTGTCCTTGCGGTAATACGATGAAGCACTCATCTTCATCCACCAGACGCTCATATTTCGTCTACAGCAGGATCAAGACAAGCAAAAACTAAAAAGTGCAATGAATTGTAAAAATCGAATGAAGTTGTATAAGTTCTTGGAGTTCTCGTAGTTCTAATGTTCCCGGCTACAAGGCGGAAATAACAAAGCTGCAGGAACAACTAGAGCAAGCGAACACGCGGTATTCTCAATTGTTGAAGAATACAGCAATGCAGTCGATGGGCGGCGCCGTGGATTCTAGACAGGGCGCGCAGCCGAGAGCTGGCGTGCGATCAGTGGATATCCAGCTAGTTGGCGCGCAGAAAACCGGAAAGACTATGCTATTGGAGAAGCTCATTCGAGATTGCGATCCGGATCAACTGACAAAGTTTCAGGCAGACCGGGCAAACTTCATGGGCAGATACCAGGTCTGCTTATCATGCAGGATAGCCTTCGATGTGTAGATTTCTCCCTCTACTGATGAAACTGTAGTAAGAGAATCAGTGAATAAGAACGTCTAAAAACATTGCTATTTCTGTTCTAACAAGTTCCGAAGGTTAAGACATGTGAAACGTTAATACGTCAGACCTGAAGAAAAATTACGTTACCGTTAAAAACAAAACCAGATTCAATGCGGCGGCGAGGACTCTCGACCACTGAATATTCTGGACTGCTCCGGCAACTCTCGAGCGGCACAGCATATCAAAGAGTACTTCACGCGGTCATTGTGGGTGATAGTGGTCTACGATTTCTGTTCATTGGAGTCGTTCGCCTTAGCCAAAGAGCTAATGGGATCGGCGACAAGGGCAGGTGCAGGCTGCGTTTTCTTCGGAAACAAGTTCAATTTAGAACAAGGAGGAGAGTCGAATGTACTAATTGTCATTTTTATGAAACATTGTTTTAGAAGTTTTGAAACAATTTGTAAAAAATGTAATTCCTGAACGAAGAAGTGATGTTGGCTACTCATGTGTGTTTGTCCTGAGCTTCGTTTTCAACATTGATGTAGTTGCTTCTGTTCAGGTGAATGTGATGGACGCCAAGGACATCGCAGCAAACGCCGGTGCATTGGCGGTCGAATCTACCGAAATCAAGGAGGCGGTGCGAATGATCGCTAGGGACATTGAGTCCGAGCATCAAGCGGGTGAGAATGCCAGAAACCGAGCAGCCCCAGGCGCCATGTCACAGGTCTTTGATCGCGTCTCAAATATGTTCGGAGCAAACAAGCGAGGCTCGGTCAACGACGCAGCGATGAAACTATCACAGGTGCGCAATGAAGATAACAATAGTGATAATGTCCCGCTTATTTTTTCGCGCTATGATATCACTTATGATCGGATTTTTTGATATCAGAAAGCCCGTGACCAACGGTATCCTCATTATTGGACGAGAATAAACTAACCAATGAAATAAGTAACAAGGGGGTACAGTTCTTTGATGTCACCTCAATTATCTTCCATCTTAGGTTGGTGTCTTGAATCCTTCGTTGAAGGGCACCAAGCTGATGAAGCAGAACCGCAGGGAAGGCGACGTTGCGACGGAGTTGAGGCCTGTGCAGGAGTTACAGGATTCGGAGAGCGCGGTTACATGCATCGTCTTCGGGCAAGAGCGACTTCACCGCTCTTACATTTTACTCGCGGCAGCATCGAAAGACGGAACTGTGGTCATATATCGCTGTTACCGAACCGAGATGGAGCTTTCCATGCTAGACGCCTCAGACTTCCCGAAGGACGATTCCGACAGAGAAGGTGCCGATCACAGCAATATCGCAGTTCACAGCCGTCTGGTCGGACACAGTAGGGCAATCACTTCGGTACAAAAACTTGATACTAGCATACATAGTTGGTTGACTTTGATGACGAATAACTAATAAAGGATGGCCAGCTTTCTTCTACTTCTTGGTAATACTCTACATGTTGATTTACCTTGAGCAGAAGAATTGGTGTATAGTATTACCATCTCAACCAAAAATTATCCTTTCAGATTTTCTTCAATTTGCTAGAGGACCAGCTGGTGACCACAAGTATTGATAAAAGCGTTCGATTTTGGTCAGTGGAGACAGGTGAAATGCTGAAAGTTTTTACGGACTCTTCTCCAGTCCCAGTTGCCACCTTCTTGCCCTTCAATCCGCAAGTGTTTGTGGCCGCAAACAGTAATGCGGTGTTGCGTCTGGTGAATGTGCAAAACGGCATGGTGATGCAGAAACTCAAGGTTGAAACGGAAGTGCGCGCCTTGAAATTCGATGACAGTGGACTATTCTTGCTGGCAGGAACCAAGAACGGATCAATCCACGTGTTGGAAGCATCGGACTCGGCAACCCTGAAGTTCCGGTTCAAAGTCCAACTTGCTCGAGGTGGCGTCACGTGCATCACATTCGTGCCGTCGGCACATGGCTACCCACCCTGCCTCTTAGTCAACACCAGCGATAGCTCGGTGAGCCGTCCTTCATATTTGAATCCCTGCCTTTTCTAGTTAACACGAGCGATAGCTCGTTTTTTGGTGATACGAACCTCCCTTGTATTGCTGATGTTGTCTCATGAAATAATAAATGAGAAACAATTAGAACACCTACAGCATTCTCACAACTCCTCCAGGTGAAAAATGTATTTTAAGTATTTCAGAACGAACCTGCTGGTAGAACTACTGATACAACTTTTGATTCTCTATTATAAGCACCATTACCATAGGTAACGATCATCGACTGCACTTACGGCCCTCCAGCTGGAGTTCTTACCAACTTGACTGTGAGACACCGAGTCAAGGTCGCCCACAGCCTTTTGCCGCTTAAGTGCTGCTACTCCCCAAGTGGACTTGGGTACTACTAGAAGTTTGGTTGTCAGTGTCTTGAAGATTTTCTAGACCTAGGCAATTCCATTTTTAAAAAACATTCCAATTTAATCATTCATGAGGGTTACGCTTATTCTGAGTACTGGATTACTGGTACTCCGTTGTCATGAAATAAATCAGGTACCTCGTATCCGGCTCCGAGGATAAGGAAGTCTATATCTACTCGCTTGGTAAGGGAATGAACTACAAGATGCAATATTTGAAACATCATCTGGTACCAGTTGTAGCCGTGGCAACCAACCACCAAGACACACTACTCGCGAGCGCAGACTCCCTTGGCCGCATTGTCCTTTGGAGAAGAATGGACTTTTCTCACCTGCCGCAAACTGCACAGTAGTTTTTTCTTTGATTAACGCGTTGAGACTGCAGGTGGAGAGGACACCGTCAACTTCAACATTACCAAGAAAAATACTGTTCGAGTATGCGACGTATAGTGGAAGAATATACGGGTTGTACGTATAACTGCGGAGGTGGGACGAGCATGATGAATACGAGCCGGACGAAATATTTGGGGGAATATTTTGCGCAGGCGAACATCTTTCCCACCATTTCTCGTTTGACCACGAGACAGCAGTTAAACTCATGCCGTGATGAATGACTAGGACTACTTCATATGCCGCTGAACGTGAATACCTGTCGTTGTCCCTGGCTCTGCTTTTGATGCACCCGCGCTTATCTCTCAAGGTCCGTTTTTGCTGAACATATTTGCGTAGCATAGGAGCACAAGAATTGGCGCTCAGAATGATCAGTAATACTGATTCAGTGGTGTCGAGCAGGTTCTGGTGATGATCATGGTGTGCAGTTGGTTCCATTTTCACGTGGATGATGGTCACATGATGTGCTTCTTGGGGGAACAAAGAAGACCATTCCCTAGCTTGTTATGATCATTGTTTCAGGGTGTCTGTCTCATGGTTGGCATGGTTGCAAGATACGTAGGTCTACAGGTAGTAGTGAAGGTACATTTACTTTACCCGGATGTGCTCGATGTGTGATGTAGCTGCACGGCGAGGCTAGGGGACTTGTTACTGTACGAATGATTCCTTTGATTTTTCTCTACTGCTGTCAAAGGTGGGGGGTTTCAATATGTACATTTAGAGGGGGACATTGAGATTTGTTACGATAGGTCAAATAAGCACGATATCTAATTTCTGGTTCGTTTTATTTAGATTTTTATTCAAGGGTGTCTACTTACTTCTAGGTCGACTTATGAAGAATAGCATAAGGTTCGGGTGTGTTTCGATGGTGTACTTCAGTTGTTGTATCCGCTGTAATTGTGAATATTTGATGGCCGCGGCGATGGCGACATTGAACCGGCTGCGACGATTCCATACCACTTAGAGGATGTTCATGTCTTTTTTTCATTTTTCTTTTCCCATATTGTTTGTTTGAGTTTGAGACATTCATTTTCATAGAAATCAGATTCAATACTGTTGAACATCAACTGTTCTCGTCATTGAAATTGTTTGAAACAAGGTCAAGCACAACAAGGAAACAGCATGGATGGGGATAACATACATCGCGCACATGCTGCATCATGTGGCGGGTGCAATCGATTGCGGCTGCGTCTTGGCTGACCTTCGACCCTTGAGGTTACCTGCACCATATTGTTCTGATTATTCTTCTGCCAGAGGCGGGACCAGGCTGCAGATAATTGGATCTGTAGTTTTGCGTGAGTGAGACCCAGAGAAAAACATAATTCTGTCCAATCAGCTCCTCTTTAGGATTGACGGTTTCCTTGTCGATGAGGAGAAATTGCGTTACCCGATGAACAAGAAGGGTTCAACTAGTTCTACCTGAACCACCGGCGAAGTCAGTACCTGATTGGGTTCTTAGCGGCAACTACTTATAACCATTGCTCTAGGTCTAATCTTGTGTTGTTAAAAACTTTGGACTTGCTACGATGCCGTCGTCAAGAAGCTACAGCCAACAACACGTGGTCAGCGCCGATAATGATCCGTATCGTATGGAATTTAGCCCATGCGACTTGCGCACTTCCATTATCTTGGATCTCCAACGTCTGCGAGAGCAGGCAGACCAAATCGATGCTGCAATAAAACGTCGCGTTGTTGGTCTTACGAAGGGAGGGAGACCCGGCGACGCAGGAAAAGGAGGTGATCACGAAAATGAGTTACGCCCATCCAGTTCTGCTTCTGGACAAAAATTGAAAACTACTTTCTCGACGTATACTTAACTTTATTTTAGAGATAGAGAAGGTTGGTTTTCGAATCGGACCAGCACGAGCAGTTTCAGGCACGTACTTATATAGCTTAGGTGACGGGATTGGTTTTGATGTACTACTAGTAGTGCTCACTTGATACATGAGATTGTGTGCTCGTTGTAGTAAAGCTGGCGTCTGTCAGGCTTACATCTTCATATGCCAAGTCACCAGCCTCACAAGAAAAAGCCGCGCAAGAAAAGGTCCGGCTCGCTGGGCTTTTGCACCATTATGAGCGGGTTAGACTTTCCTTAGAAGAGGAGGCCGCGAATTTGGAGTCCCAGCTTAGTGATATGGACAGATTTCCCGGTCTTTTCGATGGTGCTATGGACAACGTCGAAGTAGGGTCTTCCTCAAGCTCCGGAGGGGGAAGCCGGGGCGATGTTGTTATGGAGGATGTTACTCCAGAGCGGCGCCCTGGACGAATGGATGTTCTTGAAACAGATCATCTTACTGGACCTGCTGGTGGAAGCGCACCAATCAGCCATACAAGTTGTACAGCACGCGCCAGCGCTTCATCACAGCTGCATCACCAGCAATACTCGTCTTCTGCGGCAGCAGCGTCAAACCATCAAGGGGAGCTCTGCCAGCGTGTGCCCCAGAAGCAGTTTGCGCTGGTACCTCCACCACAAGCCACGAAGCCGGGGGCTACAACTTTTTCTGGCGGGCGTCGTGGGAACAACATCTACCAGCGGAGTCCAGTTTCATCTGCGGTAAATCCCTGTAGTAAAGCATCTAGTGGAAACTCCAAGGTGGCATCAAATGGAAGTGGATCAGCTTCAGCCACATTGTTATCATATCAGCAGGGACCCGGACCCGCAGGCGGAGCACCGTTAGTGGGTTCAGGTGCTTGCTCATCGGGTGGAAAGAATTTTTCGCTACATCAACAAGGATCGACCTCTGGAGGAGCTTCTGCAGCAGCGGGTGGCTTCGGAACGACTCCAGCACTTGGCAGCACCAGTAGCATCGGCTCAAATTCATCAATTCGAGGCAACGTTCCACCACCACCAGGGCACTCGTCTTCGATGAGCTCGACGTCCAGCAGCAGACCTCCCTCTTTGCACGTGCTAACCTCCTCGACCACCAACTTCCACCACGGTCTTGCTGGGTTTTTAGGAGGTGGCCAAGCAGGGGGAGCAGGAGGAGGTGTCAACAGCGGCACTAGCAATGCTGGTGGTGGTAGCTCAGGAATTTCAGCTACGAACAGCGCTGCTTCCCTGCACCAGGTGGTATCGTCTCGTAACCACGCGAGTCATTCGTCATCCAGTATGGTATCCTCAGGATCAGGGGGAACCAATCTACAGTCGACTCCGTCGCTGCACAACATGGGGGGCAGTTTAGGAAGCGGCTCCAATCAGCAAATGAATCTTGGAGGACTACAGCAATTGGGAAATGGTGGAAGCAACAGTCGTATGAATAGCTCCGCGTCACTCGCGTTGAGCACCAGCACAAGTGTGCGAAATAGCTTGACCGGGCCGATGGGCGCGACTGACCTACTACACCACACTTCGAGTACATCCTCGACAGGCGCGGGAAGCGCATTCAGCCAGGGAGGCTATAGTGCAACAGGCGGTGGAACATCGAATTTTGGATCTTCGAATTCACTTGGAAAAATGTCGGCATCATCTGGCTCACATGGTGGCCTCTCGCAGCCTCCAGCTTTGCTGGGCTCGAATAATAGCGATGTTGGAGCTTCTTCGAGCTATAGTACAACTAGTCATGCTCATGCTGGAGTTGGAGGTGCAGCGGAAGGACTAGGAAGTGGTGGTTTTGATCATCTCGCTTTGTCCGTTACGGCAAACGGCGGGCACCACCACACTCTCCTGCCACAGCGGGCGACAGATAGTGTGAGTGCTATTGCGTCAGCCGAACCGCTGACTTTGGGTTCTGCGCGGCGTGGCCCTTTATCATCCATGCCAGCGCCATCTTCATCCAACAATCAGCCGAACTTCCAGACTCTAGGATCTACTCAGAGTCCCTCCACAACTCTGTTGCAGCAGATAGGCTCTAGCTCGGCTCCTGCCAACAAACGGCCCTTCGGAGTGAGTGTGAATCTTCCTCGATCGGCCGGTGCCGCTGGTCATGATGTTGGGTGCAATGCCGCAGATGGCTTTTCAACAGCGTTGAATAACAACAAGCGACGAGGAGGCCCGAATCAAAAAGATGCCGACGCTTCGGGAGTCGGCGCCGGGAGCCTTGGCACAAATCTGGTACAAGGTTGTTTGTGCAGTAACCTCTAGCCCTAGCTGCAGTACAATATATCATGAAGGTGAAAAGTTGATCCTTCATGAGATAAATCTCTTCAAGGATTGGCATCAAGGAGAATCAGAAACTTTTCTACTCCCTCTTCTTCACATTGTTCTTCTTTCAGTCTCGATGCTCCGAGTCATCCGATTTCTCTAAGAAGGCGTCCACAACAACGACCTTCCGATCTCCTTCTCCGAAGCAGCTTCTGCCTCATTTTTCCGCTCGCGGAACGCCATCCTCCGCTCTTCACAATTCTCCACTTTCGAAATTTACGAAGAGGTATTTGAAAGTCATAACATACTAAATATATATAAGTGTACCATTGGAAGACACCTAGGTGAACTGCTCTTCTCGAAGCACAGAGATATGTAACGTTTACGAGCAATACGCGCAGATAGGTACAAGAGCAGTACAGAGCAGCAGCAAGGGCAACAAGGAGGCAGTTTTAATCCATACAGTAGTCTGCAGCACCAGTTTTCTCAACGAAGTCTGGCTGGATCAAGTCAGGCTCCGGCGTCAGCCCGATTTTCTGCAAACTACGGCAGCGGTGCGCCATCTGTGGCCTCGAGCAGCAGAAATTCTGTCAATTTGAGGCGCTCCATTTCACCCCTGCATCAAATGCAAACGATATCGAGCCAAATTAACTTCTCTCGCGGAGGATTTACGAGCACTATTAACATAAAGATTGAGTAGCTCAGAGATACCCAGGCATCTCGGCATCATCATAGATTCGAAATGAGAGTATTTAATGTGTGAAATAGTTTTGTGCAACAGGATAGACAACCTTGGATGCACCAGCATGAGAACAGTTAAACAAGGTAACTGATATTCTTATTCAAGCCAGCGCCTGCTTTCATTTTTTTGCTATCCGCAAGACCGCACTATGAAGTCTCGTCAGCAGCTGAGGATCCCTACACGTATGGATCCTCTGGATCTAGCACGGCCGGTCCCGCCGCCAACGCTGGGCCGAGTAATTCGGGAATGGGCAAGTATTTTTCGTTGATGTTTGTAGCACTCGTATGTAGAACTGTTTAGCCATAGCCTTGGTTTTGTGAAATCTATCGGCTACAACGATCTACCAAATATAGCATCTTCTGTATGTGTATCAACTCTCAATAAGTTCAACATCCTCATCAAGCACAACAATTTTTTAGAAGTCATACTACGTTGACTTGGGACCTTGTCTTCGACTCCATCTTTAGGGCGCAGCCATTGAGCAGTGGTGTATCACGACGACAGACGCCGCGGCTTTTTCAGGACAATTTGGTATTTTGAGTTTTGTCGCGTTCAAGTAAACATTAGTAAGATCAAGATTTATCGTTGTCGTTTTAGTAATGACGAATCTTGAAGTTGACATCTTGATGTTCCTTCACTTCCTACGCGTACGCAGCACTCCAGTCCGCAGATGATCCAACATATTAGCCCGCGTGACCGCCGCATGATTTCACCCGGCCAGGAACGTCATGAACGTTCCCCATTTGGCACGGGTCTGCATATCTTAGGTATTTTTTTCCACTTCTTTTATTTTGCATCTATCGAAGATTTGTTGGACTGGACTTAATCAATGCTGCGTTTTCTCTGCGTTTCATTTGAATTTCGCTCGCAAAATTGTTTTTTCTCACCACCTTATCCCAAGTTAAGATCTTGAGGCCGAGCTGTTACTTATTGCCGCCTCAATCTGGTAGCTACGCAGTGGACATAGGACGCTGTGGCATCGGTCTCCTCGAGAAACCACGCCGACCTCCTCTTTGAGCAGACGCTTCGGCAGAATAGATGGCAATCTATGCCAGTGCTGGGGCATAGTGGGATGCTCGGCGCCGTCTTCGGAGTACCTGTCTACGACAGAGCAGACGGCACATCGAGAACAGCCCCGAAGGTACCGGTGCACATCGGTTCCAGCTTGATCGACGTCCCGCTCGGAACCATGCGTCTAGTAGCCTGATCCAGACACTCGCGTCAAGGGAGCATGCTCTTCTCCGGCGCAACCCGAAAGCGCGCGGTGTGTCACGTAGGAAGCATGGTAGTGCAACTGCATCACAGCGCAGTCGACGACAAGGAGCGACGGGCCCGGAAACTACGGCTGAGAGCACGGCGGGTTGCTGGCCGAACGCATGCCAGTTTCTCGATTCGCACACCGAGCCGGCGGTAGGCTATGGCAATTATCACTATGGTGTTCTAAAGCTCGACGTCGGGTTATGAACTAACTAGAGTGTGCCACTTTGCGAAGAATCTTATCGGTAGCACCACAGGCAGCTGCAGTAGAGGCTGTCGCTGAGAGACGCAGAGAGAACTAGAGTGATTGACACTAGAGAGAGTCCTGAACTTGCCGCTAATTCTTGAGAGATTCACTTCCTCCTCCGACCCCCCCACAACCTGCTACAACTCCTCTCAAAAATGCGGCTTTTATATAATGACACCCCGAAACTGAGAACTTCAAAAAGCGAAAAGGGCCTCCAGTTTCTCTATGATTGAAAGCGACTCTTAGTGCCGCAAACAACACAAGAATCATGCGGTAGCACTCTTAGGCAGTAGGTAGATGTTTATAAACAACTACGACATTTAGACTTTTACCAGTGTAATAAAATGTAGAAGTCTGCCTGACTGGTGAAAAAAATGCCGTCTCCTAAGCGGGAACTGACGAAATTCGAAAGGAGGCAGCTAGAGGCGAACGCCCGACCTGTGCCACAGCTGGAAGCGGCGCTTTTATCAGCGGAAGGCACAGCTGAAGCTCCGCAAAACGACACTAAGGAATTGCAGTATGCGGCAGAGTACTTCAGCAGTTCGCGCACTGTCTCAGACAACAGGACCATGAAGAAGGTGAACTGCCTAGTGGTGGACGAATCGTGGAAGGAGCTGGAGGTTCTACTGAAGCACCCTACGACGCTTGAGGCTTCGGTAAGCCTGCAGGCAGATGGATCGACCAAAAAGAGTCTGGTCGCTGAGGAGCACTTCAGAGCGCATGGGACTCTGAAGTGGATGATTACCCACGCGGAGGCCACAGTCAGTCGCGACCTTTCTTCTGATCCGATGATAGTGTTTCTGCCGACACATACGGTGGGCACGCGTCCACGGCCCAAGACGGTAGCTGGGAGGCTGGAGATGCCTCATAACAGCACGCTGCGTGTGTCTGAGGGGTTTGACTATGCGTGCCTCGTCTTTGACCGACTGGAAAGCATCGCAGATGTCAAGTTTGGCAAGCTAGTGCTCATCATAGTACCAACGGACTCTGGTGGTTCAACTGGTGCGCAGAAGGCTTACATCATGCTAATGGCGAAAGACGCAAAGGGAGACTGCGTCTGGTGGATGCATGACTGTCTAGCGCATTTGACCGCGATATCAAACCGTGTCGGGTTTGATCGATTTGCTAACTTGCTCGGCAAGAACCCGCGGACATTGGAGAAAGAAATATACCTCGTGGTAGTTATCTCTTCTGCGTTTTCATCTGTTGGCTGTTGGGGCGTCCTTGTGTAGCATCTGGAGTTCCACATCGTGCTTCTTCTAGGTCTCTTAACTAGGATATTGCTAGAACTGCGCTCGGTGTCTTCTATAGACACTTAGAAGTGCACCTTTTTTAGATTATTTAGAATATTGCTCTGAAAACAAGAACTGCTTATCATATTCTTCAAACCTTCCCCACAAGTAGCACACTCATCACCCTTCCCCAGGCGTGGGGCTGCAACGAAAAGTCGATCGATATCCATCAGCAGCTGCACCAGCATTTCGATCGGTTTTTTCCTAGATGGGGACTGCCGAGGTTCGAGGAGGACGCCATCCTTCAGCGCTTGATGGAGATGCTCTGCGGATCGTGTGACCTCGCAGTAAAGGAATTGAAGGGCAACATTGCCCACAAGGAAGGCAGGATAGTCATCCAGACTCTGGATGAACCTGGAGCAGGAAAACTACGCAACAGTCTACATCGCTTGTTCAAGCGGATCGCCTTACCGGTATGGACGCGATGGCTAACCTTTGCTAACTGTTGCGGGCAGTTGTGCCTGTTGCTTGTGATGGGACTTTGTGGATTATTGCAGATTATTCACGCACCGAAGAAGCAGATTGCGCCGTCGCAACTCCCAAAGCCTTACTTGAATACGGAAGAAACAGAGGGTACTACCCGTCAGCTGCTCGCTTTTGTGCATGTGACTTGAGTGACATGAAGTTCTTCTCTTGCAAAGGAGCACCTTCACACCATCTAGTCATCTCATTCACAACAGAGAACGCCGCCTTTTTGACCCTCGTTCTGTACTTCATCAAAGTGATCAATGTGCCCGGTGACAAGTTTAACACGCGCCTGATCGGCAACGAGTGCCAGAGTTTGGCGAGGATGCAGGAGCTGTTTGAGCGCGACTATCGGGAGATCATCGGCTTACTCGAAGATGAAGACAGAGTTCTTACGGATTGCAAGTTGCTCTTTCCGAAGCGGAGCAACTTCTCAGCAGCGAAAACCAGACTGGTACTGATCAACCTTAAGGCATTTCCCAAGTTCTTTGTATCGCTAGTCCATTGATTTCCAAGCCAGTAATTCTTTGAATGATCTGATGACTTTTACGCCGTAGCTTTCAGAGGATTTCTCCTTATTTCTACTTAGATTCACGACGGTACTCTGGCACAAAGGTCGCCTTGAGCACTCGCAGTCTTTGAGTTGTCTATTCTTTAGCTTTTTTAGGAAACAGCTGGCATGAAATGGACGCTCTTTGCGTATCACAACATAGCGCAAGTTCTCTAACATTTTCGCTGCGGGCTGCGTTAGGCAGATTGCAGCCTCAAGACGAGCTAGCCGCTGTGTATGAGGTTCCATCGAACAACCTCCTTACAGGTAAATCGGATGCGTGTGCGCGCAATTGCGGCAGTGCAAGCTGTGCGTGCTGATATCTATGAGAAGAACTTCCTCATCCGCAACTCTCAAGAGGAATTCCGGCAGATATTGGAGGCTGACATAGACGAAGCACACGACTATCTCGCTTCTTTCGAATTGTTGCACCCGGTGCCGAGTGGGCTTGCGGACTTGGTCATTTCGCACCTAGCCCGGCAGGTCATGAAGATTCCATCTCGTGACAAACGGTTAAAGTGGTTACGTGGCCTGCGGCGTCTACTGCCTCTGCAGCAGCAGTCAACGTCTCTAGTAGAGCGGCGAATCGGACGTTGTAAGAACAACGCGCGTGCCACCGGAATTGGTGGTGCTGTCGGCGTGCCAACGATGGACACTCGCAGCAACCGAAAAGACTTCTTCAACGAGCGAGCAGAAGTCACTCGACAGCTTGCGGAGTGGGACGTCCGTGAGGGTAATCTGCAAGCAGGCGCCGACGGAGGTGTCGATGGAGAAGGAGAGCTGACTGGCGACCCTGTCGGACGTTACGCTGTACCGCGAGACTATGACGTTCGGCGGCGCCATATCGCGCAGCTAGACGAGGTTCGAAATTTACGCTGCAAGAAAGACCGCCTATTGATGTTGAACAAGCTAGCAACAAGCGGCAAGTACGACCACATCACAGCATCCTGGGAAGAGAAGCATGGAGCAGCAACAGGTGTCGACGCAGATGAATCTGGTGGAGAGGAGGACGAGGAGGTGGAAGAACTGACAACACGAAGCACACTTGAGGCAGAGCAGCGTTTCTACGACAGGATCGAATCAAGAGTGATGGATCTCGTGCGCTCTCGCGTGCTTCCGTATGACTGGGGCCCAGCCGCACTAGCACGTCGCACCGATCGCAGTCAGCAGTTCATTACTCGAATCGCCGACGACATGACAATGGTCTCACGCAAGCCGACTGCCTGCTATGCGATAGGCAGAGTTCTGCTCCGTGTATCTCAGCGTCGGAAGGAGGGCGCGCCCTTGGAAGAGATCATGGGTGAACTTGGAGGCTTCGACGCACCGAATATTCCGCAAGTGGACCCAGAGAGCGACGAAGAACCAGACAACGACGTGGAAGCTGACCAAGCGAAAGTTGATTCTTCGGCCGATAAAGCCCTTGATCCGGCAAGTGTCCTTGGTGTCGGTCTAGTCCTTTCGTTCAAGCGCGGCACCCCTGCAGTTCCAACACTCTACAACCTAGTCGGGATTGATTTGAAGACCTATCACTTCCGCGCATTACGCCTCGAGAAAAGTGGCTCGGATGCGGCAAGCGGTTCCAGCCATTACCGTGTGACGGATGACGTGATAACATCTCTGGCGCTAAGCAATAAGGAGGTCGACTTGAGCAGTGTGAAGATCTACTTGGGCAACGTCGTGGAGAGTAAGAGCACATTCACCATTGAAGTTTCTGGGCGTGAGGTCGAGCAGCCGCGGGCAAGGCCACCCGTGCAGAATGTGGCTGTATTGCCAAAGCAGGCTGTTCCGCAAAACAAGCTGGAGAGACGACTGCTGGAGATTCGTCAGGAGGCAGCACGAAATCCATTCGTGCCAGAGAACAATCAGCATGCAAAACTACTCAACAGGCCGTTGAAGCGATTCGCACCTCCACCGGCGGCGCCGAAAGTGCCAGCGGAGAAAGCAGCCGTCGAAGGATCACCCGCAGCGAAAATCCGAAAGCCGACTGTCGAACTGAGCGAACGGGAGAAGCGTGTTTTGGATAAGCAGAAGAAGGATCAACACGGCAAGCTCGAACGGAAGTGGGAGGTCGAAGGCTTCAGCATCAAGCTAGTTGGAGATAAGACTACAGCAAAGAACAAGGGCCGCGTCTATGACCGATATGCCTGTAGAATCACCGACCCAGAATATCAGAAGCTCTTCTTACAACTGCAGGCGCGTGGAACGATCAACCTCAACTGCAGAGCGCGCAAGAATGCTGCCCGGTACTACTCCTTCGGGAAGAACGAGGAGCTGCTTGGTGAAGCGTGGGCAACTCTGTGGTGTGCACGCACGCAGTACATCCTAGACCACTGCCGCTCGTACATCCGGCATGGAGGCTTTAAACGCGAGGGAGTGGCGCAGAAGAAGCTGGAATACATGCGAGCGATCGGCCCTGCAGTATCGACAGCTCTTGCAGCATGTGCAGGCGATGCAACAAAGCGAGACGAGATGAAGAAGATCTATATCATTTCAGACGAAGAGCTCGAGAGGCTTGACGACGCAGTGCGTGACACGCCTGGAATCTACATCCGGGAGGACTAAGGCTGAGAAGAACAACTCGTGTCAGAGTTAGCTCGCGTAGCTGTCTTGCTACCAGCCGCTCTCGCTGCTGCGTTTCTGGTGAAATCTGAGAGTGAATTTCGCGTTTCTCGTCCCGGTGGATTTCGCTAGCTCCAGGGAGGCTCAAGAGGAGCATGAGGCGGTGGCTTTTCAAACGCACGCTGCTGCGGCTGGGATGGATCTAATCTGGATTTCGTGTGGATCTGACTTTTTTCATTTCTATGGGAAATCGCACGAGAAATCATTCATTTCGGAAAAAATGAGATCCACCTGAAACGCAAAGGGGAGAGCCACAGTCTGCGCCCGAAATTCAGGCGGCGTGCGCACGCAGAATTACGCGTGAATTTCCGCGAAACGCGCCTGCTTTTTTGGTGCGAAATCCGGGCGGCTGAACTGAAGCGCGGTGGCGGAGTGAGACCTTTCAGATCAAACAGTTGCAAGAATCTCATGATCTCGTCGGTCGGTCGTATTCGCCTGAATTTCTCGCCTGAGTGAAAAGATCCGCAGAGAGAGTTCCTTTGAGCTAAGCAAGAAGTACGCATGTTCTAACTTTCTAAATTCTCTCACTGCTAACGAGAAAATCCTGGTTGATTGATGACTAGCCGTAAGATTTTCGAGAGGATCAAAAAGCACTACAACGTTCCGAGTGATAACAAACAAAAATCAAAAAGATGAGTGGTCAGCCGCAGTCTAAGAGGCTGAAGCGTGCTAACACGGACACCTGCATGGAAAAGGTGGTGCGAGAGCCGATTCTTCGCTGGGTCGATCCGCAGGACGGGGTAAGCTATTTAGCAGACTTTCACTCTTCTCCTCTCTCTAAAAAAAAAGTGTAGCCTTAATCTCTAAAAAATCTAAAAAAGTACTCAATAGCCACTAGGTGAAGAAACTACGAGTATATGAAAAAAAGGCTTAGGCCTAATAGTCTCAGTTTCCAATGCCTGTTGACATTCACATCACCAAGTCCCTCCTTCCTTCCAAAATCTTCCCAAGGACCTGAACACCATTACCATGGCACTCCGTCGCATGTGCCGCGCAGCTAACTACAAGAAGACGTCGGTCACGACCATTGTTTCTGGATTGGTCAATGGCTCTTTCGAGCCGATGACAGACGACCACCGCACGGTCAAGTCGCAGTTTCTGCGCTTGGGAGCTCTCATTCTCACGCTGATCAATTTGAGCCATGCCGCCACCATGTACCGCGAGGTCCTCAAGGCTCCGCTCATCGCCGACGAAAAGACCTGGTCGCGTGTTCACGTACAATTTATTTGGTTCATAGTCTTCTCATCTTTTGCTATTAGCGTTCTTTTGGTTGTGGCTAGGGTGATGAGTCTTATTTGAAAGAACTTCGATTATCGTGTAGTTTTTCTTGTGTTGATGCTAGCGGAGCAAAAGAAGCTTCAAGTTTATACTTCGCGACTAAAGATCTTAAAAACTTCAAATCTTCTACTCCCCTGCTTGAACGAGTACACTTGCTTTCCTTGCATCTTCAAAAATTTACCTTCCGCCCAAAATCGTCCTCTCAGTGCTTGATGTTGGCCAAGTGCATCGCAGTGTCGGGAGCGGAGTACGCGTATGAATGCTTGCTGGAGTTGAACAAGTTGTTCTTGAAATACCCCGCGCAGTCTATCAAGTTTCTGGTTCAAGCGGCGCATCTTTACGTCAATGGAGTTTGCGCGGACCGCCGCAACAAAGACCGCGAACTGCGCTACAAAACCCCGGACGCAATTTGGTCTTGGTATAATTTTTCTTGATCTTTGTTTCTTGGTTCTAAGCATAAGAAAACGATGGCCAGACAGCATACACTGATGACAAGACTCAACCTTGTGCCCATTCTACTCAGCCTCTTCGGTTCCAGTCTGCAGTATAGCTGCCTTCTATATATAGCCTGCTGCCCTTGATCTAAATAATCTTTCTTAACCTTGCAGGAACGACCGTCACCCACTGGCCTTCGATCGAAACATTTGCCCGCTGTTATGGAAGGTCAAAGACGAGCTGGCCCGAATTTTTGACGTGAACCATGAGGAATTCGGGACTGGGAGCTGCGCAGAGTTGCAGGGGCGCTTGAAGAACGGGGCGCAGGCTCCTTTGCGCGAGGGAGCTCCGCAAAACACCCCGCAGTACATCATCTGGCATCAGCTGTCCAAGGTAGTAAGGTTAGTTTTTAGCTCAATTGTAAGAACTCCACTATGATGAGCGACCTTGTAACATAGTACACTGCTACCCCGACTTGTTTCTTCGTGAGGTGTATTGTTTAAGCAGCATTCTTATAGGGATTCATCTACCACCGTGCATCTTCTCACTTCCTACACGATCCTCCCATAATTGTCTTTCGAAACTCCCCCTGGCAGAGCCTCGAGGCCGCTTCGCAGATGGAATTCAGCGGGGAGTTCTGGACAGCGTTGCTGCAGATTATCATTATTGCTGGCGTCGCTACGAACGTGGTGGTTGCGCGCATGCAATTCCTCTCGAAGCAATTGAAGCCCACGGCAGATGCAGTCACGTGCAAGAATATCTTCTCGCACTTTGCCTTGAACCCGGAGGACCTCGGCTGCTGGGTATTGGATTATTAGTTGTCTTGAACATCATGCTACAGCAACGTCCTCAATTCCAACTCTTGCAGTAGTGAAACGTGACATCTCACCCCGATGAATTTCAAGAATCTTTCTGCTAGACATTGCTGTGCACTATTGGAACTTCTTGCCATAGTTTTCTTCTCCATCCTCCATAAAATCAAACACCACATAAGTGCCATCATCTCAACTTCCACAGCGCGGCGATGCAATTGCAACCGCTGTCGCGCGAATCAGAGTGTTTTTTGCCGGCGAGGAGATGCCGAACTGTTTGAAGACTTTCGTCGACACCTTCGACCTGATCAAGAAGCACTTCCAAGAGAAGGGTCGCACCTCCCTGATGCCGATTGCTGGCTTGGGAAAGAAGTGCTCGCAGCCGTTCTACGATATGATCAAAATCGCGCGTCAGGCGTATGAGCAGTACGAGTTGGTGCGCACTGTCGATTTGGTTGTCGCGATTGGCCGTGCGATTTCTGTCCAAGCGGATGATGCGTTTAGTGCAGCTGAAACGAAGAACTGGATCAACAAGCACGCCTTTACCGGTACGACTATCCTCGAGAAGATCTGCAACCTGCTTCATGCTTTGGCGCCGCTGTATGCCGGTACCGAAATCATCGAGGATGACACTGTTCCGCAGCTATGCGCGAAGAAGGACGAGGTTGACCGTCTGCTGAAAGACAACACCGTCCTCGAGGGCAAGGTCAGCAAGCTCCTGCAGGCTTTCGTCAAGCACGCTGATCGCCAAGCAGTCGAAACGGTCGAAAATCACTGCCGCCTTGGTAATTCTTACAGTTCACCCTGCTGCTAGGTATCTTTGCAGCAGAGGTCACATCTGAAACACCGACAGTCTACACCTCTCGATCTCAGATCATGTTTGGCTACTTTCTTTCTCCCATGAACTTCTCTTTCTCTCACTCAACCAGGTGAAAAGGATATGGCTCTGGCTTCGTTTGAGCTGCTTAGCGACACCTACCACGGCCTTTGCCCGAAGGTCCAGAATGATCTCTCGGAGAAGATCAACCTGATTGGTGTGCCGGTGGCTGCTGCAAATGGAGGACTGCCCGTCTATGTCGCGGGAAGTGACGACTTTTAAGGCGCAAGACGCACGCAGGAAAGTTCTTATTAAGGACTTGCGGACACTCTCTGAGGTGTCAAGAGGCGGATGAAGGTTTTGGCGAACGAAGTGCTGTTTTTTGATCTTGAGAGCAGGACTACATGGGTCTTCGCGTGGCGTAGGGTGGCAGAAGCTCAAGAGTAGGGCTCTTCATCAGAATGTTATTGCACTAATCTCAACCATCCTTTTCATCATGTTTAGACTCAGCTGGTCGCAATGTTTTTGCAGTGTCGGCTATGTGTGATATGTATAGCGAGTGAGAGAGTTGAGCGATATGCAAATCATGAGATTAGAAGCTGTTTGTTTCGTTGTCTGGATGTACATCACTACTGCTGATTCGAGGGAAGAAGCAGGACGCTTCCAAAATTATCTGAATTTGCAAAATGACGAGGGACATAGGAGCTAGACTTTTATTCTCGTACTAGTTAAAGGAAGCAGCTACTATGTCTCAATGTTGAATTTATATCGCCGACGAGTTTAGGCATTTACCTGGTATGGGCTACATGAGACGCAGAGCCCGCGCCTTGAGTCTCTTCTTTGAAGATACTTCGTCACAAGGTGCGCCTTGTGGCGGGGTGTCTTGTTTCTTTTTCCTTACAGCCTTCATTTATGATATGTGATTCCTTAATTTCTTGTTTGTTATAAGACGTTCCATCAACTACTTGTGTACCCTTTTAAAAAAGTTTATTCTTCCTCCTACTTGTTGCTACCCTTTTCGTTATAAGTATCTAAGTACTTAGTTGAGCTACGTCGCTATGCGTGCACAACCTAGAACGTCTACTAGTTGCACGCAGTTGCTCGCAATCCCATGCGAAGGTAGAGGAGGCCGCGACTGCGTCTTGATTTTGATCCCCCTATCTTGGGTTGTAACATGAGTGACCCAGTATTTTACTTCACTGGACATTTTTGAGAACGGAAAAAGATGCCTTCCTTCACACGCTTTTCGAGACGCCTCCGTGGTATATTCGAACAAAGTGTGTGAATATGTAGACAGCTACATCGTGCTAGGTAGTCAGGAAGTGCGACGACAAATAAGCAATGCTTGCAGCTGGTTTACAAGGACAGGTGACCTATCCTTCTGTAAACTTCGACCTCTACGCCTTTTTTGAGGATGGAATAAAGACGGTGGCGCCGTCGTGAAGCAGGGGCACCAGCATGAACGCACCGAAGGCACGGCCTCGACGCAAACGCCGCTGACGTGCTTCTTGCAGAGAGATGAAGAACTCCCGTCCGCTGCAAGTAGGATAGTATTGAGCGAGAAGGAGAATGTGCAAATCACTGCATGGAGATAGAACAAAAAAGACGGACTCAAAATGGCTCAGGATGGAACTAAAGCAATCACCATGAGCAAAAGTCTCACCTCGGGATACTTTCCTGAGTCTTTAGGCGTTTGTAGGGTAGTATCTTTGGTTTTTTAAAAAGTAGACGTTGACTTCCGAACAGAAAGAAGATGGAGCGACGGTGGTGAAGGTCGGCGCAAGTGAGTGTCAATAGGCAGATGGTAGCTCTCTAAACATGGCCAAGAGGACGGCTGGGAGTAAGCTGATGGAAGCGCGGCCCTCAGATCTTCGGGTGATCCTTGTAGCAAGGCGCGATGTTATGTGGTCCTCCGGTAGTGCTGCGGACCTTTCCGTTTTGCGAAGACCCTCGAGTAGGGACGCGGAGATGGAGACCTCGGCGTCTTGTGGATGTTGAGTGATTGCGCATGCAGCTCCTCGGCCTTTTCTAAGGCTTCTCGAGTGCGCGTATGCCTGGCTTGATGGTATCACAAATGACGAAACTGAGGCAACAACCGATAAGGATCCGCTTCAGTATGCTAATCTGAACGATCGCATTCACTTCATAGCGTACTGGTAACAGCTACGGAAACTCTTTCCTCGCATAGTGTATCGGGCCGACGAAGTCGTTCAAGTTAGTAGTAAGTGTTCACTTTGCGTCTTTCTCCGCTTGTCTCCGGGTGCGCTTTGGGTGGAAAAGCCGATACTCGAGCGAGACTTCTCTCAAGTGTCTTGCGCAGTCTCTGTATCGTGTTTTGGGAGTGCGTGACAATTGTGGATAGCATTTGTCTTTGAGCGATGCTGCCGCAACTGCGATCTATGAGAGATTCTGCATTGGATCCTTGGTAGTTCCTGACTGAATAAAGTCCGAATGGTGATGGTAGTGTGGAGTGGAATCTAGTGATCATGCTCTAAGACGATCTACGACAGGACGCTTCGGGCGAACTTCCTTTCTGCTTTTTTATATCCCTCTCACCACACCTTCTTCCCCCGCTACCTATACCAGACACTGCGAAAAATGAAATTCAAATGAAACGCAAAATCGCTATTCATTGAGTAGGAGCTCACTTCAAGATTTGAACAATGATTTGGTCGTGTAATCCAATTGTTGTTGCTATGACCATTTTGATAAGTAAATACGGTCGACTTCGATGTCAAAAAAATGGTATTTCATTCATCCTCATCTGCTGTATTTGAGTTGTGGCACTTGCACCACCAGCTACCGCTCAATTACGACAGGGAATTCGTATCAAAACGCGTATAATCTCGGTCGGGGACCTTCCCTGGGCGGGGGAGGTGCTGGTGGAAATATATGGCGCGGGAGCATGAAAGCAGGCGGGAAGCATGCGCCAGCATCTACGGGCCGTTATTCAACTCGTGCTACCTGATTACCAACCTTCGGGTCAGCCTACGGAACAGGCTTCGCATTTTCCCTTGAGAAGCCAGTATTTCTGCACAATGGCACTTTTTAATGATGTAATCCGTACTTGTTGATAGAAACGTGCATTTTATTGTGGAGATACATTTATCTATCATAGCTTTCATATCCATTCAGAATTATTGGTGAGCGTAAATATATCTCCAATTTGCAATTGCATGAAGAAGTTGAAAACATTGACAGACACGACGTCGACATGTGTCACTAAATCAAAATTGACCATGACCCTTTTGATTACTCGAAGACTACCTGTACCTCTCTGACAACTATAATGTTTATGACATCACACTGTTGATAAAATTATCGCCACGACGACGCCCGAGGCCGAGCTGAACAACACTCGACATTACGCCGTGCCTCAGAATGCTTGTTCCTTCAGCATTCGTCCTCCGTGTGTCCTCGTAATTGTTTATGTGTCGATCTTGATTTTTACTTCACAGTCCTTGCGGGGCAATTGCTGTCTAAATGCGTCCTTTTTCTGTGCTGTTCCTCAACCATGATGTTATTGTTAGTGTGGGTGCTAGTGCTTTTCTTACCTTGAATTTGTTCGTTCGAAATTTGTTAGGACTGCCGACAGAAGTCAGAGTCTGTTTGTCCTCGATTAAATGTCGAATTCTGGAAGCTAGCTAAGATGTTGATCTTCATGTAGTGTGTGTTGAAGTCGATTTTGCTCGAGGTACACGCAGATGCTGTCATACATAGTCCTCCATAAGCATCATGCTTTGAGATTTGATGTAACTCCTGTTAACTTCTTTGTGGGGAAATTAATTCGAGAGACACTTTCTCATTAATTCCCATTCTCACACTAGTGCCTTCCTCTGATATGAACCTAAGTCTGTCAAATTCGTAATCATCGTGATTCAATCTTCATCTTGTCGCATTCAACACAAAGTCCTCTCAAGATGCTAGAAGTCAGAATCGTTTTATTTCTTCTATGCCCAAGAAAGGTCATAGTTAGTGATCAGCGCATGCTCGTCCTGAGCATCATCTTTTGACACCACTTTCACTTTGTATTTCATATAGATGAAGAAGGGTTTATTGAAGCAAAAAAGGCATGTATCCTTCGAGAAATAGTTTTGTTTACTGATCGTGGCGTAGTTCCTTCTTTCCATCGTGATTCTTTCATTGGACTTGCTAGATGGAAGGTAGCATCTTCTACAATAGATCCTAGTTCTCGACCATCTATGATATTTTCATTACTTTTTTGCTCGAGGAGCACCAGTGGCAGCGCATGGAGACAGCAACAGACGAAGTAACTAAGCGGCCACTCCTGAACTTCACATCACCTAGGTAGTACTCTTACGACACAGTTTGTTGGGAGTTAGCTGGAAGCTCTGAGATGCACTTTAGCGATTATATCAATTTGGCTCGATTGTTTCCCATTTGTTGGAGACAGAAAGACTGCAACAAACAGAAGTTTCCTCTTTTCTGACCTGCTCATCCCCGAAAGAATCACGTTCACGGACTACAGAAAAACCAGTATTTTATCAGATGAAGACGAGGACGGAAGCACATCAACAAGAAAGATCTTTAAAATTGCCTGATACAATTACAGCTTCTAGTTTGTCACATATGGACGGTATACCGAACATCAGGGCCGGGAAAAGATATCAACACCAAGTACCGGCAGATGGTGCAGATGATGACTCATCATGGCGCTGCGAGAAGGCTCCTTGGTTACGGGTGCATTTGATTGGGAGATAGAGCAGGTCGCGTTGCCCGTGTTACGTCTCTGGTTTCAGTTCGTCAGTGCGTTAGCATATCTTTTCATGTTTTTCTCCGGCTATACTAGATAGAAGGAAGGAAGAGGCAGACCGAGGGGATTATTTTTTTCTGCACCGCCATAGGCACTGAACTAGGAATTTAAAAGCAGAACCAGTTGTCAACCGGTTTATTCATGACACTTGGCGCTAACAAGGCTTTGTGTTGAATGAACCTGAATCCGATTTTGGCTTTTCACAACATCCCTCATTTACATTTAAATTTATCGAGGTAGTTCGAGCTGTAAGTGCAAATGCAGTTGCATTCCTTCCACAGGAAAAACATTAGAACAGGGTCCACGAGCGCCTAAAAGTACACCAGAGATGCGTAGTGAGCACGATCATGATGTATAGCTGCGATTACACGCTGAGCTTGACATAGCCACATCATCTGGTTCTAATGATAATCATCTCCATCCTTACTTCTTCACACTTACATTAATTGGAGGATACAGTAACAAAGATGGCGCGTTTCTTCAAACATGATTGGGGGTACACTTGGCTGCGTTTTGTGGCATTTTTCACCACCAGCTCCATGGAGTTTAATATCTCTCTGTTCTTGGTGACCATCATTCTCATCCTCGGCTTCATCTCATACGCAGCGCATGCTTTTGTCCTCTTCTGGCCCTGTCTGTTCCTCGCGTCGATTTTAATCTTAAGAACGCTGAACGAATGACTATGTAGTCTAAGCTTCTAGTACTAGGATTTGCCTAAGCGACAAACGACTATTCGCTTCGTTTGTTATGGAAATTTAATGTGGAATAACAAAACCAGAGGCAAAGATGTAGAAAATGAAATGGATGAACAGGTGCACGTTTGCCATTGCCACGTAAGTTGTTATTTCTTGTTAATACAGATGAAAGGGGGTCTAGGTCTTCAGCCCCTTCCTTGATTATTGATGGGGATGAACCCGATGATAAACAAAGGGAGTGTTTGTAGTCACTTCCTTCCTCAGTTCCGTGTCGCTGTTAGTTGAGTCAAAACCTGTGTGAGCAATCATCGTGACGAAACACTATGACGCCGCGCGGCAGTCTGCGCTGAGTTCTGTGCGAGATTAGTTGCGTTGTATTGTATTCACATGTTCTAGCGCTAACCTCTTATCTGCAGTTGAATCCAGCGCTTTCCGCCCTCGATACGAATGAGTCTTTTGGGGACTTCTACGTTACGAAGGAGCGTCTAGGATGTCCAGGTGGAATCTCGCGTTCGGCGTTGGACACCAGTTGGGAGCCAGGGCCGCCAACGGGGAAAACTGGGGACCGTTCGTTTCGTCATGTTTTCATTGAGAAAAACACAAATCGGCAAGTCTTTCTACGTGGCCTTAACGTTGGCGGGGGAACGAAATTGCCACAAGGATGGACCTCCGACATGCCCTTGGAGGAGGACTTTCAGAATGAAAATGAAGAGCAATCCTCTAGTATCGCGCGCGGTCGAGGTGACCAGTCGCCAGTAATAATCTTAAGTTAAACTACATATGCACAATGAATAACTTCGTTCTTGTTGTTTGAACTATTGTTCATCTTCTTCACTTTGTTTGAACTGCGATAAGTGCACGTATGTTATGTGATTTACAACACGATCACAAAAACGCGCGCCAATGGGGACTTGTTGTTGTTCGAGATGTAGATGATGAGTTTCTTAAATTTAGTTCGGGATTCATTGTACTATGAGGTATAGGCACGTCTTTTGATCTGCTGTTCTGTCGTCTTGCCAGGTCACTCAAAGACGAACAAAGAAAGACGAAAGGGAAACAATTGGCAGCGCGTCCCTTATAGCGGTTGGGTCTGAAGCGGAATCAAGCGGCTCAGATGGCTACGCAGGTGTGCGCGGGGGGGCAGCTAATACCAACAAGGTCTGACTCTTGATTGCTTTTTATTACACGAGTGTTCAAAATTGAAATGTTGTTCTTGACGACACGGAGACGAGTTTGAAACAAATAAGATTCGTCATGGATCACTATCTTTACTTGGACTCGATATGCGAAAATTTTACTTAAGTATACACTAGGTTCGCCCTGCTCAGGAGAGCAGACCGGGTGGTGCAGGTCGGCGGAAGTGTCCTTCGACCGCACCTTCATTCGTTAACAGGCCCTTTCCTCTAGAGGAAGCAGATGTACATTTTTCGCGTTTGCTGGCATATGGTTTTACATTTTTTCGACTGTGTATTACATGGGAAGCTGTTGAGCCAATGGGCCCAGGAGAATACGACCGCGACTACCTCAACTACCTAGAGGCTCTCCTCGCTAGCGCACGAGAGTACGGAATATCCGTCTTTATAGATTTTCACCAAGACGTGTGGAGTCGCTGGACTGGAGGTACGAGATTACAGTATCAGCCGTGACGTAACGAGTGTCGGATAAGGATACGATAAATGATAGAATTTCAGGTGTGTGTGCTAATCTGCTAAGTGATGGAACAATGACGATTTCATCAAGATTCATGATTGTCTCTAATGTATTCGCGTCCTTTAGTATTCTTTTTTCGTAGGTTCCGGTGCACCTCGCTGGACGCTGGAGGTAATAGGATTCGACACAAACTTCTTTCGCGACACGTTAGCTGCTTGGCGACACTGCGATGACGCCAAGAATTACCCGATGATGTGTTGGGCCAATAATTATCTGCATTTGGCGTGTGCAACCATGTTCACGCTTTTCTTCGGCGGCGATGATTTCGCGCCGAATTTCCGCCTCAATCGTAAGTGTTCCCGCTTGTATTGCGGGGATGCGCAGGAGCCTCTAGATATCAAACAAGGGCTGACAATCAACAAAGATGGAAAGCACGAAGCCGAAGCCTCGAAACACCAGCTAGACGGCGAAACCAGTACCAAGGGGAGCAATAGCAAAGTTACTGATGTCAACATCCTTATCGACGAAGCCTCTCGTGTAACATCGAAAGCTTTTGCCGAGGGTGAAGACTTGCTAGGGTTCACAACCGCAGAGCAGACGGGAGACGAGGCTCCTGACCCTGGTACAGCGACGAGCCTGCAAAATTCTAAAGTCGCTCTGGACACCGCCAGCAACTATGAGGGGGAACACATGGCAGTGAATCTCGTGGATGGTGAAGGTAATTCCCCGAAGACTGCGAAGTTTCAGGGAGGCGTGCCACCATCCTCCATGCACAGTATCATTATGAAATACAATGAAGAAGATGACCAACAAGCTAGAGTTAGTCAATATCTGCAGTTCAGAATTTTGGAAAATGAAGGTCAATATCTTGTAGGGACTCCTTGGGGGTACGGACTGTAGACTTTAAAGAATATCGTGCAAGAACAATGGACTTCACGTACAAAGTCGTAAATTTAATGCACATGATGCACATCAGAGATACAATTAGATCCACGAAACTCCAGCTTACTCAATGTAGCTACTTCAATAGAAGGAGATGCATGACATGAAAACAGACCAACGATAGTGCCAGTTATCCTTTATACGTGGGTTTCTAATACAAGCAGTGAGGATCTTCCGTACTACTTGCTGAACCCACCGGAGCAGGGAGGTGATGCAGCAAGTCCACTCTTCGCGAGCAGCGACCTTGACGCAAATTTTGTAACCGCCCAGCAATTTCTTCAAGATCACTACTTGGGCGCAGCGCGACAGGTGGCTGCCGCAGTGAAGCACTTGGATAACGTTTTGGGATTCGATACCTTGAATGAACCCGATTACGGTTTTCTTGGCTACGAAGACATTGGCGAGTGGCGGTCACTGGGTGGTGCAAAAACGCCAAGCGGCTTCGTCTTTTACGATTGTTGTTGACTACAGGAAAACCATATTGATAAATATTTCTTTGATGATGATAGTTTTAGTTATGTTCAAAAACTTTTTTGTTCTGGTTGTACCTGATGGATCGTGTTACGACACTGAAGATACTGCTACATCTAAATCCGTTCGGCGTTCGAAGCCATGGCGTTGGGTTCCGGTTGCTCCCTCCCAGTTGACTACTTTTCTGGGGTAATGCAATTTGCAAGGACCATAGAGTTTGCCAATCCGAGTAGAAAAACGTGCTGGCGTCAGGGATATGAATGTACAGGATGCTGATCACGGTTATTTCGATTTCCAATGATGTTCCTACTTCTCAAAATTTAAATCGTGATCGTACCAAGATGAGTCTTTGTCTTGCCATCTTCTATTGGTGTAGAGGCTTCGCCGTGATATTTTCGCTGTACAACATGGATCAACTGGTCCAAAAAAGCACAGTTTCTGAGCAAAATCACAACATGTTTTAGTTATATATAAGTAGTCGTTTCTTTCAACTCGATTTTTCCTTTCCCCAGGTATATGGAAGCAGCATGGAATTTACGATCTTTCGCCGGTGAACCAGAGTCCAGTGTTGAAGAAGCCTAGTCATTTTTCGCGCAATCCGCGATCAGGAGATCCAGTAGACGTACACGCAGATTACATGATTCCATTTTGGGATAAGTTTGCCCAAGCGATTCGAGACGAGATGGGCAGTGACATTTTTGTCTTCTGCTCACCGTTTCCATGCCCGACCGACCAGAAAACCATGTGCTATTCCGAGGTGACAGCGCACAGTCTTCGCAAACATCCGAATTTGGAGCGAAAAGCCGTTTTCTCGCCGCACTACTATGAGGGCTGGCAATTGATGTACCACAAGTGGCGCCCCTACATCTGCATCAACTCCAGCGCCCTTATCCGCCTGACAGTGGAACAGGCTGCCATCGAGGGCGACGCAAGAATTCTGAAGAAACGTGACGAAGATCTTCAAGAAGGCCACGAGCCGTCGAGTTCAGTGGAAATCCAAGAGAAGGGCAGCAAGTCGTGCGGCAGGTGGTGCCGAAGAGCATGCAATGTGATTAGGAACCTTCCTGTCTACATCGGAACGCAAGCACAGTGCGCGCGCCAAGTAGGGCGAGATATCGCGCTAGCAGCATCTCACGGCAAAAAGTTAGGGCCGGCGGTAATCGGCGAAATTGGGATCTCGATGAACATAGAGGGCGAGGCGAACCTCTCACGCTGCTTCGATCGCCAGATGCGAGGTTTAGAACACTCCGGAGTCTCCGGCTACACCTTGTGGCACTATTGTCCCGATGCAACCATCAACAACGATGGCTGGAACAAGGAGCACCTCTCAATTTTCACCAATGACCTGGTATTCCTATTACAACTAGTTCAGCTCGTCAACTACCCCTAAAAATAAGAATGATTGTCAAATAGATTGTTCAATTATAATGCATCTTGTTTCATCCATGTGGCACGACCGTGTTGAGCAACAAGCGTCCGATCCCAAACGAACTACATTCACCTCAGGTCTTTCCGAACGCAACGCCCTTTCTAGGAGGTCGGGCTTTACCAGCGATCATTCGGCCGAGTCCTTTCCTAGTTGCAGGGCGCATTCGAAAATTCAGCTTTGACGCTCTTTCGCACAAACGTATGTTTGAGCTCGAATACGAAGAAGTGGCCACATGCCGCACGAATCAGACAATCCTCTTCGTCCCCTACTATCTTATGACAACTTGTTTGTAGCAGGAGTGGAATTTTTGATTTTTGATTTTCGTTGTTGTAGTGGATACGCTAATACTTCGATCGAGTCGTACGTCGTGTTGGCGGGACAGACAACTCTTCTTGTTAATGCAATGGAGTGGTTGGTTTGGCTTTGTACTCAGCTGTGCGAGAACTTGATTCGAAGATGGAAGATACACTTTCGTCTAGTTCCACATGCATGAGTAGTAGTTAACATGATTAGTTAATATGATCCCACTCTAACTTGGAGTATTCAGAAGAAGGTGTGCGGACGCGTTGTTCAGATGGGCAATTCATTGAAACGAATCTGTTGAGCCAAAAGTTTACGTACGTGCACGACACGGGCATCGCGCCCAACGCAGAGGGGAAAAGAGTACACAAGATTCAAATCTGGCTGGAAGGCGGCAGAAGGAGCGGCTGCTGTCCATGCCTACCATCGAGTTTTGAGCATGCGGGGGTTTGAGCGTAGTCGTGGTTATCCTCTTTCGTGAGTCCTTTTGGTTTTTGTGGGAAATGAACTTTATAAGCTGAATAAAACTGAATACTTGAACTTGCGACTTGTGGGGAAGTGCGAGTTTTGTAAGCGAATGCGAAGGAGGTACGTATCGTCACTTCATAGTACTACAAGTATATAATCTTCAGTGAATACTCTACTCAGAACAGAAGGGTTGGTTTGTAAATTGTAAAAAACGCCGACAACTCGAAATGGAAATCTTCAACATCCGTACTTACAAGTACAAACAACGAACTGTACTTCGAAACTTCACCTTTCACCTAGTACTCAACATTTATACGTAGAAATGATGATCTTCAATGATGGAGGCAGCAGCCGAGCCAAATTTTGTATCTGGTTTATGTTCATTGTCATCCGACCTCCTCGGTTTCGAGGAGAGAACAAGGAAAAGCCAGCAGTTTCGATAGAAAACAAGATTTCTGTTATAGTGTTTAAATTTCATTCGTTTCTGCACAGAATGACGCACTCCCATTCTGCACGCTTATTGATTCTGCACGCTTATTGTCCTCCGGTTGTAAGCTTTCCTCTGATTTTTGTTGTATTGACCTTCTCTACTACAGTTGTACTCTTCTCGCCGCGAAGTTCTTCATCATCGATTCCCATGATGTGTAAGATACAAATGCGACCTCCTGCGCCCTAAGGACTGTCATTGACATTGATTAATTTATCTGCAATAGCCTTTTTCTCTATCTTCCAGGCTAATAATCAGTAGGGGATGATGATGTATTCTAGAAAACTCGCGTATCGTACTAGGAACTACAGGTACACGACGGCGACAGTCTGAGGGACTGGTTGCCGAAAACGACCTGGCCGTGGGTTTCTATTTGCAACTCTTCAGTTCTGGATTTTTCTTGTTTCTCAAGATTTATTAAATTGTCGCTACTAGGCTGAAAAAAGCGAATAGAAAGATTGACTTCGTCGCTGGTTGGAAGCAAGCCTGCGACACCGTACTAGATTCACTGGTGAGTTCGTTTTCTGTCACTGCCTCCTCAAGTGCTGTGGATGAGGCGAGCGATGAGTCGAATATGCGAGGGAGAAGATATGAAGGTACATGTACATGAAGGTAGAAATCCTAATCATATAAGCTTGCGAGAAGGAGCGAAGCATATTGAGGGCGATATCACGGTGATGATCGTATCTTTTAATGGGGCGGATATACTTTGGTGGAAGGGTTTTGAATACCATGCAGCCACTGACGTCGCACGAGCAAAATGTCAGGCCTTTATTCTTGATGCAAAAAATTTCACTCGCTCATGATCACTTTCTCCATGCTGCCAACAAGTTGTGTATCTTCACCAGTAAGACGGACATTTTCATCTTGGTATGATCAACACCTGTGGTGCTACTCCTACTGCTGGTTGTACATCTATTCGATATTATCACAACTAAGACTGAGACGAGAACAAGTAAGAGTAAGAGAAACATGTTGCGCCTGAGTTGTAAGCGGCAAGCTGGCGGCTTGCTCGAGACGATAGTGCCAGGTTATAAGGACAAGGTATGGAATGCCTACTCACGCGAATACAATTATGACTCTGACTCTCCCAGCTGAAGAATACTGGAGCTTCCCAAGTGAGTTGAAAAATATATCTCACTTCTACCTGTAGACATTATCGTAGTTATTCTTACCATCGCCGTACTACCGGGTTTGGTCATTCCATGTTGAAACATATAAGGTCGTGCTGCCTCTCTGACGACAGCCTGCCTCTAAGACTAGAAGTTTCTGATTCAACGGCAGAATGATCAATTTGAGGCAGGCATCGCAGCACATAAGCGATGGGGTAGCATGCTCACTTCCTACAAAGCAGAGGAGAAGAAATTTGAGCCTAGCTGGAAGTCCCGAAAGCCTTCTGTAGATTGGCGTCGGCAAGAGGCCAGAGGGACCTTGTGGGCTGGGAAGTTTATGGATCTTGGCTTTCGATCCTACAATAGTTTGATGATCGTGTTACTCATGAATTTTGATGTGCGAAGCAAGTTTGATGTAAATAAATGTACTGCAATAATGTTGATTGCTGGCGGTAAGGGTAAGCGTAAGGGTATGAAGACCAACAGTATCACTATCATGAAAGGGACATTTTTGTTTGATCTAGTCGTTTTTCAGTAGTTGTCATACGTACTACTCTGGATGATCATCTAGATCTACATCTGATCCTCTGGTGCTAATAGTTTTGGTGAATCCCCACAACATCCTACTTCATTTTACTCTACGAGGGTCCACCGTGTCCCGGAGCAGTTATTCCGAGTGACTACACTCCTGGGAACACGTTCGATCGGCTGACGCATGACATTCGGGAACCATTTTCGGAGAAGGAGTGGGCCGAGCGAAAGCAGTACCGCCACTGGGACATGGTTCATCTGCTTTACTACGGCATTGGCGGTTTTTTCCTTTACCGACTCAGTGGTGAGTGGCCCGTGGTATGGTGCTAGACTGCTTCCCATCTGTTTTGCCACAGCCTGAAGAAAAAATATTTTGAGTAGATCAAATTCGTCTACATCGGAGCCTTACTCATTTTTGACCAGCAGGTGCCAACCATTCCCATTCCCCGATGACACTAGCAATAGTAACTGCGAACGAGGAAGATTAAGGCCACGCTTTCTTCACAAAACACTTCTTGTTGCGCGAAGATAGAGATGAGAAATACACATTACATTCTGTTGCGGAAAGAATTCGCTATTAAAGAATGTCAATAGAAAGTTTGAAAGTTTTTTCATGAGTCCTTGCCAGTCCCAGGCCTCCCTCCTCCTCTACCAACCTTGCATACTTTGGCGCTTCCCCTGCGGACTCGCGAGTGAGCTGTTTCTCTCGTGGATGCGTGTTCAAATTTGTTGGCTTGGTGAAGCCGGAAGACAGAATCAGATGTTGAGTTCTCTCGTGCGTGCGTACTTGCATGTCGCATAAACTTAGTCAAAATTTATCCTCTGTGCTGGTGTCGGTGGCTTCGTTAACGGAGAAAATCTTTCACTCTATGACCATAATGGTGTCCTCCAACTCCATGACCGTTTACTACTACTTTTTCTCTAGTAGTCACCCTGACATAGTACACAGAGTTGCATCATAAGATTGAGATGATCGACAAGGACAACACTAGACAAAAAATAAAGAATTCTATTTTTATCTTCTCAATCATAGGAGAACAGAATAGAAATCAAAAAAAGAGGATGACGGCTATCCTCTCATCCTTTTCGTCGCGTCGGAATGCCTCGGCGCAAACCCTCGCGAGCAAGCGGGTACAATCTCAGTTAACAGGCTTGCACTTGTATGTGCAGTTCAGTTTCCCGAAATGATATTTATCAATTATGATCTCCTTCTCGTCCATTTGCGTCTCCTTGTAGTTGTTGCTCTTGATGTTGTAGTAGTACGAGGACCTGGTGGTCCTCGACGAAGAGAATGCACGAAGATAGAAGTAGTTTAGAGTGCAGGATTTGGATTTGCTTGATCAATCTTGTCAGGTGGAAAACTCAACGATGAGCAGACCAAGCTGTAATTTATGGGATGACAGCGCAACGGCTTTCGAGATGCTAGATAAAAATCGCGACGGTTTCCTGAACTGGGCAGAAGCGAGATATTGGCTCCGTTGCGTCGGCTGGTGCTGTACTGATGTGCGGCTAGATATCGCAATTCAACAAATGTGGAACGCGATGATAACGCGAGGAGATGAAGAAGAAGACTTCCATTTATGTTCCTTCTTTCCACTCAAGTTGGTACAAGTAGCTCGTCTAGCGTAACCGACTATTGATTTAATATGTGGGATAAAATGATTTTGATCCGAGCCTACTATTGCAGTTGGAGCCCACTATTAATCTGGGCAGATTCGGAATTCATAATGCGCAAATCCTATGTCTAAGTCTATGTGTTTCAATCTGTTCAGCACTTCTAGTACACGTCGGTGTCCTTTCCCACCTATTGGGTAACTAAAGGCGCCTGGAGGTCCATCTGGTCATTCTAATGACTAGCACCTCTTCCACCACATCTGCGATAAAAAGCGGGAAGAAACCTGAGACCGCGAGGTTTTCCTTGACCGATTTGCAGCTGATTGCGTCTGGTGCTTCTAGCGTCGTGACATCAACGAGGACACCGTCTCGCGCTGCTTCAGCGACTGTGGATTCCAAGGAAACGCCATCCTTTTCTGGAACCGCGGCAGGTGGTCCAGCTAAGGAAGCTTCGGACGTACCAAGAGATATAGACGAGCAGCCCGCCGTTGCTGCAGCTATCACAGAAGCGAATTCGCTGCCAAATGTTGATGCTCGTACTGCTACTGCGGAAGATGAAGAACTCAAAAGTACTCCTGCTGAGTATAGTGCGGGAGATTCCCAGGTCGTGCGTGTGAAAGATAAAGAGGCAGTAGATACCTTACATGAAACTGAAGTAGCTCCACACGCTGCAGATACCGAAAAGAACAGCACGAAAGAAGCCGATATGATACAAGACGACACACATCATGATGATCCAGGTAACAAAGGCATGAGCATCGAGATCGACGGTTCATTTGTTCCTGATGCTTCTGTGGCGCACTTTTCAGACCCTCTTGAAAGTGGGCAAGTAGATGGTCCGGAGTCTCTTAGCGCAGTTGATGAGACGGAGCCTCAGACTGCTCTGGCTGAGCAGATAGTAGATGGGTCTGCTTTAGCGGCAATCATCGGAATTGGTGATGGAAAGGCGGTCGAAGTGGATATCGAACAGCAAGGCGTAGAAGAAGCAGTTCTCGCGAGTGCGAAAGTCGATGAAGAGGTCGGTGAAAAGAAAGGGGAAGATTCAGGGGCGGCACGAGATAAAGAAGCAACAGAAGGATCACTTCCGAGTGTGGATCATGAAAGTGCGCAATTGGTGCCAACTGCTGGCGAGACTGACGCCTCTCTAGACGATGCGACTCAGGAACATGAAGAAGCTACAGTCGCGAAACTGCCCGAGCAAGAAAAATCTAGCCAAGGCGAAGCTGAGACGTCCAAAACTTCAATGGGGCAAGAAGTAGAGGCTGTTGGACAAAAATCACCGGAAGAACAGGATGCGACGAGTAATGTCCTCGTGGGAGAGCAAGAGGATACGACTGGAGATGAAGGTGCAGAGCAAGATAATGAAAGCATTCACGACCCGCAGCACCAGGCTGTGCAAGAGCACAAGAGGAAAGAAGAGTCGTTCATGAGGACTGCACGCGAAATTGACGATACCAGTGAACAGAAACGAGAGGACGCTGACTCTAGCAAGACAACTGCGGAGGTGTTGTTCCAAGCAACGACAAAAGATGGTGGCATCGCTCAGTTTCCTCGCGTGACTGCTTCGGAAGATTACCTCTTGGGTCTTTTGAGCAGCGTGACGTCTGGAAAACTTGAATTTTCAAGAGAAGATTTTTTCTCTTCGATGACACGCGAGGGGGAGCCTCTAAGCGCTGAAGACCTTGAGGAGCTAATGGATTTGGTCGGTTTAGGCGCGAATGCAGCGCCGGATGCATTCGATATAAGATGCTTGGCAAAAAATTTAGTGAGCAAAATTTTGGTTCCACCGTGCGTTCCAACGCAACGATCAAGATATGCTTAGCAGCATTACAGCCAACTCCCATAAAAACGAAAACTTGAAGTTGAACTTAATTGTTATGTTTCCTTAATCAATGTCAATTACTATGACATTTTAACACAGTTGTTCAACCTATACCTATACCTAAGATTTTTCCCCAGCCGCACGCACATGTTATTCTTGTCAATGAGCACGACTTTCACTTTAGTATACGACAAAGTCATCTTGTTCTTGTTGTTCGGAATATCAAGGCAATGTGGTCGGTGCAGGGCAGTTTCTCTCTCGCAAGGGCCGTTACAAGCTCTACCAGGGTAAGCGCTAATTGAGGTAGCCATTGTATTGACCCATTAAGAATGTTGCACTTTCGTCGTTCCTGCGGGACAATACCACGCGTGCGCTTGCTGGCCATAGCAGACATGTGCTTAAGCATGTGCCACCTCCCTGTGGAGGAACCCCAAATCTGGGTTAGGCGACCGGACCAGTGTCGGTTGACAAAAGTCATACGCTTGGCGTTCAGGAACTCCTTAGCGGAGAAGATCTACTTATTAATGTGTTGTAAGCTTCTATGACAGAAAAACGACTACTCCTACTCAAAAATCAAAACTTCGCTGATGCTGATTTTGGCTGCCATCCGGACGCTGGTTCGAACCGACGGTGGGCCCCAGCTGTGGACCGCAGCAGGTAAGTGCAGAGTCTTTGTCTTAAACTAGCTAGTTAAAGATTAGATATTTTGACAGGCCCAAGACAGGAGGGTAAGGGAGAACTTAGGGTTTAGGGTTTAGGAAGGGGTGGCGGGAGCGCGAAAGCGGAGGGGCAATGAGCAGAACATGCGGCAGAGTCGTGTCTGGATGACGTTTTTGGCCTCTGCCAAGCTTCGGCACCACAAAGAAAGAGCTCAAAGATGACAAAGTGCACGGCCGTGGGATCTCCACCTTAGCCAATGGCGACAGGTACAATTGCGAGTGCAGAGGAGGCAAATTAAACGGCCGCGGGATCTACGCACACTATGCCAATGGCACCAAGTACGACGGCGAGTTCAAAGATGACAATTTTGACGGGCGGGGGATCTACACCTATGCCAATTGTGCCAAGTACGACGGTGACGCCAAAGATGACAAGCGGCACGGCCGCGGGATCTACACCTTTACCGATGGCGACAGGTACGACGGCGAGCATAAAGATGACAAGCCGGGCGGGCGATAAGTCCTTGCGTATGCCGGCGGCGGCACGTACGGCGGCCAGTGGAAAGATGGGATAACGCATGGAGCAGGAGTCCGCACATTCGCCGACGGTGATCAGTACCGCGGCCAGTGGGAGAACGGACTTCGCTTGACCTCCCACGTATTTTGAAAATGAAGTGGCCTGCGTTTGTCATTCATTGACACGGCGGAGACAAATTCAAATGCCAGAACTTTTTGCCTCAGCATGATACTGCTTTTACTGTGCATTAGGTGACTTGCTTCTGTCGTTATATTCTGTAAGCTTCCATTGTGATCGATGAGGATTATGTCTTGTTTATTGTCGACGCTCCTTCGGTGTTGATTGATCGTTCGCCATATATTTCATAAGAAAGTCTCAGACTTGTATCCGCATAATAGCGATCTTGCCGTTATTCGCCAACCGCCACACGATCCTCCCTATTCCTCTCGATTTGCTTACCCCGGCCCACCATTATCAAAGCACGCTACTTGCGTTGGCCTATTGCCAAACTGACTACCTTCATTGTCCAAGAGAGAGTTTTCGTTGGGCATGGCGAAAAAACATGAAATCAGCGAGGTCAAGGTTGCAGTTTCAGAGCGCCCGACCCGTCTCCATCGAGCTACGACCTTTGGAAAATATTTTGATATTATGTTGAGCTTGAGACACTGGCGAGGGAGAGCGCGGATGAGATGAATGGAAAATATGAACAGAGGTCACGTCAATCGACATATTATACCAGTCGTGTCCTGTCCAGTGGTTTTTCGATAGCATCATAGGAGGACTTTTCACTTCGATGTTGAAAACAGTTTCTGTCCTGAGAACGAAGTACAGCTCTGGCCACCCCGTTACTAGCCACCTCAATCCACACGTAATATTCATTGTCAACATTCGGTCATTAGAAGTCATTTTGTCGGTCATCGAAATGGAATTCGGTTCATGATAGAGTTTTCAAACGACCCGCTCCCGCACCCTCCCTGTCACAAGGTGACCCCAAAGAAAAAATAAATCTTTCTATTTCTAAGGAGGCTTCAATGTTCAACCATTTCCTTTTAGTTGTTAGTTCCTCATGGTCCATTGGAGTCGCCCAGTCCTTTCTTGCAACTTGATCGACATTATCATGGCGTGATTTACAACTTGGAGGAAATTGAAACAAAAACAACTGAACTGTTTAGTGTGACTTCATAACTTCTCCTGATGATCATTTTCCCGTTGCAGAAATGACGAAGGTTACTAGGCGTCAATATCAATTTCATACCCGTGAAATTGTCCAATATTCGATCGAAATTCCATGATCTTGGGAGTAACTAATTATTCGCAAAAAAGAAAGATAAACATTAATCAATCAGAGTTGGAGTAACCTCGAATTTGATGTTGCTGCTGTTTTTTTTTCAGAACAACCAAGCCATATCCACTTCGTCTACATCCTCTGCAGTTTAGCTCTTGTTCTTCTTTTCCACTTTAAAGTTAAAGACGGACTCATAAAAGTCAGAAAGCAGATGGGCGAACATTGCTATTGGTTAGGGTTGCTCGAGTCTTAGCTTCTGGTGGAAGCAACATGATTGATGGGGGGCTCGGACGGTTCTTGAAATCGTTCAGCGTCAGGGAGCATGGCGGAGGGCGTGTTGGATTAAGGCTCATGTTGTGGATACTTCGCATCTCATTTTTTTCAACCTGCTCAACAGAATTCAGCGAGCAATGACATGAATATTGCCGTTGGGCTTGGGCTCCTACCCCATCGTGTTAGCTTGTCATACTCTCTTCACGCATTCGTATCATGCCGACCTATGATAAGAATACGTGTTACTACGTTTCAGAGACTACATCCTTCTATCAATATCATGATGATTTTTGGCCAGCACCAACGAACTCATCAGAGCAGCGTGTTTCTAAAAAGAGCAGTCTGCACCAGGGGGACAGATTGTTTCTCGAGCACGTGCGACGCAATGGACACTGCGAGACAGTCGGAACTGGCGTTTGCAAAAGCTAGAAGTCCTTTTTGACAATGCGAAGCTGTCCGACATCAAAATTCGTCCGAACATTATTGTAATTCCATAATCCTCTAGGCCTAATTGTAGATACGCATTATACTAAACTTTGTAATGTGAGACGAGGCGCTACCTCGTCGTAATGAGAAAGAAATCATGATTCGTATGACTTGATGTTGATGTAGTAAAAAGTTTTAGTTCTTTTGATTTGATCTTAAACTCAGATAATCGTAATCCTAAGTGAAGCTTCAAGAAGTTCTTCTTTCCCTTCAGCATTGTCTTCATCTTGAATTTTTCCGCAGATACCGAAGGAGAGCGAAGAAGATGACGGTCGGGAGTTTTATTATGCGCAAAAAGCGTATTTGGCAGCATGGAGTCCGGTTTTCGATTCCATCTTTTTCGGTCAGGGCGTTGGCACTGCCGGAGTCGGAGCCGTCGAGGATGGGGAGCTTACACTGGAGTGCCTCAAGGATATCCTGTGGCTTTTCCTCAAGTACTTTTGCGCTATACATAGAATCGATCGCTTCTTTGACTTTGATGTGTCGTCGAATTACTCCTTCGGTTTCCGGAATTTATGCTCCTTCAGTTTCCGGAATTTATAGATTAGCGATGAACTGCAATTGCCTTCTTTATCAGAGGTGGCCACGGTCTTGTCAGTATCAACTACAAATCATTTCTCCTTTTCTGTTATTTCATTGGAAACAATAGAAGATCTCCTTTTCTCTTATTTCATTGAAAACAATAGAAGAAGATGAAATAAAGAATATTCCACCACCAGGTTCCTGTACACAGGGGAGATTGTGTTAACAATCGACACTGTGTGGCCCTTTTACTGTTTCGTGAATACGTATCAAGTCAACGACTTGATCGATTCCGTGGAGGATATCATGGATAAGGCGGTTAGTGTGGACACATGTTGTTATGAAGAAATCGGTTTGCGTTGGTTTTTTGTAGTTGTAATTGGAACTTTCGTCTCGCGCGTCATCAGCATTAGCTATTCATCTCCTATTGCCGTGATGTCAGATGTCTTATCCTTTCAAAAGAAACCTTAACCAGGAAGTAGAAACTTTGCCCGGCGTGAACAAAAATGCAATCGCTGTCTAATTTTCTTCTCTCCTTTGCTCGGCGCAGCAGCTTGGTTCATACGACCACTATGCATTGAGGAAGTACTGTTATTACGTGAAAAAGACCACGCCTTTCTTCTGCTTGATGTTAATTTTCCTTTTACGGTGGAAATTATTCTAGTATACTTCTTAGACTTAGCTGCACGGGCTGTGGCTGCTGTACAAATACCATGTTCAACATGAGGCTTGCCCGTCGAGATTTTCTTGTATCTGACTCTCCTCACTACATAATCAGGTGCCTGAACATGCTTTTGATGGATTTTCCAGAAGTATCCGAGACACCGGGATTCCTAGGGCTTGACTACGACGTTCTGGCCGCGGTTGTGAGCTCTGATGAGCTAAATGCAGCAGAGGAATGTGTCTTCGAAGCATGCATGAACTGGATAGCAGCGTATCATAAAGTTAGATTTACTTACTATATGAATGTCGTCCTAGTCGATGTGTTTTCTAAAATCTTTCGTGTAGGACACCCCATCAAAACAATCATTAGGATTGGCCCTACTTCTAGAAAGACTCGAGGACCTGCATCTACATGTCGATGCCGTGGTTGTGAAGTATATCTAGATACTGCATTGTTATTGTTTTTCATTTGGAGGTACTCAAGTCTACGTTCTTCAACTACGTCAACGTGTACATTTTGATTGGTTGTTCAATCTTTTTCTACATCAGGGACGAGCAGCGTTTGGAGCTTTATCTGGACGATTTGTTGGGGCATGTGAGATTTCCCCTGATGCACACGAAATATGTGGCTAAGCTCGACTCTCACCCAGTCGCTGCTCGCAGTAAAGTTATAACAGAGCTAATGTTGCAAGCGTTGAAATTCGCCGTTGCGCCAAAAGAAATGTCACAGTTTGTGAACCCGGCTACCTATAAGTTATGACTAGTTTCTCACTTTCCTCTCTGTCTTTCATACTAACGTGCTTTTCTTTGCAGGAAGGTGCTACGTGTAGGCGCACCTTGTCAGGAGTGCAGAGAACCTGCGAAGGGTACTCTGCACCACGATACTGCATTTTTGGATTGCTCGTGCTAATACAGTAGCTACAGTTCATCTTACAGTCGTACTAGATTCTTCTCAACATTCTCTCAAGTTAGAATTTTCTTGCGTGATGCTGATGCTTCACAACAATAACTAAGTGCATCTCTCTAACCAAAGCGAGAAAAGGGGGCCTTTACTGGAAAGCGACGAAGAACAACATGGCTCTGGACATCTCCTCTCCAAACTACAAGACGTTCGTGCTCAACAGCTCCTGCGATCTCGTACAAGCGTGGAAGATGCGTATAGAGCTCTTCGAGGAGGGAAGCTGCGTCGTTGGTGTCTGCGAAGACACAATTGACACCAGCTATTACTGCGGTCGCTTCAAAGACGGATGGGGACTAGCTGATAACGGTATTGAGAGTCAATGTTGAAGACTCCTTTATTGCGCATCGGTCAAAGGAATATGAACAGCTTGCTAAACTACACGTGATTTAGTAGGTGCTTCATGATCTTACATTTTTACCCTAGCTGATAATATCCTGTTCCCTCTCCATACCAGGGCACTTCTATTGCGGTCAGTGCAAATGCGACCCTACTGTGAAGCACTTATGTACGCCAGCCTGTCAAGCGCATATGGAAATACATCATGGCGCGGTCATCTCCATTGCCTATCTAAAGGAGACGCAAGACCTTGTCTTTCGGCAGGGAAACAAGATATTTCGCCAGCGTTTGAAGAACGTAAACCCAGAGAAGCGCCTGTTTCCAGCTATCTCACTTCGGGCAGCAAAGTGCAGAATTTTCAAAGAGGAAGGCGATGTGCTAGAAGGCATATGATTCTGCTGCTGGCAAACGTGAGTGTCGTCCACTCTTGCGAATGTTCGCGGCACGCCAGTAGAGCCAGTGCCACCACATCAAAGAAAATGAACACTGCAACTGCTTCACAACTCCTTCTAGTTTCTATTTCGCGTTTTTAGTATTCCAATTCCATTTCTAATACCAATACCTCGACCTCCTATTTACTCGGATGAAAACTCTTAGAGGCTGCTCTCAAGGTCTAAGTTTAGTTTCGTTGTCGTATGCCAGATGATGATGATGATGATGATGATGATGAAAAGCTGCATTGACAGCAAAAGACGAGTCTGCTGTTGTTATTTGTTTCGATTGACTGCCTGCTGCAAGTGGAAAGTTAGCTTTGCTGCTCAATGGATTTCTATCCATCGTATGACTTATTTTCATGTTTCAGATGATGAAATTAAATCTTAAACGAACGTTGCAATCACCGATCTACAGGTGCAACTACACGAACATACCTTAGCGCAAAACAACGAGGTATGTTTTCCCAAATCAATCACTCTCAGACCCGCCTTCACCTTCTCCGCCATTCTTATATTTCTCTGTATTAGCGGCTTCTCCATTGACGCTGAAAAAATTCCCCATCAATATGTCCTTGTTCCTGTAAGCAGGCTGATGGAAATAGTCCCCGAGAACTCGCCGGATTAATGTGACGAGGTGGAATAAAAAGTTGATTGACAGAAGAACCACAGACACCGTTTTTTGTGTTAGATCATCTGCTGCATTGGAATCCGCAGAATAAAGCAAAGGACAAAGAAATCCAGACTGTCGAGGTGTGAAGAGAGAAAAAAGTGAAACATAAATCAGACGAGTTGCGACTGTTCAAGAATCCACTCTGGAAGGGATCCACATTAGGATAGATCGCCTTTCGACGAAACGAACGCACCAAGAGATCAAGTCCATGGAACTTGAGTCCACTCAGACGTATTGTATTTGTAATGATTGAAGTGGGCTTTGAGACAATGTACCTGGTCGGCCGGCGACGCTCCTTTTGTAGGACCCGCAGCTCATCTTGGTCTTGTCGTTCCTCTCTCCCACTATTGTTTGCAGGATTTGTAGGACTTCTTTTTGCAGTACCAGTAATCGGTGGAACTGCTCCTGAGTACAGGAGCGAGATTGTATCCTTGGCGGAACTTCAGGCGGACTCGCGACTATTGGAGGAGGTTCGAGCGTTTCTCAAGGAAAGCATCACTAGCTTTCAGAGGGCAAGCGACGATAAGGCCAAAGCCGAAGCGATAGAGGACGTCAAGAAAGATGTTGCAGCAGCCTCAGCTCACCCTTCTCTTGTAGATACTAATCGAAAAGGATCACGACCGATGGTGGATGCGGATAGTATTGGAAGTACTGAGTGGTCTGTGACTTCCACGAAGGACTTCTTTACCACTCACAGCTGCGTTGGACCAGGTAATTGCTTGGTGGAGAATTTGTGCCATGGCCGTGATGGACGCTTTGTCTATGTGAAATCGCCGGGCGCGATTTTCGATCGTCCAGAGCAAATTTACTACGACACGCGTTACAGCGGAGAGCGACATTATCGTACGACCAATGCAACTGATCCAAAAACGGGAGCGACTTCGCAGACATTCGAACTTACTGCACCCGCCGGGATGGGCGCCAATGGCTACAAACACTACCTGGCCAGCCGCATTTTTGAAGACCTACCTGGGGCGTCAATCACATCACGGTGGTACCATCCCATTCTTCATCCCAAGCTCCGCGATGTCAAAATTGTGAATGGCGCCGAAGAAAAACCACTGCCGTACCCATTTTGGAACGGCGAAAATAGAGAGAAGACTCTGCAACTTGCAAGCTCCAGTGCAGGCAAGGACGATAGAAAAACAACCGAGCAGACAACGAAAAGAGATGTTGATGAGAAGAAGCAGATTGTCAGCGTGCTTATGGGTCGTTTATGGCCAACGGATGCTGGACACTCCATGATGGACAATATGGGCCCGATCTATAGAGCATTGCGTCATTGGGGACTCCTTGACTTGCCGCACGAGGAGATTTCGGCTTTCACGAAGAATGTCGTTGGTGTTGACAGCATCGCTGGAGGAGGTCCACGTGCTAAGCTTGATGATGGTGGCAGTGCTAGTGAGCAAAGCTCCAAGGAGAACAAGTCGAATTTTGTAATCGACCTGAACGTCGAGGACGTAAACAGCAACACGAATTTTCTCCAGTCTAACGCGCTCGGATGCAGCGCGCGAGAAGTTGAGATTGTTCAACGGGCACTTGATTTGCCGAACGCACCACCGACTCTCGAGAAAGATAACTGCCCGATAGTTGAAGACAAAGCCGATCTTACGAAAATATCGTCGCACATGCGCGCCAAAATTTCAGACGATTTCGAATTTGTCCAGGTGCACGTGCCTGGAGCCCTCTTACCAGATACTCAAACACGAAGAAAGGAGACTACAGAGCTGATAGCTTCTACACCGCCAAGGAAATTTCGAAAGTTTGAAGGCGTGTTTCCAGCCCGCGGAACCATGCGTAAGCTTGCGGTCCATCTCGTCCTGTCACCGAGCTTTGACGCGTACAGCCTCCGAGGCCGTGATAGTCGCTACGCTGCATGTGGTGACGAGTGCGAGTCTCGACTTCTACAAGCTTTCACAGATGGCGACCGATCTCGAATCCTGAAACTTGAGAAGGATCTTCCGCGTGGTAAATGCTTCCGCAAAGTACTCCTCGGATGGAACAGTATGCAGTTTTTCAACGTTTTCGACTGGCTTACACGCAATGGCAATCCCGCGAAGCACGAGATATCGGTTGGTAACGCGGCAGAGTATCTGCTTGGGCTGCGCAACTACATTCTCGCAAAGCATGGATTGCGCGATAACCCTACATTCATGGCGATGCTGGAACGACAGAAGGTGTTTCGGGTGGGCGGACGACGAGTTGATCGGATTCGCCCGTCAGTGGCTTTGATCGTCAAGCGCGTGAGCGGCGGAGCTGGATACAACTGCTGCCATTGGGGCGACGCGGAGCGTGTACGGGATCACCTTCTGGCGGCGTTCGACAATCAGATCGACGTGCAAATCCTCAGTTGGCAGGGTATTTCCATTTACCGTCAGATCTGGATTATGGCCGAAACCGACATAAGCATCGCTTTTGCTGGTGCCGACGTCATGAATTTTCTTTTCTCGCCATTGCATACCGGGATGATATCGCCTTACCGTCTCCGGAATCACAAGTGGGAACGCAGCTACGAAATCGACCGTTTGTGGGTCAACCTTCCCAACCGCTACCTCGTTCAATTCGGGGTCAACGCTGTGCAGCGCATGGGACTGGCTGGCCATGGCGGAGTGGCTGCAGTCGCTAACAATAAGACTGGCGCTGGGGCAGCACAGACCGGAAGTACAGTCACAGGGAACACAGACAGCACGAGCAGCTCCTTCTTGCCCACAAGCAATCAGGCACTGGTCCTCGCACCCTGGAGGCAGGAGAAGCCACGCGGAATTGTGCGACAAAAGCTGGTCGCGAATCTGACGTGGAATACCGTAAACACGGACAAGGCAGATTGGCCTGCAGTAGTTTTTTCCGAACTTCTAATCAAGGAGATAGAACTCTATGTCGCTGAATGCCTAGAGTATATGATCCAGCGGGGAGTAACTTTCTACAGTTTTCCCAGCAACGTGCTCTAGTTACAACTGTGTGTCAGGAGCACACCTGCGTGACCTCCTTATCTCAAGCTGTGTTCGGAGGGGTGTACTTCTAGAAAGATTTACTGCAATCCTTCTACGTCGATGAGGGGTTGGAGGTAGTGCCTGTCGTCGCACTGCGACAAGCAAGATCTTCCAGATTGTTGAAACAAGACTGGTTAGTTACGGTAAATAGCAACAAGTTTTCTGGGGTCAGTGGGAGAATACGTACGCGGTCGGGCAACTAACGCACACAGCGCTGTGCTTAGCAAGAACAAGAAGTTTCCAAATTTGTTGCATTTTTGTTTTTGAAGCAAGGCAATGTGCACTCGCCTGTACTACGTTGTAGAGAACTTGTTGCATGATTTTGAATCTATATTAAGTTTTTCTAGTTTTGATTTTGTGTCGCGTCCGGTGAGAAAGAGAATGAAGAAGTGTCGAGTCGCGCTTTCTTTCGTGGTATGGACCCACTGGCTGGTCGAGGGGGCGTTTCAAGTGGATCAACGGCGGCGCCAAATGCCATGGTTGAATCGCGAAAGAAACAACACGTTCCTGGCAAATCGGCGAGGTCGACAGCCACAGCCTGCCCAACAGGGACCGAATGCTCCACAGACAATGCCATGGCTAAGCCCAGACTACAATGCAGCAGGCGGGAGTGCAGCAGTGCCGCAAACGCGCCTTGACCTCGTATCACAGGCCCAGCTGCAGCAGACGCAGCCGTGGTTGAATAATGAGAACTCGATCGCCTACGGAGCAGAACACCAACATCAACAGCAGCACCAATTCTCGAGATCTGCTGATGCAGGCACCGGAGGTGTCCACAGCGGTCATCATCATGGTCAATACGCTCCGATGCAGCTGCATCTTCCAAGTGATAATCCAAATGCTGGCGCTTCGTCTTCCTCATCCTCAGGACCACGCCTTCTTCGTGGTTGGGGACCCAATCCGGTGCAGCCACAAATTCTCACTCGCAGCGGATCGAACCTGCGGAACATCGACGAAACGGGGGCGCTTCAACATGACGACGATGATCTTGGCGCTCCTGTACCGCAGTCTCCACGGGGATCGCAGTACTCAAACTCGGGAGAAATGACATGCGCGATCTGTTTAGGGACTGTTGCAGAGAACCGGCAAGCGGCCTGGGCACAGCTGCCTGGGTGCCTACATAGCTTTCATCTCGACTGCGTCCGCAATATTGCAAAAGTGACTTATGACAGGCTTTTACTTAATGCGGTGATGCTAAAGTTAATTGATACCGATAGATACCTTCGACTACATGAGAGTACACTCTTTCGATTCTTCCTAAAGGCTTTCCGCATTACCCGTACGCGTACGTCACTCAAAGACTAGGACCGCTCCTTTTGCTAGCGAACATGAACAACAATACAATCTAAGCAACAACCGATGGTCAGATTGAGGGCTTCAATACCACTACTGGCCAGATTCCAGGGGAGCCAGTACGGCCTTGCCCATTGTGCCGTAACGCGATGACAGCGGAAGACTGTCTAGATATTGCCGACTGGGTACGAGCTGAAAAAGACCGTCAAAATAGGCTACAAGTTAACGGGCGCAACCTCTTGGGAACCAGCGGGGAAAGCCTCCGGCAACTGGCATCATCAACTTATGATATGTGCTTAGTGGGAGTGGGTCAAGTCCTGGGATGCTAGTACCGTTGTTAGTATATTTTCACACAAGCTGTGGCAGTTGCACTCTCCTAGTCATATGTTGGTCGCGTGTGACTTCCGTCTAACTATAATCTGATTTCGTTCTCGAGCGATTCACATTCAGCTATGGAGTATGTATCATGACCTGCACATCACTTTGGCTAGTCTAATTTTCGGGGTCGCTGGGTCGTCTAGCGTCTTCCACGGGTTCCTTGCGAGACCTGGGGTCATCAGGCGACAATCTGAATGAATTGGATGTGTACCAGCGGGCCGCAGATGCCCCTGCGGATGAGCGGCGCTCGTCGACTACAGTATCTGCAAGACGAGCGGCGGCAGCAGCACGGCGACAGGAATTGAACACGCCAAAGATGCATTACAAACGACCGACACTTCTCTCCCGTGCTGGCGTGATTCGGACCGCTCGACGTGCTTGGGTAGGTTATGCCGCGCCACCTCGCCGGCCTCGGGCCAGTAGTACAGATAACGAAATTCGTCTTTCTGCGCGCTTTGGTGTTTCAACTGGCGCAAATGCGAATGAGGGGCGGGGTGGAGGAGGTCGCCGCCAGGGTCAGCGTGACAGACCACTTCTGCCCGTTAGCGACGACCCCTACGATTCCAGACCCGCAGAGGAAGACGTTCTGGATCTGGACATCGAGAATCCAACTTGTTGCGAGTATGCCACGTTCCATATCATACGTCTAATCATAAAAACGATCAAGAATCCACAACTCATCGTGCTTGCACTTCTCGTGTGGGGTGTCATGAGCCAGCTTGGGGCTAACCCGCACTACCGGGAGCGCGACTGCTTGACACATCTCGTAGATGGTCTTGTGGAAGCGGGAGCGGCGCAAGAATTGAACCCACACGCCGCCACCTACGCCTCAATCATGCCCAACTGGAGAACCTTTCCAACAGCGATGACAGCCGCAAGAGAAGCTATCGCCGACAGCTCCACCACTCCGTCTCCGTACAGAAACGTACCTCCTCTAGCTTGGCTAGATTTTCATCGACGTTGAATTTTGATTTAATCAATGGGTTGTAAGCTAAGCCTTCCCTTACAAGGCCTATCAGATCATTTCTTGCAGTGTCACCCGACGCTGAGGTACCTATGAAGCCCATGCAACTAGACTCAACTCGGTAAAGGACAACTCGGAAGCGAGGCATATGAAATTTTTCTCTTGTTGAGTATGTAATGAGGCCTATGAAACTTTTCTCTTGGTGAGTATGTAATATCAACATCCTTTTCTTGTGTCCATTTCCTTTCTTCATGTTCTCCATTACACAGGTGTGGCCACCACAGCCGCCTTCATCGCCGTTGGGTGTGACAAAATGGGGTGGAGTTAGTCTAGAAGACGCGGACTTCGAAGACGCCGAGCATCTCGAAGATGCTTACGCATCTTGGATTATAGAAAAGATGCATGTGGTCATCTACCACGCTAATCACGGGCATAGCAAAACCGAGTTTCCCCAAATGGCAAATGATCTGACAAGAATTGAGGACTTACCGGAGAACAAAGTGTGGCAGGAGCTTGTGGGAAAGAAAATGCCATACGTATCGCAGGGCAATTCTAAGGTTCAGCTTCATCTTCCATGTTTCATTGGGAAAGCCAGCAAAGGCTGTCTTATTTCTTTTTAGAATTCGTTATCGTTGAGGTTGAGGAAATGGTAATGGAAATCCGAAAATGAGAATTAAAGGCGAGTCCGAGTGTTACGAATGAACAATTATGTAGTTATCGCGTTTCATGACGTGGTGCAGCTGATGCTGTCTTCTAATACTCTGTTTCTTTTTATAGAGCAACTGCGCGTGGAGCTGGAGAAAGCAGATGGCGATGAAGCGCGGAAGGCAGTGCTGCAAAAATCGCCTCTCTACAAGAGGCAAGATGACGAGGGGAGCATAGTCGACGCTGTCGGAACAAGAGATAGCAGGATCGAAAAAATTACCGGGGAGATTGAAGATATGACATTGCAAACATCATCAGCGAGTGCATCAGTTGCTGACCGGGAAACATTGATGCTTGCGCAAATTCCTTCGGAGGGGGTCAATTACAACGAAATGTTTGGAAACGAAGTATCGACAACCGAAAATAGTCAACACGAAGCCAGCGGTAGAGTTAGTAGTATTTATTCTCCCTCCTCGTCATGGTCATCCTCATCTGCTTCGCCATCTTTTGGTAGTCGTGAACATCCACCTGGTACCCCTATCGGCGAGGGGGTGGAACAATTTTACCGTCGTCGACGTCTCAAGGCTGACGTTGCTACTAGTGACAGCGGAACTTCTAGTAGGTGGCTAAACGAAAAACCTGGATTTTTAGCGAAGTCTTCTAGGACCGAAACAGCGACAGGGCAAAAACAAAAGCAGCAACCCGCACAGAAGGAAGTGCTAGCACATGTTGACGAGTCGACGGACCTCGTCGATGAGGCACTGCAAGTCAATGGAAGAAGACATGATGTTTTCGAAGGACTTTATGCTATGATATGGAAGCTGCCCCGGTTGCGACGTGAAGCCATGCGGCGATGCCCGGCGCCTGGGTCGGTCCCAACTAGCACAGGACGCGAAACCGAGATTATCGCTGACTCACGAAATTGGGGCCTCAACGCGAGGAACGTGGAGCATTATGCCCACAAAGTCCTCGCTGGGTGGGAATCCTCGAATGCGAAAAGCGCTTACGATGCATTGCCATTCCTGTTGCGGAAGGCAAGGGGATCCGACTGAGTTCATCTTCTTGTTCTTTTCACTAAGCACGAAAAAGTATAATGCGTAGCTCGGCGAGAAAAGAAGGCGAGTATGCGGGAATTCTTGAACTTCCAATCCGCCTTGCTTACAATTAAGTACTTTCTTAGACTTTGACTTACTCTTACATCAATTTCGAGAAGACAGTCCTGTAATCTGTAAAATGTAAAAGCAAACAAGAAAGTATCCGTACCAGCTCCACATTTTTTGAGAACAAAGTCCCATCATGTTATAAATGCAAAGAGTGATTCTGTCGTTTGTAAAGCTGAGAGTTAGGTACCAGTTCCATCTGCAACTCCAGATCAACCTTACCGTTTTTACCTTCACCAATGCGTTCTTATAGTTATTATATTATACTAGAGGTCCTCCTTGTTCATCTTCTCCTTCAACATCTCCACCTTGCAGTTTGCTGGCAATTTATGAGCTCTACTCTTGTCATCCTCCTTAGAATAACAAGATCAAGCTCGGCTATCCGAATTTTGTCAAAAGATGTGAGCACCAGCACAGGCTATTTCGTATTATGATTGAATCTACGAGATGACGAGGACGACGTTCGTCTTCGCGTTTGGGTTTGGGCGAAAACTCGACACGAATTACTTACATTTGACGACCGCCTCTGCCATGGGCATGGTAGAGATGCCCAAAACAAGAGAAGACGTGGATCTCATTATGGCGGTTACGAGTTGTACACGCTAAGTACAGCAATCGGTATCGGTGGCTGCAGACGGAGGCCGACATGTCTTGAACCCATTAATCTGTGGGAGGCGACGGCTTGTCACCTCTGTTGTCGGAGGTATTAACTGCCTCTTTGTGAGACTCAGTCCGCCGGAATCTGACACAACAACGACATCAGGATTTGAAACTGTGAGTAGCAGGAACGTAATGAAAACAGAGAAGCGAGGTGGTAGCAGAGGCTGAGATGAGGATGCGGTCGGTCGAGAAGTGGTCGGTTGTGTCTGAGTTGTGAGGAGAAGTTGCATGAGATGAACATTTTTAAGATAACAGCTTTGGGAAACAATTATCGTAAAATTTCATCGTCCTTGTCCTACAGAACCCCTAGCTCTACATCTACCTGTACAACAGGTTTTGCCATAGTTCTGGATCATGAAGGTACAACTACCAGTCTGCGACTCCTTCGAAACAACGCTGTTATGCTTTGAAGATTGGAAAGAGCAACAGTGCGCAAGAGGAACCGTACATACACGTAGCAACTAAAAGCAAAAATGTCGAGTCTCACCGACGCGGTGGTCGGCCCCGATGAAGGGGATGCCGGTACAGCTACAGCGATATCTTCTTCACCGCAAGGTGCTGGAGCTAAGAAGCACTTGGATGCCTGGGAGCAACGAAAGCTGACCAAGGTTCACGAGGAGCTTGTTTCCTTGAGGCAAGCGACAAACTTCTTACACCCGCTTCCATGGCGCAGTGAGCACAGGCCTGCAGGTGTTGTAGACGTGGACTTGACCCTTCTTGGGCAAGATCTGAAACATGGAGACATCGAGACTTCTGCCGAATTTTGGGAGGATTTGCACCTTCTGGTTCATAATGTGCAAATATTCGCTGAGTTCGAGTTAAAAGCACGAAGTATCCTGACGCAAAAGGAAGCAGAAGCTGCAGAGCGAATCAATACAGTGGCGGCTGGAGGTGGAGAAAAATGTAGTTTCTTTAGAACAGTATTTCTCCTGAACGTCAACGTCATGTCCACTCTATTATGTACTGGTACCGTTTTCTGTACTTAAAGGCAGCTCCGCTCCAAAAACTCCTTCTTGTCATTTTCGTCGGCTGATTATCCAATCAATGGATTATCTCTTGTCATTCTGCCTTTTGCAATTGCCAATGCACGATGCATGATGATCCAGCGCCAGCTACACTAGCCTGATCGTTCTTTTCCACCTGCAGAGCATTCCGGGTCTCTTCTTTCTGTGCTTCCTCGAGACCGCATCCCGAAAGATATTGCGGATTTGCTGATTGCAGCGGCTGACTTTCTGGAGATCGTGAAGACGTTTGAGGAGGCGTATCAACATGAGTTGGAAACGCACCGCCGCTTAGCGACAGATATCCACGGGATTGACTACGTCGTCGATGCCGCTGCTGATGCGGTTGCGCACGCGCTGCATACGGGCTATCATAGCCCACCAACCCAGACCGTGACCGACCAGATTGCAGAGCAGATCGGTTTTGTGTTGCCGACCCTTGACGAATTTGGCTCGTTGCTGTATACCTTTGGAGGAACGCTGACGGATTCCAGTGAACAAACGGGAAAAGAAAGGAAAAATGAAGAGTCGTCATCACCAACAGGCCGAAAAAACAAAAGTGGAAGTGCTGAGTCAACCAAGGCTAGTCGCTCTGTCGACAAGATTGGGCACAGACCGCAACAGCGACCGCGGGAGTTCCTCAGGGTGCCTAGCGCCTTCGCAGCCTTGCATGATCAGTTTCTATCGCGCGGGCTGAAGCCACAGCTACTAGCAGATGTGCAGTTATATATAAAGCACGAAATGAGAGATCACTGGTTAGACGAAGATCAGGCCTTCCGAGAAGCTGTCCCATCCGAGGATAAATCTACAGGATTCGTTCACGATTGGAACGAGTTACAGTCAGGCTTGAAAAATAATATTATAATATAAGTATTCATCAAATTCCAATGCTGCTGCAGTCTAGGGATCAACCAATTGGAGATAGTGAAAGTAATCCTCGCAATTTCGGAAAATAGAGTCGTGAACACCAAAAAATATGAGTCACTAGATTGCTTATGCTTCATTCAAACCCGATGAAGAATCGGTCAATATTTCTGCATGTGCATTCTGTAGCATCTATTAAATGAGATGAAATTCCATCTCATGCTGCTCATCTCTTGCTCTGCCCAGCCTCTTCCTTTCGGCACACCGCGTGTAATGTCGCGCTTTCTATCCACAGTTGTGTCTGATTCTGACTGATCTCGTCTCAGCGCCTCGTTTCCGTTTGCGCCGTATACTTACTAGAAAAATACCAGGCTCAGCTGCAAAAAGATGTTGAGCGACTGTCTCATGCTCTCGTGGTTGACGAAGGCTCCTAGTTCATGAGAGTGCCTTTTCTCTGTTTTTTATGCAATCTTGCTGGATGACAACTGTTGACACAAACGCAGTATCTGAAATCGGCTCGGTTTCCCTCTCGGTCGGAGAAGTTTTTCTTCATTTCGTTTCATCTGGCATTACTGTTCCTTCCGCCTGTCTGTTGCTTGCGATTCGCACAGCGCCCCAAGTAGTGAGTGAGGCGATCGGCAAATCGCTGGATATTGTGGCGTAATGATTCCCTCAACCTACCAGAGTCTTGATCATTTAGAACCGGCGGGCTCGTAGCGAGTAAAGTGATAGAGGAGCACTAAGCTCCGCCTGCCGCCGGTTTGCGAACTAATTATAGATCAGGAGACTCTCTCAATCTGCCCGGCATTACAAAAAGAAGAAACTTTTTCTGAAATCTCCTAATCCGAATTTCGCTCTCAATGATCTGAAAGAATATGGCTCAGTTGTTGTTGTACCTTGTACCTCAAACCTTCACTTAATATTTTCATGGAGAGGTTCAGAAAAGCGTTGACTCGTCGCCGTTTTGTCCTCACGGGTAAAGGTGCATATTGCGAGCATACAATCCTTTACACCGATCTCTTCATGCACATGCTCATCTCAATCAATTTTTAGAGCAGCTTCCTTCGTTCTAGCACTGGCTTCATCATATGTGATTTCACAGGCCAAGCTGTTATAGATTCTACTAGAGTGAAAATTGGCGCCGCCTGTCAAAATATCATTCACCAAACAGCAGGAGCAGGTTGCCCGATTAGTTGTGAGTGTTTGGTTACCTCGAACGCGAGCATGAGCTCCTCCGAAAATACTCTCTTCTATTTTTGAATAATTAGAAGAGAAAAGGCGTAGTCAAACAAAAGATAATACTCTTTTCCCTATCCGTATTGGTATTCGTATCCCCGCTAACTAGGCACTCTATCCGAGTCGCAACCCTTTCCACCTACCTTTGAAATGTGAGTCAGTTAGTTTTGTTTGCTTTTCGATAATCCTCCTGCAAGGCTCTTCGTTTTGACCTTAATACGCTTATTTCTTATCCTCGTTCTCGTTGTATTCGTATTCGTTTTTCTCAGTGAACAAATGATAGTTAAAGTTAACCGTACTTTTCTAATGCGTAGAGTAGAGGAAGGCAGAAAAATGGTAGCGCCGTACTAGACGTCATCAACTCACACAACATTGCGACGCACCTAGCAGCCAATCGTTCTAGCTTCTATTTTTCCCGAGCGCCTTTGAGAGCCAGCTGCAGTCGCTGATGTGGAAGAAGAGCAGGGAAAACGTGTTCGGTCGGAGATAGCAGGTGCTGATGTGGATACTCAGAGGCCGGCCTGACGTATGTCTTGACCCGACGTTTCTGCCTCTGTCCTTGCTGCCACTTTCCGCCAACGCAAGTTTACCTCATAAGCTAAACAAGCGAATATCGTCGTCGCGCGTTGCGCGCGGACGTAAGCATGACGAGCGTTTCTTCTCGAAGTTTGCAGACAGTTTCTCGAAGAGAAAGATTAACACCTGAAAGAGAAAGATACGAAGTTCTGCGATCAATGCGCACGTCGGGTGCTCCAGCTGAATCAAGTATCCAAATTAACCGCGGAGCCGATAAGCTTCTCAAGAACCTGAGGCTCGTCGCTTTCGGGGATCGTTTAAAATGCCTCCTTCACGTTGCCTGGGACGTCGATGGAAGCTATCGACCGATGAGTATTGGTTTTTCACGAATCCCTTGACGCTCTCTAATGCCGGCGCCACAGTACTCTACATGTTTCTCCTGCCATGCAGTGCCCGACGACTTGCCTTACTCGCGTGCGCTACGTTGAGCGTGCTCTTTTTTGTTCTCTTCGACCCCTTACTATTTTTCTGGAGCAAATGCGGGCACATCAATGACGTCGAAGGCAAGCGGCGGGGCCTAAACCATGCGCTTGGTGTCCGCTACGTTCTTCTCTGCGTGTACTGTTGTCTCTTTCTGTATGGAGTTCTTTTTGACGGCGGTTTCACCCAATGGCGCACTTACACTTCCAGCAAAAGCCGAGGGTTGCTCGGCTGGAGTGTAGCGCCTTTCGCAGCGTATCGATTACAACGTGATGAGATGCGCGACTTTGGTCTTCTTTCATCCGAACACAATCAAGCTCGAGGAAATGTGGAAACTGTGACTTTCTCATCCACGTCCTCTTCAAGTGCACCAGAGCAAGCTCGTGTTGAAATCGCAGCGAACCAACAAGAAGGAAATGCTGAGCGGCAACGACTCCATCAGTACTTTCCAGATGAGGTGGTGCGTACGAATTTACGAAACTTTTTTGAGCCTTTGGAAGCAGAGAACAAGTATTTTGGCGGGAATGTGTTTATTTTAGCCGATGAGCATCCAGCGGCTCTTGGCGTTCTCCGCTACCTTGGGTATTTCGGTTTCTACTTTTGGTCATGGTTTGGTCTCGAAGTACGCTATACTAGGCTACAAAGCGAAGCAAGGTCAACGTCACCTGCTGGAGCTGCGGCAAAGGGGTCGCTGGATGCCTCTGGCGAGCAGAAGAATCCGCGTCCCAGCGAAGCCGCGAGTACGATTCCTTCTCAAGTCGATGTCATATGCGATGAATCTGATCCCTCAACAAACCCTCTCCAGCGCACTTCGTCAATCAATTCCAGTTCTGGAAAGCCTCGCTTCGCACGGCTGAATGTTCGTTGCCGTCGTCAAACCTGGCCTGATACTGACCTGCGCAATTTAGATTTCCTAGCCGCGGGAGAAGTACTTGAAGATGATGATCGTGCGCCAGGTGCTGCTGGTGCTTTGTTTCCTGCTTCATCATCACCAAATACAAACGGACGACGACGTAGAAGACGGCGAGTAACAGAGATCCAGATGCTTCCGCGAGTGCACGTGCGTAAGATAGAAGAAGCGATCGTTCCCTTGGAAATACAAGAGTTTTGTAGTAAGAGGAGCTGCCATATCACGCCTGCACTTCTAAAGAGAGACGCGAAAGAACGGTGGGACGACATCGAGATCTTGCGAGAGCACTATCTTCTCAACGAGATGGTTGCGATGAAAAATACAGCGTCTGCTTTCAGAAACAGCAGAACCGGATTTCCCGTTGGCACTACAACAAGTGAGGGCCAGAGTTCATCTTCTAGCACTTCTCACGAAGGGAACGATCGGCAAGAGGAAGAGCAACCACCAGCAACGGGATCACAAGAACAATCCTCGGAATCTGGCAACGACGTTTTCCAACTCTTGAGTATGAGCCTTCCGAGTCACTTGTTTGACAATGGGATCGATGATGTAGAGCGTGTCTTGGAAGAGCTGTCACAGTACAACATCGGAGGCCTCGAAATGTACGCTCATGCCGACGGATGGGTGCCCATTGTGTTTTATCTCTTGCTTCTCGCCCACACGATCGCCTCATTGTTGGTGGCGTTCGTTGCGTTCTTCTTCTTCTCCGACCGCATTGTGTATCGCGACCCGCAACAAGAGGAGGGCTTTCGCAAGAAACTGCTAGACACAATCCTGCTGTATGAAGAAAACGAACCGGTAGATCGGAGACGGTTTCTGCGCTTGAACAGCAGCTGGGTTCGGATGTTGAGTTACATGCTAAAAAAGCGAGGGGGCATCTCGGCGAAAACAGTGCATCTGATGCTGCGAAATATTCTTGGTTGGAACGGTAGTCACAATTTGACAGCTGGCGACGTGTGGTTCGGCTTTAAGCTCGTCGCAGGCGAGAGTTTTGGTGGCCTGATTCCGATCTGCTACCGTAGTCCCGGTGAGCCTTTAGATGTAGATCGGGATCTTGATGATCTGGATTTCTTACATAAGTACATCCAGTACGCCTGGATAGCGTATGGCATTGAGAAGTTTGAGGTTGTGGACCCCGCAGAGAAAGCTCGGCGAAAGAAGGCTTTGAGGCAAGTCAAACACCAGACGACCACGAGTGCGATACGAAAGCGCCTTCGCACATGTCTTGGGGGTGAAGCAGAAAACGAAGAACTGCCTGCCTCGCAAAGCAATGATCGCAAAAACACCAATCTTAATCATGGCCCCATCAACCGTGGTGAAGATGCGACTGCAAAGCGTATTGAGGGACAAGGAAGGACTGCCAGCAACATACACGAACATGAAAGAGCACCAGACCTCGAGGACCATGCTTCGTCTGGACTACTTCCAAAGCGTCACAAGGGCAGGAGCTGTTTTTCCGTATTCACTTCAGCTAAGAAGAGGTGGGCCCAACGAATGAACAATAGACGGAAGCAGATTCGTCAGAGGCGTGGCCAGCAAGATTTTTCTGAGATTCGTGTAGACGGGTTTTCTACTGGTGGAAACACTAAGAAATCGAATGTATGCTTTCCTTTTGGGTTTCCATCTATGTGGGCTCACATTCTACAGCAAGAAGACGGGGACGACAACGTTCTCAGGGGTCATCCGCCAGATGACGCCGAAGATGCGGATGAAGAAGAGAGAGTAGGGCTGTTGTTCGATGAACAAGAAATCCACACAGCTTCAGGCTTCAGGCGCCACGCCGACAAAGGATATGAAGAGGACAAAGATGAAATACCACCACCAGATCATGATGTTAACTACGCCGTGCAAACCCAAAGAACTGGTGATGCAGGTATAGAGCTTTGCAACATGCAGGCAGAAGCCGACTGGAGTGATAGTCTAACGAACATGCGAAACCACGGCGCGCTCTTGAACATGAGCACCATACGGACAGATCACAACTCACGCCAAGCGAAGCAGCGAAACGTAAAAGGCAAAGCGCATGAAGAAGACGACGTCGACTCTAGTTCATCTGCAGACTCGGAATCGAGGGCTTCGTCTCACCGTGGAATGGTCATTGGGGGCGAGTTTCTCCCAGAAAAAGGGCCTTCTCCGAAAATGCGATGCAACAGCCGCGCATCTCGATCGTCTTCCAGATCGACTGCTTACAGTCAGAGTCGTGACGATTTGCTGGACCTGGATGACCTGAAAGCACCGGACGACTTCGAAGCCGTACGAAAAGCAAAATCTTCAGCATCCCCTTTTCAAAAGCATGAAGGGAATCGTACTGCCCGTGCTCAATGTTCTACTCGTCCACACGATTTGGAGCTCCTGGGTTCTGATAGAGATGGTTCCGTCTTAGATGAGGAGCACTACGAGAATAGCAGTAACTTGAGGAGATGCAGAAATGCTCTAAAAATGAGGAGGGAAAAGCGCACGCTCGGAAAATCCCAAGACCACAGCACAGTAAATCGCGGCGCAGGTGTCCGTGGCTACGTTGGAAAAGAGCCTACTCTTGAGCAAAGTCGAGACACGAACATGAGGATACAGCGTCAGCCGCACCGAAGAGAAGCCAGTAGAGAAGCTTTTCCGCACGATGACCAAGATTCGAGAAACCACAAAAAGCCGCGTTCTGGATGCATGGGGAACCGAAAAACAAAGACCGCATCGTTGGTACAGTTGGCTGAGCAGGACCATCTGCTCTCCCGGGCGATAGTCGGCTATAAGCGACTTCTCAAGATCCGCGAGAAGCGCATGATGGCCAAAAGGCGCATCCCGTTCGCGATGTATGAAGTGGAGGGCGAAAATGAAGTGAATAACGGTAAGAAAAAGCCACCGACAGTGCCAACTATGCTAACGTACCTACTTGGAAAGCCTAACCGGGGAGCTGCTGACCAAGTGAAGAGAACTTCTCAGAAAGAAATTGCGACAGCACGCGCTGATCTTTGTCGAGGTCGTTCTGGGAAAAGTGACAAAAAGTTGAGAACAACGCCGCCTCTTTCAAATGCAGCATCAAAGCTGGCTGCTATGGAGCCTCTTCAGAGGAACCTGTTCCAGAGCCGGAAATCAGCGAGCAATATTGCGAATCACTCGTCAATATCGGCCGAGCATAAGCGTGACTGCACATCGAGGACGAACGACGGTTTACTATGTCTAGGAAGCCTTCCGGAGTTAACGCCAGTTGTCCCTAAGGGAAGCAGCCATCCGTACTTACTAGGGCGTAAAACCTCACGAGATTTGTGCAAAGGAGAGGACAAACGCGGCAGCAATTCCACTAATCGATTCGGTAGAGAACGCTCCAGAGCATTCCCATCCCCGGCCGAGGAGCTCGCGCAGACGGTGGCGGACTCGGCACCAGTATCAAAATCGAAAAGGACTTCTTCTAATAAACAAAATTCTAATATTACGACGACAACGCCTCCGCCTGCTGCTCGGGGAGTCTCCTCAGGCCGGGCTGAAATGAGTCTTAGGCACAGGCGGACAAGTAGGTTGAAAAATGAGAAAGACCCCCCTGGTGCAGTTGCTAGCTCACAACAACTAGAGTCCGGACTTGTCCGATCAAGCACACCGCGAGTCTCTTCGTCACGAATTTCAACGCCGTCTGTGGAGCGCGCGCGCTCTTCTTGTGTTACTGATTTGGGTCAGCTCGGATTGCGAACGTTGGGTGCACGGTTCCACTTCAAAAGCGCACTACTGGAGCTGGAGCGACAGCGCGTCGTGCCTCTTGCGCTCTGTCGCTGGAAGGCTGCTGTGAGAACGGTGATCTGGCGCCAGCAAAAGTACGCAGCGCGATCCAATAAAGTGACAGGAACAAGTCTCGGATCAACGTCAACCGAAAACAAATCGATCGGATCAACTTCCACAGGGCGTCAAACGACATTGCTGACTGTCAACAGTACAACAACAAACACCTGCAGCACCGAAACGGCCGAGTTTGTCACGCCTTTATTGTGTAGAGCGGGAACGACGCAGACGAGTAGTGTGGCAACAGCGTCAACGACGACGTGCATGTCGATGAGAACGCCAAGCGCCCTTATCGACACCACTCGCACGATACTAGCAGAGACGGCGTCGTCAGGATTCTTGGCACTCGTTGCCGAAGGGCCTGAATCTGAAAATAACGCTGATTCTAACTACCCTCCTTCGGGGCAAGATACTGCTCACGATTCAAGGGCCTCCACACCTGGTGTGGGAGGCCGTTGTGGACCGCGTACTATCTCAACAACACACTCTCCGCGAACGCCAGGCGAGTTGACTCATTCGAACAAGTTCTCAACGCCTATGTCTGGATCATACGATACGCCTCTGGCGGTGCCCGAGCCTGACGGATTTGCTGGTGTGCCTGCAGAAGATGCTTCGGAGGAAAACCCGACGACGGGCATTTCTACTTCTGCTGGATCTCGCGCAATGTCGTTGAAACAAGTTGGTAACAGTGAACGCGTGAACTGCCGCGATAGCCACCTTCACTCTGTCGTAAGCGAGGCAATGGCTATGGCGAAAAAGCAGAATATTGGCAGCGGTAAAACTAGGGGGAAACAACAAGAAGGTAATGGTGGAAAAATAGAGGCTTACGCAGATGACACAGGTGCACGTCCAGAACAGGAGGTGCGTGGTTTAGATTTAGGAAAAGCGCCTGGAGGAAAAGCAAAAGACGATGGTCCTCGCGTCCAAGGTTGCAGCGCAGATGAAGTGGACGGTTGTGCCGACGGTCCGGAAACAATCGAACTTCTCCACGCAACCGCGCACTCGATTGGAGGAGAACATTGCGTCAGCTACGTGGCGCTGGATCATTTCAATAGTGCACTTGTAGTTGCTTTTCGTGGTACAGCAAGCACACAGGACGCAGCGACCGTGATGTCGTATCATCCGCTTAAGCTTACTCCGGAATCGAGGGACGACGAAACCGTAAACGGATCGTTTCTTGAGTGTGCTCAGTTCGCATTGAAAGAGGTTTCTTATATTATCGAGGAGATGATGGCCGGCGGTTGCTTCGGAAGACCCCCGGACTTGATGATCCCGTCTCCGGTTAAAGAAATCGATGCTATTGATGAGGAGCCTATCCCTAAACATCTTGTACCCGTGGAGATCCACGACGACGCGATTACAACATCAAAGCTCGATTCTGCAGCAACGTCGTCCAAAAAACGCGTTTCTCAAGAACAGCAGCTATTTGCCGAGGTGCATGAGCACGATTCGGTCAAAAGTGGGGAGGATAATTATGCAGGAGCTCAAAAAGGGACAGGGAGAGGAAATCAAGTGCAAGACGAACAAAGCGAGGAGATTAGCAGGCAACTTTCCGAGGCTCGTAGAGGTGAGCATGAGGCATTCACAAGCAAAAGAACCAAATCTGCAACACAAAGGCTTCCGTGTTTTAGTATTGAGAACTACCCACAACAAAAGCAGAATGCTCCAGCATCTGCGACTGGTCCTGCGGACCTCAATTCAAGAAGCAAACGCAAATTCTTACCACGGAACACCAGTGCAACTGCATCTCAACGACCTGCTGCGGAGCCGCCATTATCTTCAACTCGTGAACAAATATTCGCTCGTCATCCTGGTCGTCACGATAGCAGGGACCGAGGCCGACAACGTCACCTGAGAACGACGAGTAGAGCGAAATCCAAGGGAACTCGTGATCACACTTGGGTGGCCACTCGGGGATCTCGACAAGCTAGCACTTGCAGGTCCGCCTCTACGTCGCGACCACGACGGCGCAGTGTCGAGGAGCACCAGGATATGCAGCTCGCGCTAACGCAAAGAATCACTGCTAGTACTAGGCGTGCATTGGCCCGGAGTCGTTCGGTATCAGCACGACCGAGAAGCGGAAACGAGGTGGCCCCGATGTCGAGCAGTGCGAACTTCGGCCGCGAGCCAAGTGAGACTGTTGCAGAACAAGAAGATGACTATGGGTATTTTGGCGGTAGCGCTGAGTCGGTTGGTCCTAACTTCCCTCAGCCGCTAAGCTCTGTGTCCTGGTACTCTCACCCGTCATCCGTTGGTGACCGAGAGTTCGGCGCTTCTACCAGTACCAGTGCTATTGCGATGGATAGAAACACGAGTAAAAGATCTGCAACTGCAGATCCTAGTACCACCAGCAGAAATATCACTAGGAGAAATAATCAACCATCTGACAGGACCAGACCTGGCGAGGCTTTCTTTGATACGACTGCGGACCCGGACACCCTTAGAACTATGACCTTTGGCAGGGAGAGAGAAAAAACACAAGCATCGCGGGAAAATTTAGCCATTCCGAGAAGATCAGACAGATCGGGGGCGCCATCAAGTGGTCGTAGTGCTGCTGTCCCACATTCAGGTTCTGTGCATTCCGCACAATACCTTCCACGAGCTGAGAGCAATGCAACATCTGGCGCAATGATAATGAAGCAGCGCCGCGCTGGCTCAGCCCGAGGTGGTTGTGGAACCTCGCATCAAATCGTTCCAATCCAATCCATCATGGATTCGATGTGCTTCAGGACGAATAATATCGTTTCCAGCGATGTTCATGCTCGTTCTCGTAGAGTGCGTGGGGCAGGTTCCGATTCGAGGGCCACTGCGGGATTTGGGCAGCCTTCAGGCAGCCGCGCACCATCTGATTCTGTCAATACGGGAGGAAATCGCGGCAACAATTCTTCAACAAGACTTCGCGCGTGGCACGGCTCCCCTGTTCCTGCTCAGCCCAATCAAGAGACGCCAGCTGCAGCTGCACGTTTACAATTTTTACGCAGCCGGCAGAAGCAGGAAACCAATTACCTGGGTGCACCGCCACGAAAAGGGGACTCCTCATTAGCGCCGCGCAAGAATGCGGATAACTCTGCTGAACCTGAAAGCGGGTACGGAGGTGGACTGCATGAAGGTTCAAGACAAGATGAAGTATCTTCCACATCCAACTCAACCCCAGCTATAACTGACCAACGAGGCCTTCAAGCGGCTGTGTGCTCCAGCGCATTGTCAGCAAGTCCGACTTTTGAAGACAGAGGAAACTCCTATGCACTGTCGCAACCAATCCTAAAGGGCTCGGTAGGGGCTCCACGTGATGATAACGCGGAGATCTACAACACCGGGAAGCGAGAAGAACAAGAAGCTCCATCATCTCCCAATTTTACAGCAATGAAGAAATACAGTATCGTAGTGACAGGGCATTCGCTAGGTGGTGGTGTAGCGTGCGTCTTTGGTTTACTGTTGCGGCGCCTCTACCCGTGGTTGGTGGAGAGCAAGTTACTGCGGTGCTTGCTGATCGCGCCGCCGGCCATCGCTTGTAGCGCACGCTTAGCAGAAGAGACAGAAGAGTTTATGCTCACCGTGGTGAATGGATGTGACGTGATACCGCGGGCCACGATCGAAGGTGGGGTGGCGTATCGCAACTATTACTTGACCGTGCTGGCGAAAGCCCAACTGTCCAAACACGAAATCCAGAAAATCACAGAGGAAGGACCGACCACACCAAGACTCAAAGCCGCTCTGCAGCAGCTCCTGGAGCTGTGCAACACCGTAAGGTGGAACAAGACATCGCCTTACAACATTTATCAGGCGGATCGCGTTGAAAAAATGGCCCTGCTCGAGGGCGAAAACGCTATCGGCATCAAGGCCCACGATCACGGTAGCAAAGCGCATATCCGTGAAAGACTACGAAGCAAGTCCTCCGCGCAAAGTAAGCACAGTAAGAATTGTCTTGGACACTCGTCCCGAAGCGTTTCGCGAAACAAAGCCAACGATGACCGACGGGCTGGAAGCTGTTCAATAGCAAGTAAGAGTCGAAGCTTTAGCAGTGCTCACAACAGAATTACGGTATGGAAGTCTGACGTAGAACGAAAATTGACACGGAAACTGCGCAAGCACATTCGAAAAGGAGTGACCCGATTTCGCGCGCTAGACCGTATCGTATTCAATACAAACGAACGATCCTTCTACAAGATTCAGCCTGGTGTAGTTGGGACGGTCTTGCGAAAAGGAAGAGCAGGTGCTTTGCTTATTTTTTCCGAAATGCCCACAGTTCACAATCAAGTATACGTAACTCTCGCAGACCTTCTGAGATATTTCGAAATATTGCCCGCATCCGGTTCCGGCGAATCATGTACAACTGCAGGAGATCATGCTCAGCTATCAACTTGTACAACAAAGAACGCTGCGCATAGTGTTACTGTCACTGATGTTCTGGTGCCTTCCCCTGGGACTCAGGTGAATCCGTTGATGCCTCCGCCACCGAGACCACGAGCTGTGCGAAACATTCCAGCCGAGACGCCAGGGGAGGATGTGCCACTCCTTGTCTCTACGAAAGCAAACGAATCTGAGTCGTTGGTTATGTCCTCCTCTGGGCAGTATGTGCGACCAAGTAACCAATCCTCATCCAGATCCACATCTTCATCTACCGCATCAATCTCTTCGACGCTGCTTACATCCCAAAATGATGATTCAAGTTCGTCATCCCAATCGAGTTCATCGTCTTCAGACACTTATCTGTCTTCGTCTGAGGTTGACAGTGATCATACGGCTTTGTCGCGCTCCTCTTCCGCACCCGATTGCGGGACAATTAAAAGCGAGACAGACAACGTGGAGAGGCAAAATACGAAACGAAGAACAAGGCGCCGCGATTGTGTCAGAAAAAACCAGAATCACGTTCACGTTCACACGGCTCAATCTTGTGGACAAGGCATTGTAAGGTTGAGACAACTGAAAGCGCAGCAGAATACGAGACGAAAGAGTCCCTATACAGTCAACCCGCTCTATGGAGACTTCGGATTTGCAGCAGAGTGTCAGCGGGCGTCACCCAATATGACGAGGACAACCGAATATCAACACGAAGAAGGCCTCCCAATGTTGGACCTGGAAAGATGTCCACCAGACGATGACGATGACAGACAGGAAAGGCGACTAGTGGTCGTAGGACTCGGTAACATCGAAAACACGCAAAAGCGAACACGAAAAACGAAGGACCTCGCTGGAAAGAAAGGAAATCCGGCAACTCCTGGCGCAACACAGCAGCAAAGGGGAAGAACGCAGGAAAGAAACACTCCTGCAGCCAATACAGACAACAAAGGAGATCATCGTTTGTCGTCCGGAAAAGCGTCGTCCAAGAAAAAACCCTCTTCTGTTTGCAGGCGATTTTCCACTTCTCAGCGTGGAGGAGGCGGCGCGGAGCTCCTTGGTTCTTCCATGCCAATGATCGACAAGAGCGACGTTTTCCTAGAGATGCACATGCCGGAGCGCACACCTGGTAAAATTCTACATTTCCGCAAGCGCAAAACGTCAGCTGAGGAGACACGATTGGCGCAAGTCGTGATGAACGATTTTTCTGATCTAATGACTGAGTTGACGGCAGATGATCAGGATCATGACAGGAGCCAACAGGGAGCCTCCACTTGCAAAACGACACCTGGCGTATCATCATCCGCATCTCCAACATCGGCATCTTCACCAGTGCCGTCTTCAAGAGCTAGTCAAGTGTACGATTACCTTGCCGAGGCTGGCTCGAACTTGATCTCGCGAGTATCTTCAACCAGTAGTTTTCTTTATGCAGAAGTGCTTCGCTGGGTCAGAAGCTTTCGACAATCTCCAATTGTGAATCCACACTTGCGTCTTTCGTTTCTTACATCTACAACTTCCGATTGGTCCTCAACGAATGCGTCGTCATCGATGGTATCATCATCGCGCGGATGCTCTCTAAGGAACAGTGTCGCAAAAGCCGGGCCGTCAGAGAATTGTAAGCGGCTCCAAGCAGATGCTAGAGAAAGTGAAGTTTCGACGTCTTCGGACGCCCGCTCGTCTCTCTCGTCTGCTTCAAGCACGCGCTTCTCACTGTCCGAAAGTCCAACACGGACAATTGCGTCTCGAGATGTTACTGAAAACGGGAGTTCGGACTTTTTAACGCGGACTATTTTACCAACAAAAGAAGGAGATGAACCCTGCAATGACAACAGAATGTCGGTTGATACGACAGGAACTAAAGCAGGGTCTCATTCAGCAACCGTTTTCGGTACAACTCGTGCAGGTGGTAAAACAGATAAAGAGCCCTCACCTGACCGTAAACGTAAAGTTGCCGATGTAGCAGAGGCACAAAAGTTACTGCAACCGGAGGACTACAAAGCGGCAATTGAATCGATACGCGAGCGAGGGCGTGCCAGAAGATATCGGAGTGTACCAGATTCTCCCGAAATGGAAGGGGAGATTGCATATGACAACGCTTCGGAATACGACGCGGTCTGGGTCACCTCGCGGGAGTTACAATACTTCTACCCAATGACGAACGAGTGCTATGTTGACCATTCGCAGAGAGGTAATGAAATCGCAGTGCAACAAGTGTTGAGGGCCTTTTTTTAGTGTATCTTGTTCGAGGCTCAGACGGCGAGGGCGACTCTGTCGGATACTACTTGAGCTTGTGGAAGATACTGATATTGACTCTTCGCTAAAAAGATATCGACCAGATGAATTAGCATTAGCAAAGCCAGAGGAAATACAAAACTGTTTTGATCGGAAACGGAAGCTATGATATAGGAATGGAAAAGGAGCCGCGTTCTCTACCATTAATTTCAAAACGAACAAGTATTGTAAACCGACATGTGGAGCTGATTTTTAAGAAGGAGAAAGGTGTTGCTACGGGATTTCTTATTCTCATTCATCATCTTCAATACAACAACGTCATCCATCGTCAGGATGATTTAGAAGCAGACGTTGGAAACGAAAACGATGTCCAATAATGAACCATGTGGCAAAGATTCCACGACACAAACTTGGACGTTCAAACTAACGTAGTGCTGCAACGTAACTTACGTGCGTGACATTTCTTTATTTATATTATAAGTTTCATATTATACACCAGCACCAGCACCACATCCACATCTATATATTTCGCTGCTCTCTTTTTACTTGGGTTTCCACGTTTCCCTCGTGCTTCCTTGTTCTTCACCCCGGTTTTGGTACAAATGCCTTACTGCTCCAAAACCAAAACTTAAAGTAGAAGTACCACTGACTGCAATTAATGTCATGCATGGTGGAGGACGTTGATAAATTTAATGATAATAGCGCCAGCACGGCTGGCGCTGGTCGTAGCAAAAAACCGTTACAGACATGGTGCCATTTTTCTCATGCAAGATTTAGCATGAAGATCGATTACATCCAACAACTTTCCTTATCAATGAACTAAACCACTAATGGACGCACTTCTTGTAGCTTACAATAAGCAGAGAAATATTTCTTGTTTCATGCTCCGTATTTCGCCGTATCGCTCAGAATACCCAACAATACGAAGAAAGTACAAAAGTACTGTCACCCGATGCGAAACCTACCACCCCTCCGCAATTCTCGCGCGTCGTGCGTGCTCTTTGTTGTATCGTGTCCGTGGTGGAGCTTTCGTATCCGACTCGGAGACAAACGATCGACAACGTGGAAGAGGATAATTTTCGCACCTCGTGACTGGTGTCAGAATATATTGAAGATGGATCGACTTTAGCTTGTTTTAACGATTATGATTTACTTTCAACCACGACTAGAGCGAGAGTGGCATTACCATTCATGATCTTGATTTGATTGATGAGGATTCTTGTATCGCATTTTTTACTTGAGCTCCAAAACTACGAAGAAGGAAATGACCGACGTCACTGATCTTGCTCCCCGCCACCCAAAGCGGTTTGTCAACGAAGATCCCTCCCGAGTGGTGAAAGACGCTTTAGATGGTCTGGTCGCTGTCAACGCACGGACTCTGACGCGATTTCAATATGTGGACGGGACCAAGGTTGTCCTCCGCAAAGACTGGAAGAAGGAGAAAGTGGCCGTAATTTCCGGAGGCGGCGCCGGTCATGAGCCGGCGCATGCGGGATTCGTGGGCAAAGGGCTTCTCACCGCAGCCGTGTCGGGAGAAGTCTTCGCTTCGCCTACTGTAATAGAAGATGATGAAGATACTTCATCGATGAGTCTACTCACAAAGTGGGAAGATTTGTCCCGACAGTCTTGATTGTTGTTTTCCAGTTCGACTGTGATTTTGATACTTACTTGAGAACCAGCACTATCTCATTTTGATACTGAACAAGTACCACGAGATGATCATGAGGTTGAGATCATCAACGAACAATTTTGTCAGGTGGATGCGGTTCTGGCAACTATTGTCGCCGTTACTGGACCAAAAGGATGTCTTCTGATCGTGAAGAACTATACGGGTGATCGGCTCAATTTCGGCCTCGCCGCTGAGCGTGCCAAGAGCGAGTACGGACTGCGCGTACGCATGGTCATAGTGGCGGACGATATAGCACTTGAAAGTCGCGGCGCGTCTGATCCACATAGACCAGCTGACGCGACATCCGCCACATCTGCCTCAAACCAGCAGGGCGGCGGAAAATTTAGTCGCGCCCGCGGTATTGCGGGTACGCTTCTGGTGCACAAAGTCGCGGGTGCAGCCGCCGAGGATGGCGCAATGCTCGACAACGTGTTCACAGAAGCTAGCCAAATGGCGCTCGCGGTAAAAAGCATGGGCGCGTCGCTCAGCACCTGCACGCAACCGTTTTCCGCTGAGGGTCGCTCGCTAGGAGACAACAAGATGGAGCTCGGTTTAGGTATACACGGCGAAGCAGGTGCACGCAAACATGACGTGCAGCCTGTGAGCGAAGTTGTCAGCCACGTTCTAGACGAGATTTTGCCCTTCGTGGAAGATTGCCCAGAGGAGTCTTCAGAAGAAACCACGGAGTACACGACAGCAGCAAGCGAATACAATGTTACGGGGAGTTCCTTACCCGGCGGCGAAGAGGCAGGGGGCGCTTTGTCTTCCTCAAATCCTGTAGCTGTTGGCGCCACCAGCAAGAAAAATCTCATAGTTTTGATTAACAACCTCGGCTCAGTACCGAGTTTGGAGATGCAAATTGTCGCTTGTGAGGTTCTGAAGTGCCTGGGCAGGCGACCAGTGCATGTCATAGGGCCATTTCTAGGCATGACCTCGCTTGACATGAACGGCTTTTCCATATCACTTGCTGCTGTGGACGCTTCCCTGCTAGGACGCCTCGATGCCAGCTGCGGGTCACGCACTGCCTGGCCGGGCATGGCTAGTGGCTCCTGCATCTATTATGATTTGCAAATTCTATACTCGTATGATGAATACTTACTCTTACGCACTCGAACAACGCAAGATAAGTGGGCCCGAAATGAAAAAGTACTAGAAGAAAGCTTAGGCAGTAACAAATCAGCTAAGTAAGTACTATGTATTTGTTGTATGTTTATGTCATCGTCTAAGCCTACTTTCAAGAAACGGATTTGCCAGCTGAGTTTGTGGCGAAAGAAAACGAGGCCGAGCAGGATCTGACTACGGCGCCTGCTCTTCCTGCCGACCAGGCCGAGGCCGATGCCGCTGCTGCGCGTTGTAAACTAGCCACCACAACGCTACAGAGTGCGTGCTCAGCGCTCATTGCCGAAAAAGACACGTTGAACGAGATGGATTCCCTTGTAGGCGATGGTGATACGGGAACGCAAATGGCCTTAGGTGGACAAGCGATCCTCGACAGCCTTGCCGCAGGGACACTGAGGTACTACATAGACATAGATTGTGCACCTAAGTACAAGAGCGACATGGTGTTGGTCATCGAGGAATTGGTGTTTCAGTTCCTTGCAGTTCTAGCTTCTCGTCCCGACATTTTCTTACTCAGGACGTCGTCGTATCAGTCCTTATGTGACAATTTGAGTCGCATTCTCCGGAGGAACATGGGAGGCAGCTCCGGCATTTTGTTGTCCATGTTGTTCGCATCGATGGCGGGCGGTTTCAGAGAGCAGCCTGGTGATATTATGGGCGCGCTCCAACGTGGCGTCAGAACAATCAGTGAAGTTGGAGGTGCCGCGGTCGGCGATAGAACAATGCTGGATGCGCTTATACCTGCTTCAAAAGTCAATGACTTTGATGAGCTTTTTGTCGTTGCAAAGAATGGAGCGGAAAGCACGAAAACTATGCCCGTGGTACTTGACATGGACATCTTCACTCTAATGTTTTTTCGTTTGCTCCATTTCCAATTCCAATTTACTGCTCACACTAGAGTGCACTGAGATAGCAAACCACTTTTCTGATCAATCCACCATCTTGTTCTAATGTATCTTCAGGATCAGCAGGGTTCTCAAAGACCTTTATATGTAATCTTCTTTGAATTGTGATTTTGAAACACACATAGGCGCGCGCAGGCAGGTCGCAGTACGTTCCAGAAGAGGAGCTAGCAGGGAATATGGACCCCGGAGCATACGCTGTGTCTGTCGTCTTTCAAGCAATCCAGGAGAGCAGACTTGTAGAGGGCTGAGCCTTCTTTTCTGTATCTCCTTGATGATCGTGAAGAAGTATAAGACATTGTCTCAAGGATTACCCAAAGCTGTATAGCTTGTGCGAATGTCTACCTTCTGACTTTTCCCGCTTTCTGCTAAGCAGTCCCATATAACAAAATGAGATACTCAACACGCACTGGCGATTGCAGCGGAGACTTGGGACAAAATAGCACAGGTAGATGATCGATGAGGATGACTATGCAGTGCGAGTGATTACAATTGAGGAGGAAGGAACACAAAAAAGGATTCGTGTTGTCTTTGTCTTCAGGCTGCCCGACGGCAGGCTGAATATTTTGCCCGCAAAGACAAGAAGTAGCAGAAGATAAAGCAAATTTTACTAAACCTATAGAGGGCTGCCCTTTGGCCTTGATGGACAAAGGTACGCCCAGCAAGTCTGACAAACAAATAATAATGTCTTACTACAGCATCAACCTACGTTTACGTTATTTGAAGCGTTAATTGAATTAAATAGTAGGAGAAGCAGAAGTACAGCAAGAAGGAAAATCAAAACTATGGCAGCTGCGTCGACGTTCTGGCCTGCACGCGGAGCGGTGTCGTCCTCTGTGCCGACTTACTCCAGATTGCGAGTGCCAAAAACGGTTGAGAAATTGGGCGAAAGGGTAGCGCGATGTCTCCGAAGTGTCCATAAGCTGGACCACGCTTTGCGCTACAGATCGCCTATTTCCAGTGCAATCGTAGGTGTGGATCCACGAGGGCCGGCGCAAGCGTACTTGCGAGGCGCAGAACAGGCAGCTCTAATCGCCGGGCTCGAGACTGCTGACAAGCCGAGGAAAAAATATGAGCAGCTGGCTATTGCTCACCTGCTCTCGGCATTGCAGAGCGCAACAAGTGGAGGTCTTCAGTCAGAAGAATCCATGAAGACGTCCTCTACACAAGTTGGCGCGAGAAGTCTCCTCATAACCGGGACACGAACTTCTCTAGAACCCAAGAAATCCGCGATCGATGTGACAGTCACCCGCCTGTTTAACACGTGTCTGTACCTACTGTCGCAGCCAAACAGCACTGCGTATCAAGAAGTTGCGGCATCTGTGCTCTTAGAAATAGCAAGGTCTGGCAAATGCCGGATCGATTTTGCAACGAAATCCGAGTGGGAATTGAGGGCATCTCAGGACGCCTATAGCATGGCTCTGGACCTCTTGAAATCTACCGGAAACATGACGCTGGCAGAGCAGGTGTTTCGCGAGGCAACGTACAGACTTGATGGCTCCTTGTGCAGTCAGGAGGAGACCCAAGATGAAGAGCCAGCGCACGTTGTGCCAGCGAGACGTATAGAAGATACGACAGGGGCTACCGAATACGATGCCGACGGGGTACCAGTTAACGCATCGGCAGTGGATTGTGCGGCAGGGACCGGGCCGAAGAAAACATTGGTGATGCACGACAGGAGCCAGCGAGTAGTCGCGATTCGCGACGACACGGGATATTATGTGAACTGGACGAATATTCATCACACGCCGGCCATCAGTGTGGGGCCACCAGGCTACTTATGATTGGTGCGAACGACTAAATCTAAAACTGGCACGTCTAGCCACTTTCTAGAAGGAGTTGTAGGTATATTCAGCCTTTAGATTATATAACCAAGCCACGTGAACGTTTACCAAAAGTAGCCAGAGAGCAGGCCAATTATTGCCATTGCTTACTTTTGATCGATTACAAATACACTTACACGGGGCGGCTTCATCCCCCACCGGCCAGCTCGTGCTTCATTTCTGTTGGAGGAAAAGCCATTCTGGGATGATGACCCGAGACTTGAGAAGCAGCTCGCGGTGATGCGCATGCTGCAGCCTTTCATCAAACAGGAGCTCGAGCATTTCCTACAGACGCGCGCGCTGGGTGCAGGTTGGGCCATGGACGTACCAATAAAACAACATGAAATCACGACTGACCTTGCAACGCAGAGGAGATCTACAATTATGACACCAGTCCAGGACTGATGCATATTCATATTCATATTGTTCATTTACATTTACTGTCCTTCAGCACAACTTGAATAGTGCTCATCTACTAGCATTGTCCAACCGCGTACTATTGAATGCTTGCTTCTCAATACATCACGAGTTATTTGTGTTTTGTGCAACGTCACGCGGAGTCGGTTGGGGTCGCTCGTAGGAAAGGCTAATTAAAGCTACTATCTGAAGCGTGCCCGTCTAACCCGCGTGGACTTGTTTCGAGCGGACAGGTGGAGAAGATTTCGATTATGGACCAAAAGTATCTCCGGCCTGCAATCTTAAAAGCTATTCCAGCTTGTTCTGAGTTGCTCCGACAGATGGATCCTTTTCATTTGAAATTGCCCTTTTCTCACGGGAATAGTGAGGAAGCAGCGCTGGTAAAGCTTGCACCGGGAACGCGCTTTCCCCGGTGGCAATCGCAAGGGTCCAATCTCACGGTGACAATGGCCGTTGGAATCAAGAGCGACATTGCAGAACCAATCTATCTAGAACTAGGCGGACATTCAGCCGAAAAGCGACGGCATTTGGACGAAGGAAAAACCGTAGCCTTTGCTGCAGGCTGGGATCACAGATTTGGCACACCAGAAGTAAGCCAGGAGGACATCAGCTTTGGTAGTAGCAATACCACAACTTCTTCCGGCTCCGGCATCACTACAACATCAACCACGACCAACATGACAGTGGCTCCCGAAAACGACAGTGACGTGGACCCGCTGTGCTCCGAACCCGGGAATTGGATGCTTTTTGTTAGTGTTCTGCATCCGCAGCTCGTCGAAGAGCAGCATCTCTTCGCTTCCATGGGTAGGAGAACAGAGTGGGAGTTTTTCTCCAGTCGGACTGCATACGCATTTGCCAAGTTGAAAGCAGAACACGAATACAAGCGAGACCATCCGGATGCGGCACCGCTGGAGGAACGGCATAAAAACGCAGGCGGTTTCTCGCGAAAACACATTCCCACACGCTTTAACATTCACAAGAAAGAAGGAGAACCCTGGTGAATAACCAGAGGACTTTACCAAATCCATCTGAACAAACCATATGCAGCATGCAAAGGTGCAAATATACATAGTCCTGTGAAGATCATGGGACTGGTTTTTTCTTTCATGAAAAAGATCAACCACATTCACTCATCTGTGGCTGCGTTTGGTGGAGTTGTTCACCATCTGCCGCAATCAGACTCGGTCTGTGGAGTTGTCACTCGAGCAGATCGAGAGGTCATCGCCAAAAAGGCTGATTTGCGCTGGACTTTGAGTAAATCAGGTGAACATCATGCGAGTGAATAACACGAAGGATTTATGCTGGACTGAGTAAATCAGCTGCTGCTCCCTTATTTCATAAAGTGCGAACACGACGTCGAACCGGATCTGGCCGTTATCAGTGAGTTTTCGACCGAGTTTTTCTGATCGACTTTGGGTAATCTAAATGTTAATCCGTGTAGAGTAAGAAATTAATTCCAGAATGGCGGCTTCCGCTCGTCTACGCGTGCCGATAAGCGCTGTTTTTCGAGTTGTTGCAGCTGATGGTAAGGGTCTATGCGATCTCACGGCGAATGAGGTTTTTGCTGCAAAAAAGGTCGTGCTTGTCGGAATGCCAGGCGCCTTTACCCAAGGCTGATCCAACACTCATTTGCCGTCGTTTTTTAAAACCGACATGAAAAAGCTGATGCCAGAAAAAATAGATTCTGTCGTCTGCGTCACGGTGAATGACGGATGGGTCACGCATTATTGGCAGCAACACATATTGTCAAAATTGGCTGAAGACGAGCAAACGAAAGCAGCAATGTTTACGGCATTTGAATAACGGTGTATGCTTTATTTACATTTCAAAATCAAAATCCCTTTCGACGTTGATGAAATTAGCTAACCCCTCCACACACCAGCTTAAGTCGACCCATAGAATACCATCACTACCCTGTCGTCTACATCATTCATCATCTGCTATGACTAGAAAAAGATTGCAGAAAGCACTTAGTTCCGCCCTTTGTCTGCACTCCTTCATGAATGCAGATGCGATCACTTTTCTACCATCACTACCCTGTCGTCTACATCATTCATCATCTGCATGACTAGAAAAAGATTGCAGAAAGCCCTTAGTTCCGCCCTTTGTCTGCACTCCTTCATGAATGCAGATGCGGTCACTTTTCTTCCCGACAAAGACTGTCTGGTAACCGCGGCACTTGGTATGGACAAGGAGAACCCTAACTTGGGAGGTCGGCGCAGCCTGCGGTACGCAGCCTACGTTGTCGATGGCGAGGTCTTAGAGACATTCCAGGATGAAGCAGGACAGTTTACGCGCTCAAGTCCTGAAACCATGCGCGCCTATCTCGAAAGTATCTAGAACAATCTGTAATTGTGATTGTCATTGGGACTTACATGAGTTGTATCCAGGCTCTTCCTTGAAGAAGATGTAGATGTTTATTTTGGATTTCGTTTTAGAATTTCCCACCTCAATTTAAAAAAAAAAATGAATCTTGGCAAGAGTCCGGGTCCGGCTTTGATGTTGATGGTGTGGTCCTGGATCTTCATTCGGTAACGCAGTGTAGCACGTTAATATCATGTTTGTGTGATTTTCGCTTTCTTAAAAAGCAATTATCTGTTCGTTTTTGTATTTTGATTGCGCATGCAGAACAGCGAATTGATCTCTTCGTCTTCCTTCCAGAGTTTGTATGTAGTCTCAGTTAACAGTTAGTTAGCGACGTGCAGATCCAGATGTAGTGAGCCGAGCTGTCGTGGTCGAAGAAGTAGTTCTTCAGGTTCTTGTTTCGTAGAGATATGAGGTGGACCCATCATGACTCATGAGTAGTACCTATTTATCCTTCACCTTCACTAACCGGCGGTGGCACACAACGACAAGAACGCACTTGTGATATATGGTGTGCCATTTCGTTTACGTTTAGGTTCTTTAGCCGCGATGGTCACGCATTTCCTGAAGTGGGGCCCATCTCAACGCTCTCAGCAACCATGGAAGGCACGCCGTCTAAAGATTTTTTCATAGTTTGTTTGTTCGCCGGGCCAACGAGTGTGATTCGTGTCATTTGTCCGTTAATAAAGAACCGTAGCTCTGATCTGTGCGGGTCTTCGTTTCTCGAACTTAGTGAAGATCCCATTGACCACATCACATTCACAGGATCTGGAAAGTCGAGGTTCATCAGTCATCATCAACATCAACAACATTCTGGTTGTATTATGATCTTCTTGCTCGAATAAGATGTAAAGTGGTAATTATATACTTTGAATGAAGGAAGATGCTGCAGATGGAGCAGCTACATACCTGAAGATGAAGGTATTGATATTGTGTTCACTTGTATGGTGGTCCATCTATTGTTTTCCGATCTTTTATGCTTCTGCTTCTTTGCCAATAGGGCGACGTCATGGCCGGACGCTCTCTTCGTCCAGCGAAGTGGAACTGACTTCGACGAGGAAGGTTTCAGAAGCGTCTTCACTAGAAGGAGCACAAGAATCGGAAGCACGGAGCCTCGATCGTCGAGCTGCAGCGGGCATACCCCTGGTTTCATCCCTAGATCATGCAGCATGTCAACGACCACGGATCTGTCGGCCATGCGGCGATGAGGATACGGGTAACGATGGAGTCCGCCAAGAAAAGCCGTTGCGTATTCGACGAACCCGGGATTATAGCGCCCACCGGTCTCGTCGACCAGATGTCACCGCCTTAAGTTACTCCGACTCGAACAGCACGAGCAATGGACGTGCTACAATGTTTTCTGACCAGAGTCGTGCACAGGATGCTGATCAAGAACGGCACTGGAGAAACGACAGCGTGGCGTGTGATAATCAACGGTTCTTGCAGACTCTCATCGCAGCTTCGTCTCCATTACAAGATGCCTGCTCTGTGCACGTGCGCTTTCTGAGCGTCGCCGGCACTAAGATCTTTTCTGGCAGCTTTCTCGCCTCTACAACTGTGCTACAACTACAACGCTCTGCCCGCGATGCTGCATTTCCGACTGCAATGCGCGTCAATCTGCTTGCAACATGGCCTTTTGGTTGCGCGTCGATCAGTTACGGTACTCCCACTGGGTCTTCCTCTTTCCCCACTTCAGTAGAGCCCACACAATTCCTGAGCAGAGCGGAAAGATCTTCGTTCTTACCTGAGTCATCCACACTCGTTGAGTTGGTGACGTCGCAGCAACAACACATCGGAGGAACGCTCAAAGCAAATAAGAGCCAACAGTTCCATTGTAGTCAACGCTCTAAGGTATATTCCCCGGGGGATCAGCAATCCATGACTTGCGGAGATGCAGGTGCAAGTGCGGCTATCTCTGCAAAGCCGTTTTGTCTTCCTGTGCAAGCTGTCGCAGCGCCCTTGTCGTTCCGGGACTTTTTAGAAAAGTATTCAGACCGGGCCTTCCCAGACCTACATGAGTGGGTATCTAGTGTTCCGCGGCATGTAGTCGGCCTTCGTGCGGCAGGAATAGGTCCTGAAAAGCGCTACCCTTGCTTTATGGAACGAGATGAAAACAGTTGCCGTGGTGCGCGTGCTGGAGACGTCAACATTAGGAAGGAGGATGCCATTTTGGCGCACGCTTTGCTTAATCTGAATGATATTCGACAGCAAAAAGCTCTGAAGATTCTTCCGGCCAACGATGAGGAAGTAACTTCTCTGGCTACGAGACTGGCGAGAAGCTGTCGTGTTGTAAGTCCCAGCTCGTTATTATGGCGAGCTCAAAGTGTGTTTTTACAAAAAGTTCCAATTTTTCTTTTAAGAATTTTATGGCTATAATTGGCGGGTAGTTTAATTAGCTATCTAACTAAGCAAGCTAGGTCGGAGATGTCATCTTGAATGGCCGAACAGAATCCTGCGGCTACCAATCCGGCCAAATGGAAAGCCGAAACGCTGAGTATTTAGACGGCAAGCTGTGGCTATCTGGATTGCATTTGGGCCCTTGGAGTCGGCCTCGAAAGGCCCCAAACTTTGACCACAATGAAAGCCGGAAGATTTGCAAGAGGAAAGCGGCCACTTTTTGAAGCTATAAGTGATCTATAAAACGCGAGAGGTCCTCTCCCCTAATTCGAGAGCGGATTGGTTCAAATTTGGACAAAGCGTTCCCTTTTTTTGGGACCCCTTTGGAGAGAGGACGGATGGACCTGGCATTGCCAGCTCTTTCTTGCTATCTGCTGCGCAGCAAGATGAGGCAACCCCACGGGCCAGGTGATCCCCTGATCGCCATGAGCATGGTGCCCCCGAACGCATAGCCCTTCAGCCTCCAAATGGAACAGCTTACGGGCGTCAGGCCTCTCCGTGGCCTCTCCAAGGGTAGCCCCTCAGCTGATTCACATTAGCTAGCTAGTTAACTACCTACTTTCACCATTAGAAATTCAAAATAAGAGGGTTGTTGATAAGAAGGTACATCCGCATAAGAGGAAGCAGTAACCTGTGCGCCAGGAACACTGCGCTGGAGATATAAAAATTTGGGTATTTGTGTTCTGGAAGAACAAAAATAAAAGGAGGGCTGAGAACAAGAACATCAACCTGCTTGATCCGATCATTATCATTAAAGATTCAAAATATAAAAACTAGAACTTTTTGTTTACACTTACACTTTGTGCTGGTCATAGTTTGCTAGAAGCGGCCCCGACCTTCTGGCATCTTCATGTGGGAGCAGCCTTCCGACCTCACCTACACTAGGTTCGCGCGGTTTGTCGGATCCCGATAAGGATACATCAAGTTGCAGCACTACGCCACTCCTCGCGGCAAGTGGCAGAAGTAGCGTCGACGGATGTGTTCCGAGAGGTGCGACGAGTCAACATGAGGACGCGTTTTTCTCTCTCCCTTTTGTGACTTTTGTGAAAATAAGAGTAGTCACGTTGAAGCTCATCACCAACAACGAGTTGACGAATCACTTGTTTCACGTGGACAAGCAACAGCTAGATCCACCACACCTTCTGCTCGAAGCAAAACTTGTGGTTTCCTGCCGGATGTTGTCACACGAACAAGCACATTCAACTCATGGGATACGTTTTCAGAAGATAGCACTAACGCCCTCAGGCAAAAAGCGGCGCAAAGACACACGACGACAACGACAATGGCGGACCAAGCTAACAGTCAAAGCGAGGCGCTGGTGGATGAACCAGATCGAACTCGATGCGGAACTGGGAGTACACGAGCCCTAGGTCTTCCTGGTGTCCGCTCAAGGCGCTGTCAGTCTGAAAGACCGGGACTCGTAAGTCGTGTAACTAGTTGTAGTTGCCTTACCCCTACCTCTTCTACAGGAAGATCGTGCAATGACGGCCATCAGACTCCTAATTTCAGCGGTTTCGATAGCGCAGCATGGGAACAGGTTAGCGAGATGGCGAAAGATCTAGCAGACGTGATCACGAACGGCCGCGCCCCTACGCTTATAGGCCTGCAGAAGGACCTCGAGGCAGTCGCCTCTCGCCGTAGTGGCTCCCTCGCTACGCCCATGGAAGTGGAGTCTGGAGCTCGAAGGCGGGACTGGGCCCCGCTTTACGCCACAACTGGTCAGGTATTCTACATACACATTTGTGCGCGCGGGTACCAGTACGACGACACTACTTCTTCGAGTGCCTCTTCCAGCGTGTTCTCAGAGTCGGAGGAGGAGGAGGAAGACGGCCCACAGGATGACAGTCGCGAACAATTTCTGGCACTAGGTGAGGATGACGATCTCGACCCCGATCAACAGATGGTGAATGATCAGCGGAATGCCGACCTCGCACATACAGATTTGCTGCAGCAACTGGGAGTTCCACAGACAGGCCGGTCACGCACGCCGTGTACCTCTTCTAGCACAGCAATGAGCAACAGCGATGACATTGACACTTCGAGCCCCGCAATGAGTGGCGAGGGTTCTCATTTAGAAGGCTTGACTTCCACGACGGTGAATTCAGCGCAGACGTCAAGCGCCTCCCGCCAGTGTCCATAACCTGATGCAAAACGTGACGCGCTCCTTGGTGATTACTCTACCGCAGACATTTTTCGGGAGCAATTGACGATTGATGGTGGAGGACAAGATTACGGCCTTCGAACAAATAAACAGAGCAGAAACTAACATGATTATTCTAATTCTGAATTTGATGCACGGTCCAGGATCATAGTCAGAATGATTTAGTAGGAGCACAACTTTCATCAGATTCAAGAAATGGCAAAGGCTCTCTTCCGGGTACATCCGAGGATGAGACTCCTAGTCCTAGGCAAAACCGTAGTACTCCACCAATGCTATCACTCGTCCAATTGCTGCCTGTTCTTTGACGAGACGGATTCATCAGGAAACTCCAAGGACAAAAAGTACTTCGGCAGTGGCACAACTCGTCCAACTGCTGCCTGTTCTTAGACGAGTCAGATCCTTACTCAGACCTAGTTTGTATTTTGTACAAAACAAGGCGAAGGCTCTAATATCGAGAAGTTGAATTGGGTTTAGCACGTGCTTGGTTTCCGCAACATTATCGGCTCGGGTCTTTCGAGGCGGATCCGCACATCCAGTTCACTTTTTTCAAGAAAGGTCAAACCCAGCGAGTGCTTGATGTTCGAACGCGCTTTAAGGTTGTACACGTGGGCTCGGGCTCTCGCAGCTCATCTGTCACAGAGAGCGGTGTTGAGCCGGAACATTTTGTGAGGCCACATCAAGATGAGCGAAGTTGTCATGCAAGCCAACATGAAGAGCGCAGTCGCGATTTTCTTCCCTCTACTCACGGCGAGGACGAAGTATCAATATTGAGCATGCAAAGGCATCAATGGACACACCAAATTGCTATGCAGACGCAGAGTCGTCTCGATTCGGTTGTCGTGATGTATCATCACCATCGACGTTCGCGTCGTGGAAGCAAAGAATACAAGGCCCCCGCGAGTTCCAACAAAGAACTCGACTCTAGTGCTGCTACGGCAACTACCAGAACTAGCCTGCACCGATTTGAGCTCATGGGATTGCATGGCGGATCACGGTTTATTCGCCTGTGAGAGCGACGAGCAGCGACTCTTCTAAAGTAGTATTTTCTATGGAAATATTTATATAGCAGAGTAGTTTATACTTATAGCACGCAGGGTGCATGGAGTAGCATGGAGTGCATGGAGCGCAGAGCTTTAAGGGGCGCAAGAAGCTCCCCCTTTAGCTCCATGCTACTCCATGTGATCCATGCACTCCATGCCATGCGAGCCGTGAAACCTTATAAATTGCTCTGATATAGTTCTACTTCTAGTTGTTCACCAAGAACAAGTTAATACGATCGGTTGACTTATTTCTTACTCTTCGGGGTTGTAACCTGCTTGTGCTCGAGTTTCTATTTCGTCGTAGTGAAGCAGCTTCGTCCTTGCAAAATGGTTTCTACGCAGTAAAGTAATTTCTATCTTTTTTCCGTTTTATTTTCTTTAAGGTTAAGAAAAAGAATGGGTGTCAACCACAAAAAGCATCCACCGACAGCATATTATCAGATCAGTCGTTGATGAAGTAAGCCAAGAATGTAAGATTTGAGTTTGAAGAAAAGTGTCTCTGATCGACTGAGCGTGACGATCGATGCTCCTGCGGGTCTCCTTATCTTGTTTTTATCGCTGTGCGTCGTTGTGTCGGATCGCGAGACTGATCTGCACGCGAAGGAGCCAAAAGTTAGAGCAGCAACACCAGCATAACCAACGTATAGAAAAACACACAGATGGATGTCTAAGTCTATGACCTGTTCTTGTTAATGATAATAAAGTTGACCCGTCAATATTTTGTTTTCAAAAAATATCTTCATACTTCATCTTCTTCTTCTTGTTTTCAGTTGTGATCGATCCCGCTAATCATGATGTTTCCCAACATCAGGTAGCATTGAAGGCCAAATACTAGTGAGGTTCTTATTCTTGTGGAATTTTTATCATTCTCAGGTCGGTGCTAATTGATCGATGTCAGTGTCTGATATATTCGAACAGTAGCGTGGCGACGGAAAAAATAGACAACTTGAATAATTCCATCCTGACTAATGTAAGCGGGCGCGTCGTGAATATCCGAGTTGAAGAACCAATCGACGTGAGCGTGCTAGTGTAGAAAAGATGAAGCATGCTTTAATATGCGTCGCAAAGTTGGATCGGCCCTTGCCAGGGTGACCATTTCCATAGTCTAGTCTCTTTTCCATCATCACGAGGAGACTCGTGCGGGCATCTAATCCGTTTCCGTGCGATCTGTATTCATAACTGTTGCATCCGCTTGACAACTGTATAGGCGCCACGATTGGCAAAAGGCTCGAGAGACGAGAACAGTCCGGGACAGAAAGGCAGAAAGGTGTTGTTTTGTCAGCAGGCAGGTAAGGTTCATGTAAGTCCTGGCACTTCCGGGCATGCGCCGACCGCAGCGACAGCCGCCTCAAAGTCAAACCTACTCCAACGGCGTCCGTCTCGGCCTTCGGAGTTTAAACAGCAGGATACTCCACTACATGCGCTAGAAGCAGGCTGCTCGGCACCATCTCGATCGCTCGCTGTCGCTTTTCACTGGTGAAATCGGTATGGTATCCGGATGCACCTTCTAGAGCATCCGTCGGTAGTTACGGAGTGCGGGTCTATCTTGTGGTGAAGAGATGCCTCTGCAGCTTGTCATGCAGGAAATCTTCGGCAGGATGGAAAGAAGCCAAGCGGGCGCACGACATCGAATGAAAACGGAGCTCAGCGCTGAGAAGGCGGATTTATTAACAAGGCGGATTTATAAATCAAAAGACTTTTAATCTACTAGATTCTTTGCCTGAGTGAGTAACTGGGCTGCCAGTGCCGTCTATCTCTAACTCTATGTCCGTGATGTTTATAATTGAATTTTTATAATATTTATAGAAAATAGATAAGAATACTGACCAGGAAACCGCTAGAAACAGAAAAAAACTAAAAATGCCCTCAAGCGTTAACCCAACACCGCGCCCCTCATTAAGAGCTGGGCGCAGGCCCCACTGTAATAGGAAGACCACGAGAGCGCTCCAGGCGCTTGCTTCTAGAGCAAGCGGACGCCTTCCCCCGGTCCCACCCGATGGTCGTCGGACCCTGGGGAGCGGCCTCCCGGACTCCTTGCCTCGTTGGGCTTGGCGCTCCCCATAGCAGTGAGAGGCGGCGATCTTTGTCGCACCTTGGTCAAAAAGACCGGGACCATCCAGCCAAGGACGTGGCACTGGAGCAGAGGCGTCGGCGGCTGCCTCGGGGTGTCCCTTTGCGTGGTACATCGGCTGAAGGTGGCAGCCACCCTCCCCTTGAACGTCCTCGAAAAGGGTGCGCGAAAAAAAAGTTTTTGGGCACCAAAGGGGGCCAACCCCTTGACCCCCTCTCTTTTCATTCTAGCGCTTCGGACGCGACGAGTATCTCCATTCTAGCGTTTCGGACGACCCTCGTTGCGCCACCCCCTTTGGTCCCATTCTAGCGTTTCGGACGGGGCTCGAATGGAAGCTCCTAGCCGCCCGCCAGAGCGCCGCAGGCATGCGGGCAGACACTACTAACTGCCTGGCGATCCCTCTGCCAATGCGCTGCCAAGTGTTCACAATGTGTGAGTTGGCACATTCCTGGAGACTCCAGACGCATCGATCGCGGGGGCCCTCCCATTTCTTGGGCGCCCTCCCTCCGGTGTTCGGGTCCTCTTGCTGGTCGGTTGGCGCTTGCAAAGCGTTGCGGCTTGCTGGTAGAGCGGGGCAAGCTCGTGCGCGGCGGCCCTTGGCCCGCGCGTGGGGCAGGGGGAACTCAGAAACGCAGCAGAGGCGGCTCCGCCTGAGTGATCGGATCACTTTGCAACGCGAAGGGCGAGTCTCAAAGTGCATTTTTAGTTTTTTTCTGATTCTAGCGTTTTTCCCTTTAGTAAGAAGTATTTTCTGCTCACCTAGCTCACACAGGTAGGCAGAGCATAACGCGTGGCTTTCGTGAAAAATAGCAGGGTCGAAAGAGTCAGAGCAGAGGTCGAGGAGCGTTAGCCCGTTGCGCGGGCCGCATAGTTGGGCGACGGCTGGTAGCAGCAAGCTGTTTCTCATCAGCCTAAGCCAGGAAAACGAGGCCAGCGGCATCAAGAACATCGAGCTAGCGCTCTCTTCAGCACCCTCGCGACGACCTGCTCATTGAGTACCCTGCTTTCTGAGGTTGTACCCTGGCGCCTTGCTTAACAGTATTCGCTCCCTACACCGACGAAAGGGCGCGGATTAGTTCGCACTCGTGTAGGCACGACTGCCGTGACACGGCCGCGAGGAATTATTTACTTCCGATCTCTGCGCTTAGGTTTAGCTCAGGCCTGCTTATCTGATCTCGGGCTTTTTAGTTGTAGTTGATTACTTAAATTTCAAAATCATCCTGTAGCTGGTCCATCAGTATATCCATCATCTGTGTTGCGGCGTGTCATACCCCTGCAGGTGTGCTGACTTGCTCACGGGGCTCCGCTGTGTCGGGTTGCGCTTTAGTTGTTCTATAAGGGTCGAATGTGCGGCTCTTCTGATAGATGTAGATTTGTGGCCGAATGTGCGGCCTTATGCGCCCCCAGTAAGTGCTTTATTTAACTTATGCTAGATTTGTATAATTGATTAAAAGGGCGATAGCATATAGTCCTATGGAAAAGAAAAAAACGCGAGCGCTTAGACGAGCTCAGCCGAAGTCGCCCACTGAAACGAAACGAAGCGTGTCTTAGTCAGAAGGAAAAACGATTTATCGTCGATACGAGAAATTATGACTTTCCTGCTTCCTTCTATTATACCAACATCTTCTTATAAATAAAACTAGAAATTAGACGATGTTTATTGGTGTCTGTTGGAAGCGTGACCAGCTTCATACAATCCGCAGTGGTTGCGAAGCGAATCTCTTCTAAGAATCATCGACAGACATGTTCTTGATTCTATAAAGACAGGACTATGTTGACTTTGGCTAGTTCTAGTCACGCCAACATTTTTGTCTATGGTGTTCGTCCCAGAACACAAACGCGAAACAAACATAAAAATTGCTCACGTAAATATATAAGTGGATGAACATGAATTGTTTTTGTCCCGAAGCACATGATCCGCGATGCAGCAGCACTGTAAGAAATATAATCTTCAAGAAGGTTGTCGACTTCGAGTTCGACTTCGAGGTTCCTCCTCCTGCGTCTCCCGAAGACGAGTCTTTTTCCAATGGTAGATGTTCCGCCTCAGGTCCTTCCTTCATACACTGTGCTCGAGTGCGTGTTGATTTGTGAACCGAACATCACCAAACATGAGCACGAAGGCTGAAACTTACGCCTATCAAAAGCCGCTCAATGATACTACTCTACCGTCGAGGAAGTGAGGAGATCTTCAACAGCAGGAGTCTGGATCGATCCATCGACCAAGATCAACTTCAACACCGTCGACTGACATTGTAGCTTACGTTCCACTCAAAGAATGGTAAACTCTAATGATCAAGCTTCTTCTCTGCAACAGAGTCCACAGATCCATGACGACCTGCATATTGTCGATTTTTGATGATGACGTAAATTTCCTTGGTTCTGATGTTCTTAAAGACGGTACAGGAAGAGAAGCTCATAGGGCAGCTGAAGACTGAGGACTAACTCATCAAAAGTGGTTTCGTTTCAGTTTATCTTTATGTCGTGCTCGTATTGCTATTGATCATGAACAATTCTACTAGAACCTGGTGTTTATTATCGCCTAAATATTGATGTGGAGCCACGACCTGCGACAACAATGACTACTAACATCGCGACGCTGCAGACGGGCAGCATGCATGCTGTGTGCCGCTTCGTCTACGATGAGGACTTTCCTACAGGTGTGGCAAGAGTCTTCGGCCTCACAAACCGCGAAACACCGCCCGCTTCACCACTGACTGTATCCTCATCTTCTAGGCAGAACGACACAACCGAGAGCGTCGTAGTTGTAGATCTACTGCTGGCAAAACGACGGGAAGACAGCGGGATCCATGCGGCACAGGGAAAAGACGCAGATATGGAATATTTGGTACCGATGTATGATATAATCATGTCAAGGAGGACTAAACTTTATTTATCTTTCTGAGTCTGACGTTCTTCTTGATCATGACGTAGCTAATTAGTTACTAGTTGCAGCGTAGTAAAACTTCAAAATATGCAGAATAAAGAAGCACAGCAGCGAAACATTGAATCCGTGATTACTGCTTATAGTTACAATTTTGCTGAAGAAAATTTCTTGCATGACGTCAGGTTCTTCATGCAGTCAGTTCTGATTTGAGGGCGGAGGGTGGGACATTGTGCGATGAATTCCAATTCCTATTTCCTGGATGGTGCGCAGCTTTTTTCGACAGTGGCAGTGTGGAACTAAAATTTCTTCCACGTGGCTCAGGTGACATTGAGCGCGAATTGCAATGGCCGACATTCCAGCATATCGATATTAGCAGTGAGGAAGATGATGATGATGACGAAGAAGATGCGACGCCGTCCTTAGTGGACCGGTCTGGAGAGAAGACAGCAGCACAACAACGAGAAATCATTGAGGTAGAAGGACCTCTCCTGGGCTACGTGGATGAGCCGGCGATCTGTCGTAGAATTGGCTCTGCGGATCTTTCCTTCGCGTTCTGGTCGCAGCGCAGCTCGCCGCGACTCCTAGAGCGGCAGATTGATATGGCCAGAGGAGGTATCAGTCAGCTTCGCAAACAAGAATCTCCTGGCGACCTAGGAGTTGGTAGTACAATTGGAGATAGTTCGAGATCTGCCAATGACAGTGAGGACGCAGCACGAGCGGGCACGGACGCAGCTCGAAGACCAGAAGATGATCGTCGGTTTGGGTGGCTACCGATGAAGAGGTGGCTTAGGGTGCGACCTGATGTCAAGATCTCTGAAGGAGCTGCATTTCCATTTAGAGAAAGGACGCTGTCAGGAGATGACAACCCAGAGTGCATGCTGGGTTTAGATTTCCCAGCTTTGCGATTTTCGGCCCGACTCGAAACCACAAATACGGGGCATGCGTCGGGAACCGCTTTGGTCTTTCCTTCAGCAACGCTGAAAAACACGTTAATTGTGCCCATTTTGTTTCACTATGAAACTCTCGCATTCCGCTTGCAGGTTTCCTCATTACGGCGCCCGGCGGAACATGCACATCCGATCGACCCTTCAACCCACTACATGTTCAAGCAAGACCAAGCGATCCTACACGCTTTTCATTCCGCCTACAATTCCCAGACGATGACATCACCATCATTGCGGGAAGCCCTTTTGCCCCAGAGCGAAGAAGACGTGACTCCCTACCCTCGCCGGGTGCTCCTGAGAACACGGTGTGCCAGCGACGCCGCACACGAGCGACATCCGATTGTCACCGCAGCTGGTCTCGGATTAGCACTTACAAGCAGGACCAGAAAAGGATCCTCATCAAAGGTCGTTGACGAATCGGACGGACATAGCTCTCTGCCGACGTCAACGCCGACTTTCGTAACTTTGCAGTGGGACGCTGTAGTGCAGCCAGACTGCTCATATCATCGAGATGAGGTGATGCAATTCCTCGTGGCGCTACTTGGTAGTAGCGAGAACGTTGGAACTACAGGGTGTGGAGATGAAAGACGAAGCAAAGTGTTCATTTTGACCGGTCTTGGGAACTGCACGGAAACTGTTTCATCTGCTCAACAAGCAGATAAGTTTGAGCGACTAGACCAGTCGAGCTTCGAAGAACTCTTTTCTGCATCCCAGTTGTTGGACGACGTCGACGACCTTATCACTTCATCACGGAGGGGTCATGAAAATTCTTCCACGACACCCAGTCGCAGTCACCAACATCAAGGAACCACAACCACGGAGGACGAAGATAAGATGAATCATGAGCAAATTGAGCAAACATGGATGCTACCTCTGCGCGCGGCGTGCGCAGCTTCGAAGAGTAACAAGAACGGAATGAATGAGAAGGCAAGTGCAAAAGCTCGAATTCCATGGAAGAAACACATTTCAGGTGATGCGTGGCAGAAGTACCAACGACGACAGCACGAAGAAGGCGTGTTGCAGCAGCTCGGGTGCTACATCATTGGACTCTGCCCGCGAGGAGCCCGAGTGGCTTCAGCCTGGCGCAAATTTTTTGAGGCGCCACAGAAAAGTCGTGGCACCACGCCAACAAGTGCCCTGGCTTTGAAGAGAGAAGGACTTAAAAGTGAGAGCCCACTACAAAGGGTTCAGTGCGGGCTCGTCGATTTAGGGACCGTAAATGCAGAAGACTTATTCTCTGTACTAAAGACCAAGAGGAGTTCTGAACAAGCTGTTGAGAAGCCTCTTGTTGACGAATCCCAGAGCACCGAGAGCAAGAATAAGACACACGGCAATTCTGAGCAACCGGTAGAGACGAGCGATACCACGATAGAGCAAAGACAAAAGTTTTTCAGGAAAGCACTCCTCGGATGCGTCGAACCTGAGTCGCGGCCACCTTCCTCCAACGTCTTTGTGACAAAGGGTCTCTCGGCGCAGCGAAAAGCCATTGCCGACGCTGTGTTGTGGCCCCGCTTTTTCCCCAGTCAATTTGAGGCGGTCGGCTTAGACGCGATCCCGGCACCGATCTTGGTTTCAGGACCGAGCGGAAGCGGCAAAACGCATCTTGCACAGTGGCTAAGTTCTTGGCTGAACTACCTGGAAGGAGTGCAGCGCGGGACGGTCGAAACGGGTGACGCTAATTCAGCATTACCTGCGCAGTCAAAGAAGTTCATTGACCAGCAGCCATACTTTCGCCTTCGCCTCATCAATCCAAGCGAAATCGTAAGTCCATACGTAGGCGAGTCGGAGGCGAACCTGCGTCGCGTTTTCGAGGGACGCCCGTTTGCTTCAACGGGAGATCACGGAGGGGCAATGGCCAGTGTGCGGCCAGTTGGAGAAGTCATCGTCTTTGAGAATGTGGACCAGTGGCTGATCGCTGATGAAGAACACGACTCCGCTGCCTCCGTTTACAACCGTCTGCTTACAACATTTTTAGTCCTTCTAGACGGCGTGTCGCCGGCACTGTCACCCGGCGTAGTGGGAGGAGGTGGTGATGATAGTCCAGAACAGCGGATTGTCGTGTGTACAACATCCCAGCCGCCTGAAAACTTCCCCTCTGCCATTTTGCGTCCAGGTCGACTCCGAACAATCCCTGTGATAACGGAAGTCCATCGCCCAACGCCGCAATGATGAGACTCGAGCATTAGCATGAATTTCTTTATCTTTGGACATTTTTCTCATAACACACACGCAGATACCACCTTCAGAAAATTCTAAACTTGAAGTGGTGAGGAGGTTCTGCTAGTCACAATCTTTCCTTGTATACTAAAAACTGGATCTCTATGTCTACTCCTGGTTCTGTCACAACCACAATGAATGTCGCGTGATGTTGACGACCTAACGGCCCTCGCAGTTCTTATGCGTTGATCGAAATGTGTATAATGTTCTTTCGTGAAGACTTGTTATTTGGAGAGGGTTTGATTTCCTTGAGCTTGACGCTTCTTGGACTTCGACTCTGCTTCAACATCTACTCAGGAGACTCCCGATAATTATTTATCCTCCACGACTTTTTCAAATCCTTAGAGTTAGAAGGATATCCATGTTGGCATGGTCAATGCTATGCATATTGATATCCATCTTTCTTCGTTCCCGGGAAGCCGTGTTCTTCTTTCTGAACAATCTCAATCGTCCCACCCTTCTTCATCCCTGCGAAACTTCAGCTACTTTACGCATCAGCCAATCCTGGGAATTATTGTACAACCTTTTAGATACCCGTGCCCGTCTGAGTTTTTCAATGACCTCGCGACGCTATCGTCGTAGATCAAGAAAGAAACCGATTGCGCCAACAGAAATTGCCACGCAATTCTGGCGACGGAAATGCCATGCTTTATTCTGAAGTATGATAGGTTCACGTTCATCAGTATCAGCTTACAACTGCTACATTGGCATTCATCTGTAGTGGATGAAGAAAAACCACTTGGAACTAATTACTAAAATCAATGTGGCTGACGGGCAACTACGACGTCTCTTTCTGTGAAAAAACATGCGGGACAGAGGAGTGACGAGAGACTGCTTGTGGGAGTAGTCATAAGTAGAAGGATCGAATTGACAGACTGCGAGAGAGAGAGAGAGAGCAGAGAGACTGTGTGATCCTTCATCTCCTATAAGCACAAGCAAGGAAATCTGTGATAAAGATTGTCTAGGATCCTCAACTCGGATAATTGATGTGTATCACGAGCTCTTTTACTTTTGATAGCACTAGAAGAGGAGTAGACACTTAGACAGTAGACTTCAACATCAAAAAGATCATGTCGACTGCTTCTCTGGTGAAACCTCTAGATGGGACAGGGACCCGCATTGTCCGGGTTCTCGAGCCTGAGCGACTATACCTAGTCAACCACGGCAGAGTCCTGTCCGTCTTGAAAGTCTTATCGCTGCCGCATGCGAAAGACGGAGGCCTCATTAGTGACAACTCATCTTGCAGGAAGAAGAAAGCGGATGCGGGGCAGGTGTATACCACTCTTGCACAGATTAAAAGTGATCTGTACGACGAGCATCCGACACTGCTTCGGTCCACGACCGAGGTGGGCGTCAGCACTGTATCACTGACGCTTCCTACCGAGGCACAGATTATGAGGCGTCTTAGCGGACATCCCAATATCGTAGAATACCGTGGCTGTTTTGCAGCTGGAAGATATCCTAATACGTGCTGGCATCTGTTTCTCGGTTTTGAGCCTGATGGAGATTTGCAGCACGTACTGTCAGAACGTCGCAATCGATCACAACCTGGTGAAACAGCGGGCAAAGGCATACCGGAACGAGCCGCGCTCGAAATCTTAGCCCAAATTGCGTCCCCACTGTCCTTCTGCCACTCCAATGGTGTGCAGCATCGCGACGTGAAGCCCAGCAACATTTTCCTCGACTTCAAGAAGAATCTTGTAAAACTAGGTGACTTCGGTATCTCTCGTGTGGAAGAACATCATCACTCGTCCAAGCGCAGGATCGGTGTGCATGATGTGGCAGAACAGTCGATGTCTCCTACAAGATTCGTCCCAGAAAAGGTGAATCACCTTGACGGGGGCATGATCAGGACAAGCAACGAGCAAAAACAAAACACTTTCGGTGCCGAAAATGCTAATCTCGAAGAGCAGCTGCCGCTTGATCGCACGCCGTCGCTTCGGGAGGAACTTGAACAAGATGAAGGCGTGAGCGTGACAGCAAAAACTGTCGATCTTGGCAATTCAACAGCAGTAAGCTCTCGTCCTTCCGCACCACTAGAGGCGACCTTTACGCATCTCCCACCAGAAGTTCTGTCGGATGCGGAAGACGGCTGGTCATCAAAGGCAGACATCTACCAGCTTGGTGTTGTCCTCTACGAATGCTGCAGCTTACATCTCCCATACGATGCGAGCAGCATCGGGGCGCTCACGCTGAAGATAGCCACGGGAGTTTATGAGCCTCTTTGCGCAGATAGGTATGGCGAGCGCATTCACTACATCGTGAGGCAGATGCTCAAAAGGACACCGGGAAAACGACCAGCGGCAGCTGAAATCCTGAGCTGGATGCAGAGACCGGAAACGAAATATTGTTCTAGTGATACTAAAAATGATGACCTGGTGGTGCACAGCTCCTATGAACAACAACTTTTGACAGAAAAAGAAGCCGCTGGCATCCGTCAATGCATCGAACAGGCAGAGAATGTGGCCGCTTTTGAAAAATGTACTTGTAAGTGCTTAGCAGAAACAATGCCGCTGTGTGTCGCTGTGTTCGCATCAGAAGAGCAAGACCCTACGCACTCGCTGCGACTTGGTCGCTCTAGCAATGAGTCTCATCTGTTTCTATTGTAGCTAGGTAGCCTCAGGCTCAGTAGGTAAGAACGCAGGACATGGGTCAGTGCCACTAGGTGCAACGCAGAGTGTCTGGATGAATAGCGTATTTTCCAGTAATGTTCGCCTCAGCGAGAAGTACTCGAAGAGATGGAGTCGATGCAAACATTTGTAGCAAGAAGGTGGACTTGGTGTTTAGATGTCGGCACTTGACAGAGTGTGGCCCCTTAGGCTCGATAAGAGAGAACGCGAGATTGCGATTGTACGTAGAAGACAACGATCTAGCACTTATGGCTTTATAGCACTTGCACTGCTACCTCAAAAAATAAATTACGCAGCACGGCACTGTTGCGTTTTTGCTTGGCAAACGGCAGAATGGTGGCTCCGCCGCGTTTATCTCGTGCTCTTGTGTCCGCCGCTCGTTCGGTGCTGTTCATCTTACGCTCGTCGAGGTCACGCAAGAAGATCTCCCAAACCGCGAAAACAGAATCGGCCTTTGTGCCATCGTCTTGTGCAGCTTGTGGACCGTTGTCTGACTGTGCTTTCGATTTTTTGTGCGGTCGTTGCTAATGCTGGAAAAGATGATATAGAGCAGTCAACATCGCTATCGCCGCCAAGCACGATTAACGAAGTCACGGTGGACAGGACGACAAGTATAAATCAAGGCGGTGGGACTACTACTAGCAGCAAGGTTCGCATTCCCAAGGTCTTCTTGCAGATTTCGCCGCATTCCGAGGGCTACCACTACAAGTACTTTGTGAAGCAACGGCTACCAAGCGACTGGCAGTACGTCCATTGGAACGATCGGAAATGTCTCGAATTCATCGTCAAAACACCGGTCCCCGGTCTCTTCGAAGATGCGCGAAGGGAGGTTGCGAAGATGGAGTTCTCCGCCATGCGCGAGAAGTACGGAATCGCTGGCGAGAACGATTACCGGGCATCGCGGTTATATCAGCTGGTCCAATTCTTTCTCAGGGAGAAGTTCATCCAAGGGGCGCACGGAGCGGACTTCTGTCGCATGTACTTCCTCTACGTTCACGGCGGGGTCTACATGGATGTGGACATGATGTTGTACGACAACATCGAAAACATCGTGCAAGATCACACTTTGTTATGTGAGGAATAAGACAAATTAACACTTCCAGTAGACAAAACTTTGTGACATGTGTAAATAGATGGTGTGTTGACTTCTTATTGGGTGTGATAGATGCACAGAGGTGGTAGTTGTGCGGGGAAAGCAATACAGAGCACCTGATTCGTCTCTTCATCTTCTGTGGTGTTGGATGCCTATCGACCGAACAATCGCCTAACGGACTTGCTTTTTCGCGACGTCAAGCAAGGAACCACGGAAAAACGGCCAAAATCAAAGACGAAACTTGAGACAGAGTATTCTGGTATTCGTGACCTTTTTGCTGGCATCTACGCAAAAAGTCTTGTCGAGCTCGACGATGTTGAGGGCCGGAATTCTGCTGTAGCCGATTCTCAAGTCGGACAAAATATCTCTACTGGTGTACCTACACCTACAGAAACAAAGTTGTCATTAATAGCCGACGACGACACGACTAGCAGTTCACGCGCTCTTGCAGAGAGTTTATTCGAGTTGGAAGTTGCGGAATGCTCGAGGCCGGTAGGACTGCTTGCGCTGAAACCTCTCCTGAGTCCGGTTTTTTGGTTGTGGTTTCGATTCCAAGTTGTGAAATTCGTTGCTGATCATCCTCAAGAGGAAATGCTTTTCTGCTTGCCTGAAGGCCTAAACGTCGAACAGGCAGCAGCATGGAAACAAAACCTGTATGCAAGCTCACCAACGCTAGGAGCTCTTCAAGAGGGCGACAAAGTTGATGATCAACACCAGCAAAAGCGAGTTGCAGATGATGGCGCAGAAGCAGAGGGCTCATCAATTGCGCCTCCGGAGAACGGGGAGGAGGATCAAGATAGAAGACTCACAAAGCTATACGGCCAAGGAAATCTTGTAAAGCTGCGCATGTCGATGGGCCTGCAGGACGCTCCCCATGCTGACTTATCTGACGAACAATTCTTTCGACAGTATCTGTCCGTGTCCTGTAGTGACGCACAAACTCTGCTTGGTGAAAAAGTGCCAACGGGTACAGCAGATGAAACAAACGCCACGGCGCAATTGAGAAGACGTTCTACAGAATTATCGTGGTGTCGACAAGATGAAGAGGAAACGAGCGGCGAAACTAGGGACGATGTAAAGCTGACAGTACTACCTGCTCAACAGCGAAGGCGCAGTCGCTTCTTATCGATTTTGGTGAAAAATACCACATCAACTTCGGTCACACAGGCACTTCGAAGTGAAAAATACACTACGTCCGAAATTTTTCAGACAGCTCTGTGGCGTCGCAATTTTCCCGCTTTAACTTACGACCAAAACTGATAGTTCACAGTTACGCGCCGCGGTAGATGTAGGGCGATTTCGATGCTTATGAAATCTGAAATATGATGAGAAGAAGCATCAAATTCGTACCAGACAATACTTATGTGCATGTAAGTACATCCAAATCCATCGAATCCATTTCGGATTTCCATCTCCTCCTCTAATGGTGTAACGCGACTCTGATCGACCTGGGATTCATTGCTGCAGTTCCGAGACATCCTGTCATATTGGAAGCACTTCAAGACCTTTATCGCACGCGCCGTAGCGTATTGGAGGATCCGAGCAAAAATTATTGGGTTTTCTGCACACGCATGTGGCACTCAGTAACACGTTTCGAGAGGACTCTTCATTTTGCGCGACATAGCGGAACAAGATTAAAATTGAAGGCCTCTGTGCAGCGAAAGGACGATGGTATAATTGTTGCTCAAGTGGAAGCAGTAAAGTCACGTGTTGCGCTTGCGCTGTCGGAGGCGTGGTACCGTGAGAAGATTCTTGAGGCCGATAGCGAGAGTGATCTAAAGTACACTCGACGAAACAATTACGTTGTAGAAGGCGTGCCAGTGTATTTGATCAATCTTCGCTTCCGGAATTTGAGCGATGTCAGCTACATTTTCGAGGACTTCGGAACACCAGACTTGGCAGTCACTGGAGGTATGAGCCGATCTAGTCTTCCCACTGGAGGCATCGTGATGACTAAAGGTGAATCACCAGCATCCTCTTTGAAACACCAAGAGCAAGATGGCGTGCTTGCTTCGAACGTCCATCAGGACTTAAAAATCGATCCTGTAACGGTAGACGCAGTGGTCGGGGTCGATCATGACATCGCGGTACGGGTGATGGAAAGGAATAGATATGAAGATGAAGGAGCCATGTCAAGGCATGTCCCAGATCACGTACCGTCCGATGCCCATGCATTGCTTTCACGCTCTTTGCATTTTGATGCTCTGGTTGAGAAGTACGGCGACGGAGATCCACGTCGGATAACAACAAGGGTTCTGCAGATGAAGGAGGTTGGGACCATTAGCTGTGGACACTCTGTTCTAGGGCCGACTCTGGGCGCCATCGTCGGACGGAACTGTAACAGCTACTTTCACGATGAAAAGGAAGATCGACAAGCAAAAACTCTTGATGCGGGCGCGAACGAAAAAGTGTTGTTGAAACATTTCCATCGAACCAAGGTCATACCATGGCACGAACTTCGTCACCCTGTTACTGATGTTTTTGCATATCCCCATTGGAACAATCGTAGTGCCTACGATCGCGAAACAGCTTTAGTGCATGGCTAACTCAATGCGACTTGTTTCTTCTCAGCCCTTATTCATTGGAAAAAGAAATCAATGTTCCTCGAAGCAAAAAGTGCATGGAAGTCATTCGCAAACAGGCTCGTGCATTTCTCTTTTGAAGAGCGTTGAGGCAATTGCAAGCACCTGACATTACTATAAGCCGGTCTTTGTAATCGCCTGTGTCAATTTCAAAAGTATCCTCACACGACATGGGCATGAGACTGTCCGTTATGCGCATCTCAGTCATGGTCTGAAATGTCAGTGAAGCATCGACAAATCCGCTCTTGCGCGTCCGCATGAACACTCAGAATCTGTCTAACACAGAGTGAAGTGAGCTCCTGGCGGGAAAAGAGACTTCCTGTCCGGTGCATTGTGGTTTGAATCTGTGCTACTTGTGGTGATCTCGCCAGTCGGTGCAACTTGATGCTTACAAAATATGGATGACCCTGATGAGTCACCACTCCTGCTTGTGAAAATCAACAGGTTGGCGAATGTCTTCCAGTGCTGAAGCTCGCAACATGTTTATTGATTCTCTTTTGAAACTGAACGACTATCTCGCAATCAGTTGGCGACTTTGGAACGAACTTTGCGATACCGCTACTTTTGTCATAATGACTTTCTTCACTGGACTTGAAAACGTAAAAATGGAAATACCACTTCTACCACACAGATAATTTTCAGTTTCTTTTCCTCAAACAGCTTTTCGACAGGATTTTTTTCGAAACAGAGATCAGATGGTTATGAAGTCTGTCGGTCGTTTTTGAGGGAGGTTTAGGCTAGTGCTCAAGGCCGATAGGAAGAATATTCTCGCACGAATGTGATTGCAACGCGTCTACCTTTTCTAAGGTAAATACCAAAAGCCAAACCATGGAGCGAGTGTTCAAAAATACTTTGCTTCTAGGCTATTTTTATAAAATATCTCTATCTGCGGATTAGGATTACAACGCCAGTTGCGAGCGCCTTGAATCTTCATTGACATGAAGAATGCAGGAGAAGGAGTAAATATGCACTAGCACAACTACCTACGGCTACTATATCTATTACTAGAATAGTAACTAAAGAAGTACTTTTACTTACTTGGTTGCATCGTTCGACGCTGTTCTTCATCTTCTGTTTTTCCCATGCCCATTCGGATATTGATATATTTCTGATGGTCGTGTGATTCGTGGCGCCGTCGTTGAAAATTTATTTTAATATATTGATGTAGTGTTGCAATTGCAAAATAGAAATAGGCTCTAGGACGTCTTTGATTCCTGGTGATATGTATCGTCGCAGCTTCGTTTAGTGCAGGACCATGCTAGTTGTTTGCCTTCCTGCGTGTTTTGTCGACGACCAGTGAACAGTACTAGCCATTCAGCGCGGAGAAGACTTGAAGCTTTTGGATACAAGGAAAGCAGCGAAGTAACGTCTAAAGAAAAACGCATGTCGCTTCTAAAAGCATCACAACATCAACAAGTACACGTATTTAAACAAAAAGGTAACTACTTCACCACGACTTCGATGAAAGCAACGACAGCAAGAACTAAAAGGAGGCTTCTAGGTCAATCAAGGAAGCCACACCAGGTGGGCAGAATATTTGTCGTTCGACTGGGCTCCTGCGTGTCGGTACCGAAGCGAAAAGCTGTAAAAAGATGGCGAAGTTTGCAGGCTCGTCGATGCGGAATCTTATCGACAGTGTGGAGTACCTGGGTCCAAACAATCTAAATCCTGTCGCTGTCGAAGAGCGAGCACGTTTGGAGCAGGAACGAGTACGAGCAAGGGCGGCTGAAAGAGCTGCTCGTGTTGCCGCCGCCATACGAACCGAAGCTGTGAACAAACCTTCCAAAACCCAGCAGCCAGGACCAGGAAGAGCTGTAGGAAAATATGGAGCCGCCTCAACCACTTCTTTCGGTGCCACCAGTGGTAAAAAGGGCACGGGCTTGCACTCTTCTGTTCCGGGTAAGGGCTCGTACTCTTCTGCTCCGGGTAAACCTGCCTTAGGACAAGACGTGACAGGGCCTCTGTCGTCTGCATCATCGTCTTGTTCCTCAGGGAATACTTCTAATTCTCAAGTGCCTGATGGAGGTTCGGGGCCGTCCTCTTCATCAAGCGGAATGCTCCCGCAACAAGAGGACCACGCTCAATCGCAAATCCAGAAAAACACAGATGAGGGTGGGAACCCGAATTCCTCCGCGCCAAATGGAAACGGCGGTGATGGGCCACCACACCATGATAGTGACGCTGCCTCTCCCGGTTCGACAACCGACCTTCTTGCAGGCGTAGTCAAGCGAACTACGGGTGGTGGTCGTGCGGAGCGCAGCCAGTCGGATTCCGTCTTAGTGCATGGAAACGGAAGGTCTACCGGAGCATCTAACTCGTCAGGGGGACGCACATGGATCGTGTCGGGCGTGGGATCAGAACCCCACCCTAGCGGGTCTTCATTTTTGGCGCCCTCTGTGCGTGAAAACCAACAGGAAGGTCAATCCGCCAGCTCTTCTAGCAGGCCACCCGGAGTTGTAGATACTGCAGAGCATCATGCTGTAGGCTCAACAGGATCGTCTTCGTCGAATGCCAACGATATATCGCAGACCGACGTTATCGGCACTTCTACTACAGGAGAAGAAGAAGATGGCCTCAATAACACTGGCTCTGGCGCACTTCTCCCAATCGTACCGGGGCAAGGCACGGTAGCTTCCTCGTTCAACATCAACTTCAATGGACCTGCCGCCAACCCTATTCCACCCGGACTGCCGCCAGATTTTGATTTTGCAAACATTCAGAACTCACCCGAGAACATTGCTATGCAAGAGTGGGTTATGAATCAGCAAGATGGCCTTAACCCGGCTGAGGCAAGCGCGTGGCAGAATGTGAATGCCAATTTTAGTTACACGTTTCCTCCAGGGGCCGAGCCACCTGCATTCCTGCCACCCACGACGACTGAACCGCAGCAGGAGAATCCCGCACCTGGTTCCGATTCAAGTGGCACGATAAACGCTTTGATGCAACAGCTTATCGCTGGTGGTGCCACGACGACAACAGTCACTGACCCTGCCATGCTTCAGCAGCTGCTCGGGGACATGGGAAACCTTGGAGCTGCAACGGAGGGAGGCGCTGTTCAGGTTTTTCAATCAGTTCAAGTATTTCGTATGTGACAAATGACTGAAGCGTGTTTTTTCATAACAAATCAAAATGCATGTGCAGCTTGTCCTTTTGCTATTGCTTGCCAACTGTACTTGATTCTTTTTACCAATCTGCGCCGCTCGTTCTGTACTCATAATCGCTGTGGCAATGGCTATGGCTGTTTCTAACCTAATAGAAATAGAATTCACATTCAATTATACTACGTGAAGGTTACACTTACAACTACCTGCTCCCGCTATGCATCTCAACCTGTTTTTCTTGAAATCCACAGCTTGGCGCTGGCAACACTATGGGCGGCGCTGTTCTCAGCAATATGGCGGACCTCCCATTTGACCTTTCACATCTTATTCAGCCCCCCGGTGCGCCACCTCCTGCTGGCGCAGCTGCTAGTGGAACGTTTACGACCCCTGGCGCAACCGGTGGCGGGCCTGTCGGATTTACAGCGGGTACCACCATGCTACCTCCAGGAACTCCAGGTCTTCCGCCGGGAACCACACAGGCACACTTTATCTCAAACACCGTTAATATGGCGGATCTGCCGCAGCTGTTGCAGAGTCTGCCACAAAATCTAGGTGTCGGTCAGTCGGTCAATGCTGCTGGACTCAATCTGCAGCAGCAGATAATGGAGCAGCTCATGTTATGAACAGAGGAAAGTCTTTCTGTGAAAAAGCAAAAAAAAAGAAGATCAAGTCTAAGTCGGCACTCCTCCTTCTTCGTATCGATTTCTTTTGCGATTTTTGTACGGTTCCAATGCACATCATCGTCTCGCTCATGACAGTGTATAGTAGGCGACGTGCAAGGTGCAAAGCACTACAACGAACTAGCTTCTAAGATCTGGCGCAGCAGGTGTTGACGGAGGCGGTTTTTTGTCAAGTGACTACGAAGACGAGGAGCCACAAAACCCTTGGGAAACCAGCATTCCAGGAAGCGAAGGCGACACTGGCCAGACGCAGGTCAATTTTCAGGTAGTTGTCGCCGCGCATCAAGTCGTAGTGCCAGCCGCGGGGGGTGGTCCAGGGAACGGCAACCAGAGTGCTGGATGGATGCCAGCAACAGACCCAAATGCAACAGTGGCAACTGGAACATCGTCATCTAGCGGAGGAGTGATAACTTTAGGAAGTGAGAGTGTTGATGTTTCTTTTCTTACTTGTTAATTTATATCTGCAGCGGTAGAAAAAGAGAAAGCAACTGTAACATGGTAATCCAGCAACAAATCGCCTCTCTGTCCTGTGATCAGAATCTTTTTCATCTCAAGTGGAATGCGTTTTTTGACTATCGAAGGTTCGGGCTCGCAAGCATATATCTGCAACGGCAGAGATAGGAAGTGTAATATATATTTATGGTAATGAATTGCAAGAATTGCCAATTGGGTCGAAAAGATATAATGAAGAAGTTCGAACATTGTTATTGAGACTCGAAGTCGTAATATTTATTCGTACTGTCGTAAAAAATATCTAAGAGTAGCTGCAGCGGGATGTGGACCACCATATCCGGATGGTGATCCACCTGATGACGATGATGATCCGGATGACGGCGACGGAGACAACTCAGATAGCGAAGATCATTACGAATTTCCAGACCCTAATAAAGATGTTGCAGACCACGCCTCACCCTCATCATCAAGAACACGGAAGAAAAACGGAGAAATGAAGGAGAATAATGAAGATAATGGAGAAAGTCCTGGAACCGGCGCCACTTCATCAAGTGACAAAAATGCTGCATCGCAAGTATCTGGTCCTGAGGGTGGCCCTCCATCTGCTGCAACTGACGCAAAATCACCAGAAGGCGCCACCAGTGCTTCATCGAAGGGTCCGCTGTCTTCGTCGGGACTTGCTACCGAGAAGACAACAGCAGCTAAGTTTTCAAAGGCAGCGAAGCTTACTATTGATTCTGGGCGGTCAGCGGAGGACAAGCGCCGAGAAGTAGCGAAGCTGCGCAGCTCCATGGCAAAATGCACGCTTAACTCCCTCGCGAATTCGGTGGATGACCTCGTACACTTCCTCCGTCTTCAACATTTTACGCGAAATTTGCGGCTGCTTTTACATTCTGATCCCGACGCCGGAGGTGAGCGAATTGTCCCTCCG